AGCAGAGGTGGAAGTAGATCCAGCACAGGTTGCCCTTGTTGTGGCTAAAAGACAAGCACCAGAGCTACCAGCTGACTGCATGGTCTACCGTTATGGCTCGCTCGCCACCTCTGTAGTTGTTGTCCGTAAGTTAATACATTTCAAACTAAACTAAATGAAAATGGTATGATTTAATTGTGGTCTAATCTTTTTTTCTACCTTTTAACCCTGCAGAGGGTATTGAAAGTGTAGAGATTGTACAGATGTCCAACGTTGTAGCAATGGCAACAGAGTTGGCTCAGAATGCGGTGGACGTCACCATCAGCTGTCAGGGAAGGTGAGCATCAACATTTGAGTCAAGATGTTTTCTTACTGTTCAGCTCATTAAAAAATGATCATCCAGTTAAACACAGAAGATATTTTATTATATGTTGTGTTTATGAAAATAACTTATCCACTTGTGATTGTTCTGATATCTACATCTGTGCATTCTCATTATCCTTCCTTCAGTCTGCCAAGTGAGGTCTGCACAGTTATTTCAGATGCTGACTGTATCACGCCGATGGAAACTGTCTGTAGTGCAGCTTTACCCTCTCCAGACTGCCAAATGATCCTTCGGCAGTTCTTCAATGACACTGGAGTATTTTGCATCAATGTCTCCTTGACCAATGATGTCAGTCTTGCTGTGACAAGTGCAAGAGTCAGTGTATCAGTAGGTGAGTGGAAGAGAAACTACACAATGACACTAAAGTCACTAAAGTACTCAGTCTTTAGAATATTCTCTCATCTGTGTGATTTGCTTCAATTTCAGCCTCCGGTGGTTCCCCAGGTGGAACTGCAGCCACAGTCCTCGGGGTTATGGTTCTCGCTTGTGTCGTCTGTTGTATTGGTTTGATGTACAGGTGAACTGCTTAATTATCAATTTTTAATTTAATGAATGTATTTTGGGTCAAAATGAATTCTGATTAAAGTCTGTCAACACTGCTTTGAGATAACATCTACATTTTAACGTGCTGACAACAATGTATAGATGCTGTTTAGCAGGTAATATTTACCCTGCCCGTGTTGGTTTAGCGTGTTAACATACTAAAACTCACTGATTAGCACTGGACAAAAGTTGATTGCAGTGATGCTTTCGCATGGTATTAAACCCAAAGCGTTGGACAAATTTACATGTTATTCAAATTATGGTCAGCTAAATAATAACAGATCTTACTAATAGGAACAAGAATTTAAGAGAAATATTTTTCTCCCCTTGTACAGCTTTCAATCTTGTTTACTTTTTAATAATTGTGTTGTTGATAGAGATAATGCCTTTAATGTCATGCATTATAAACTGTTTTGTGTCTGCAAACAGGCTGTTCAAGCAGTACCAGCCACTAAGGGAAGACCATGATGACACTAATGGAGGCGGCTCGGCGGTGACATCAATGCCTTTGTTGTTGTGGAACTTGCTGAGCCGACAGTCACCAGGAGAGAGTCGACCACTGCTTCAGGGGAGGGTTGTTTGAATATAATAATCGGCGAATGCAAACAACATTGACTTCAGACCCATAATATAATAGTATAACTCCTGCTCAATGTATTAAACCATTGCTAATTCATTTAACCAGCCCTGTGTACAAAATGCGCAGAAATAAAAAGGAGTCAACTGTCATAAGAATGTTGAAACATTTGTTGAAGAAAGTGATATTTATTTTGACCTACATATTTTTTATCAATTAGTACCAAGTAGATTTTTAGAAGCCAAACGTATTCTCTTATTTGTGGCCAACTTAGAATAACCCAATTGGAAAATCAATTTTAGCATATTTCAATTAAATCTTTAAATCTTAAAAAGTCATTTAAATCACTTACATCACAAAATGTTATCTTGTTTGCTACCCTGTTATTAATAAAGTGGTAACGTATCACAGTCATGCTTTTTCTTTTCTACTGCCAAGAAATAATTTCCTGTCGTTGAAATAAGAGGCCTTGTTTAATAAAATATTTACAAGCATGTTATTAATGTCTCGAATGGGGTCTCAGTAGGTATTTACATGGAGCAGAGATGTGATCAGAGGTGGTTACTTGATCACCGCAGCTGGCTGCGTTTAAAACTAATACCATCTTGTTCTCTCTCTTTCAATTAAAATGATTTGTGAAGATGTTGCAGGCTACCTTAATGCAACTGAGTTGACAAAGAGCTGCTGATGGTAACATGAAAAAGGCTGACGTCAATGCAGCAAAGTCTTTAATGAAAGAAGGCATATGGCCTGGCCTGCATGCCACAAATAGGATGTGGGGTTGTATTGACTGAAAGCAAAAGATGCCTCTTGATGTCCTTGTTTTAATAAGGCAGCCAAATATAAAAAGCAATACATACATACTGTGCACCTTTCTCAACAAAGCTATTTGGATTATCAAGTCAAAGTTGTATTTCACATGCTCCATAATGTCCTTTTGCTGTCTCTCTCCCTCTTTACTGACATACATGGATATTCCTTCCAACAGACTAGTGTAACACGGCAGCGCTCCATTACAGTAATTACACAAAGCCGTTAATCATCCTCCACCGTTAACGTGTTTCTGGGTTACATGTGCAAAGTGTTGTTCAGCCATCTGTGTTCACTTCAGAGGTGCACTGCACTGTAGCCAAGACAACACTCTGCAGCTCTGCTGCAAGGCCATCATTTTTCACTTGATGATCTCTATCTCGGACTGACAGTCCTCCCGGATCTCACCAGGCCAGCTTGTAATTCACAAAGCTCCAGATAACCAGAGAGTTCTGAGTCCTTTCTGGCCAGCGAGGCACGGAGTCTTAAGCCTCACTAATGTTTAGGCATTTGAACAAAAAATGTAGTAAACATTTCACAACTCATTTATTTCTTCTTAATGAGCATGTGAAACATTATTATATTAATCACTGTTAATCAGTAATCAGTAATAGTTTAAATCCATAATGAATACTAAACCCAAGTATATTCATAACCACACCCTATAGAGACTATAGTTTATTTGCAAACCTCTATATGTAACCTAATCATACTAGTTGACATGCGCAAGAATGGCAGAAGACAAATTTGTAGATGTTAAAATAAAAAAACAGAAAAATATCAGAATTTGTACAAATTTTGAGCCTTTGCTAATTTGTTATGTTCTTGCATAGCAATTCTGTTTTGATGCAATCACTATAATTTGCCAACCTTTGATTAATTTTTTTATCAGGGGCCACACCCAAGACATTGTCTAATCTGAAATTCGATCATAGCACAATATTTCATCCACTTTGATTCCGATGGCTAAATGCCTCTTCAGGTTTCAGACAATGCACACATACCGTGGTTCAATATGTGTAGTAGATATATTCCAACCCGTCACTGTCAAAGATGCATGATTGGATTTATGTTCCCCTCGGGAATTCTCAGAGGACCAGAAGGATCAATCGCCAATGGTAACATCTGCCTGATGGTTAGAATTACTGATGTAGTCCAGTTAAAAATCATTCCAATGTATGTGTGTGCCTGAAATACGGAGCATGACCAGGGGAAAGAAGAGAAGGCGAGATGTGCCTTGAGCAGACAAAGCAAGATAGAGGGGGATGGAGAAAGAGGAGAGAGTAACTGATCATAGAGCGAGTTGATTAGGTTACCGAGCTAAGACTAACATGGGCCATTTATTACACAGAGAGCCAGACCACTGTAGTGAATGCCATGTAGACCCGGAGAGAGGAAAATCACATGTGTGAGCATGTGAGTGAATGACAAACTGAAGAAAAGATGACTATACTTTTATTACGGTATGCTGCATCAGGGAGACGAAACCTAAAGTTAAATTGAGTTATAAACACTGGTGAATACAGGTCAAAAAGAATACTACTGGTTAATATATAGCACAAGGTACATGTGTTTGAAAGAGAAACAAATTTAACACTATAAACTATATTCGGTGGTGTAGAAAGCATAAATGCACAGGATTAAGGTACCAAGTATCATGGTGAGGGGACACAGGGAGAACAAAGTGACACGCCCAGTCGCCACAGCGCATGCTCAGAATTACGTCAACTTTATATGAGAGCGGTAGTCCCTCTGCAGTCCTCAATTAAAATGACTACATACCTCTCTCACACACACATAGAAGTGCACAGGAAGTCTGCACAAAGTTAAAGCTCTATCCGCCTCAGTAGTGAATGCAGAAATGTAACTGTGTAACAGAATATCAGGATTTTCAGTATAGCGTCCAGTCATTGAATTTTGCTTTGCAAAAAGATGTACATTTTATCTATATCTATTTATCTATAGTGAAATTATAGCACTTTTGGTATCTTATAAAGATACGTTATAATGTCAAAAGAAAAATATATTTAAATGGGAACTATAAAGTTGTTTATTTGATTTTGAGCTATACACAAAGTTATTTGACCACTCTTACTGGTTTAGATCCTTTTTAAAGGATAGAATAACTGCAGAGTCATACTCCTGCCCCAGACGGCCAGGATAGTGTTCCATTACTGTAGAAGGAGAGAGAGACAGAAAGGAGAGAGACAGGGAGACAGGTAGACACTGGGGCGAAGATTGAAATCGATGCATCCAATTTAGATAACAACGTCACCGTTTTTTGTGAGAAGGTAACAGAATCCTTAACACAATTGGTGAAGTTATATATGCTATATATGCTGGAATGCTGTGGAGAAACAAAAATCCAAACTAATGGTGAGTAAGTGTCATTGAGGTCAGCAATATGAGAGGTGAGGGGGGTGGGGTGGGGGCTGAGAGACATCTTTTACATATATTTAATATTAAAGCATTCTGTGGAAGCTAGTCTGGCCTCCTGCCAAGTGCTCGGGTAAAGAGGGTGGGTGGGCCTGTCGAGACAGAGAGAAAGACAGAGAGAGTCTGGGTCTATCTCTGAAGGGTAGGGAGTGGCCAAAGCTTGCATGCTGATTGAGAAAGGAAGGATACATGTGGGTGGGATGAGGAGAAAAGAGGGATGGGGGGGGCATGAGCATGATGGGACAGCCAGCCTGTGTGCATAAATACCCCCAGCACTTCTCAGTCGGGTGTCCCGTAGCTTGACGAGCATCTCACAGCCTCCAGCTCTCCTTTTTTCCCTCTGCAACAGAGAACAGAGCCAGACCGACCATGAGCCACTCTTCAATGCATACCTCAACTTCCTACAGGCGTACCTTTGGTAGCCCACACTCCATCCCCATGTCCTCTTACTCCCCTGTGTCCTCCAGGATGCCCGTTTCTGGAGGGCGCTACGTGCGTTCAATGCCACCTGTGGCACCATCCCGCTCCACCACCTACCACCAGCAGCGTTCTCGCTCTGCCGCCCAGCCCCCTCGCCTCTCCTACGACAAGGTGGACTTCACCCTGTCCGAAGCCATCAACCAGGAGTTCCTAACCACCCGCAGCAACGAGAAGGCTGAGCTGCAGGAGCTCAACGACCGCTTTGCCAGCTTCATAGAGAGGGTGCGTTACCTGGAGCAGCAGAATGGTGCACTGCAGCAGGAGCTCAACCAGTTCAAGGGCCAGCAGCAGCAAGGTCAGCCCAACCGCGCCTCTGAGCTCTTCCAGGAGGAGGTGAGAGACTTGCGCCGCCCGCTGGACTCCACCGGAAAGGAGAGGGACCAGTACCTACTGGAGAGGGACAACCTGGCTGAGGAGCTGGTCCTGTACAAGCAGAGGGACCATATGATGAGAAAAAAGATACATGAAGACATGATGTACATACATATACACACACATAGCTAGAAGATGTGCTAATGCGTGATAATAAGGGCGTAACCACGGTATAGACATTGGGTGGGGGGTCCGCTGGACGCTAGGCGTGGACCCTACGGCCGACGGAGTGGGTCTTTTCGTGTGGTGCTGGTGCCCGCCCCGCTGAGCGGAGCAAGCGGGCGCTCAGAGAGTCCCGGTGCATTTTATAAATTGAAAATAGATAACACATAACAACAGACCGATCCATTGACAGGGTTCATAAAAGGGGAACATATTTTACATATTTTCTGCTGTATATTGGAGGGGGGCAGATTGGTATTTTCTCAATATTGGGGGGGACACGACCCCCCCAAAGAATGAGTGGTTACGCCAATGGGTGATAATATAAAACGTTTTAAGTGAAGGACAGGGTATTAATCTTATGCAGAAAACAGAACCAGAATGAATGGCTACAGATAAAGTTGCATCAAACCATATTGTCCCAAAAAATTCACAGGTCAAACTCCTCCTCCTGATAATTCCCTGTTTTAGGTTGGTCGGTTATACATGTTGAGCCTTGTGTGTGTGCCATACTGTGTGGACAATACAATAATTAACTGCACATTGTCCACTTTAAGTTCAGTAAAGGAGGAGCGTTTGTGGGCGTTTGCAGCTTGAGTATTCCAGTGACGACATTGCTGCAGGGCGTGGCACATGTCCAGAGGGGACACCACAGAGTGGGAGCACGATAGAGGACATTGTATTACAGTTTATTTCTTTGTTTGAGTGTATATGTTCACTGTCTTGTGCACTGGCAGGATTGAACAAAAAAGAGCCTCATTACATTTGAGGCTAAATTTTAGATTTAGATTTGGTTACTCCGTTTAGATAATGCAGATGTTATGTAAAACGACGAAACACACAATTATGAAATACACATATTGAGATGAGAGCAGACTGTGTGAGGATGGATAGACCAGACACAGGGTGGGGCCGACTGAGGAGAAACAGAGAGAGAGAGGGAGAGGGGGGGGAGGGGGTGGAGGAAATGAGAGGTCGGATATCAGGCGTGGTGAATATAGCGTCTGGAAAAATCAATGTGACTCAATGTCTCCATTAGGTGTATTTTCAGTGTCCCTGTGTGCGGATGGGATAGTGCCAGAGACCCCATTAGGACAAGAGGACCCCCGTAACACAACATGAATTAAAGATGAGGAAGCAGGGCCCTCAATGTACTACTTCCCCCATTTATCTACTTTATGTCCAGTCCGGACAGGACTTAAAAGGACATGACAAAGGAAACGCATCCGTCATAGAATAAGCAAATGCATGAATTGGACATTGAGATATGATTTGTGATGACTCATCATCATAGTGCCTGATGGATTGTAATTCTAAAAATATATTTCATTTTGTGCAGGGCCATCAAATTAGTTTCCACATATTCTCACTACTCAGCACATTCTACATTATAACTGCCTGTAAATGTTACGTATATTATCTGGATCCAGCAGTTTTTGTAACATCATTGTAAGCAACATCAAAACGACTAAATCACAATTTAAAATCTTTAGAAAAGAGGGTATGTGTGTCTACATAACCTTATTGAGTGTGTGCCGATGAACTTATTGAACTACAGAGAAACCCCATTAGCTGAAAGGAGCAGCTGCTGGTCCCACTGGGACCACTCCCAACCCCCTTTTGCAGGACAGTGAATTAACAAATTGATCCAGAAAGCTTTTTGCCAGCTGAGGCCCTGGTGCAACCTGAGAGAGAAAGTGTGTTCTTGGACAATTTTGACTCATTCTCCCTCCACCCTTTTGTAAAAGGGAGATGTTGGTGCCCAAAGGAAATCCGTACATTGTCTGATATATTTTGCCTCGCTCTTTTGTCCTACAGGTTGGATGAAGAGGCCCAGAAGAGGGCAGATGCTGAGAATAACCTGGTGGCTTTCCGCAAGGTAAACGTTCATCATAGTGGGCCAAGGTGACCTTGTGTCTTACACAGTGTCCTCAGGCTCAGATAACCAGTCAAAATTGATGGATTTTCTCCAAAGGAAAGGGCAGATTTCTCAAATATCATTGATCTTGACGGCTGCACAGGAAAGATACTTATTTTGCTCAACACTTCTTTATCAAAATAATTTTCCTTAGAAGTGCACACATATAAAACAAATCAACCTTACGTCTAGCTGTTGATTGGATTAACTATTTTTGTTAGTTAAGCTATCGTGCATGTCTTTGGTGTGTTGGAGGAAGCCACGCAGGCACAGGAACCAGAAAGGCCCCACCGTGCCGCCCTTACTCTTTGTTTCTGGTTTAAATAAACCAAAGTAAATTATTACCTGACATTTCCATTTTTACACAAAAAATATTTGTGCCATATTATGATTCAAAATATTCAAAACCTTCTGATGTTGTTTTATTGCCTCGGAATAGATGGAACTCATTCATTTCTGATATAATCTTTAATCTGGTATTTTAATGTATTGTCATTTTTTGTGTATTTTTATGATGATGAGATTTATCAATTCAATAAATGACATATTTGCAGTTATGAAAACATTGACCATGTTTGTCTCATATTCAAATTAGGATGTGGATGATGCCACATTGTCTCGTTTGGAGCTGGAGAGGAAGATTGAGTCCCTAATGGATGAGATTGAATTCCTAAAGAAGCTCCATGATGAAGTAAGTTCTCCCACTATATGCTAGTATTGATGTCGAGCTTCTTTCTTATAGGAGACAGCATGGAGTGGGAGTAGTATCACAGTATGGTTTCTGTTGCATCTGTTGCAAACGTACAAAGTTTATCACCCGCTCCTAGAGATGCGGCGGAGAATCATTGTCTGCACTAAAAAGCTCCAGCTCATTCTCAGCCTCTGATTTACAAGACTGTCTTTAGTTTGTGTCACTTTATTGCTAAATGATTTTATTTATTTATTTTAAGTTAACCAAATGAGTTTTGAACTTTTGACAAAGAAGCAATGTGTTATATTTAGAGCATGAACACAAAAAAGGTTTTCAGTTCAGATATATATTGAATATTATTTTTAAATCTGAAGTGATTTGTTTTGAGACGTTGTATGTGACATTAGGCCACAATATTTGCAAGGCAAGAAGTTGCCCTCGAGGATTCCAATGGTGAGTATTTTTAAAGCTAAACTGGCTTTTGTACACCTAAATTAGCGCAGGTGATAGAGAAAATCAAATATTCCTGATCATATATATCAATATCGATATGACCATATTGGAGCGTTACTCGATTTGGATGAATAATTGAACAGTCTGGTAAGTTCATAAAACATCACATTACTTTGGTGCTGCTTTAGAAACCAGGAAAAGACACCTATGACACATTTTGGAATCCGAAATCTATGACTGCCGATGAAATGTTGATGCTTTTCCCAGAGCGTACCCTAAAGGATTTTTTTTTAAAAGGCAAGCTCTTGATATAACAGTTTTTTTGTCTTTGTCTTGCTATAAAAGGAAATCCAGGACGTACAAGTGAGTGTCCAGACGCAGCAGCTTAAGTTGGAGGTGGACAACACCGCCAGGCCTGACCTAACTGGAGCTCTGAGGGAAATCAGGGCCCAGTATGAAACCATCGCTTTAAAGAACATGCAGGAATCTGAGGAATGGCACCAGTCCAAAGTAGGCAGACAGACACACTGACAGTCACACATGGACGTACATGCAAATATTAATTAATGTGTGTTTTATCTTTTTGTTCCTTCAGTTTAATGATTTGACTGAGTCTGCAAAGCGCAACACTGATGCGCTGAGGCTCGCCAAGCAGGAGGCCAATGAGTCCAGGAGACAGATTCAGTCTCTCAACTGTGAAGTTGATGCAATGAAGAACACGGTGAGGACGCATTCCCACCCTCACCTGCCCAATTTATCTATGATCTATCATTACACACAATAACGCTGTACCTGTCATCGTGTGTATCAGAATGAAGCTCTGCTGAGGCAGATGCGTGAAATGGAAGACCAGTTTGGCAACGAGATCGGCAACTACCAGGACAACGTGGGCAGGTTAGAGGATGAGATCCGCCACCTGAAGGAGGAGATGGCTCGTCACCTTCGGGAGTACCAAGACCTCCTCAATGTCAAAATGGCTCTGGACATTGAGATTGCTACATACCGTAAACTCCTAGAGGGGGAGGAGAGCAGGTGAAAAAACATACCTAGGCTCAGGTTCAACTTTTGGCTTTTTATTTTTTTTTATGTAGTATTTTCCAACTCGCAGCTTAAAGCACCTGAACTCAAACCTAATGAGTCCACACAAGCTGCTGATGAGATGGTCCTCCAGATAATCTAGTTTTCCGACAAATAAAACCAACAAACATGCAAGCCAGATGTATATATACTATATACTGTATATATATATATATATATATATATATATATATATATATAATAGCAACTCTATGCAATTCTGACTTCAAGAAAATGACTTTTTATTAGAAATGGGTTCATAACACGCAACTTTTATATTCCCTGTTTATAGGATTACTGGTCCTATCCTCAATATGGGCATGAGCAGTCACCATGGCCACCAAGGTAAGCTATAGTTCTCTTTTTTCACAATAAAATCTAAAGATTTGAATCGCTTTTACCTTTCAAATAGGGCATTGCGAAGTATCTGCGCGTGTCTGGTAGAGGTTTCCCTGTTATAATTTTCTTTGAGCATTATCTGTGATTGGCTGGTCAAGTTGGCTGGGATAGACTCCAGCCCCCCCGCGACCCTGTATGCAGGATAAGCGGTTTGACGATGGATTGATGGATTATCTTGAATATGACTCTGCAGTATTTATGTAACAAACCTTTGGGTTTATATCTATTCCTTAATGTTTGATCATTTCAGCTGGTCTGTCAGCTCAGTAAGGGCCTCCGTTGGTATGGAGAAGAAGTCAAAGGCTCAAATCCATTTTGGAGCAAATTTGCTTTTATTGTTGCTAATGGCAACCAAACTAAATAGAGCCATGATCCAAATGAGAATTGATTTGAAATTGCAAATTGAATTGTACATTTTTTCAAATCATTAAACTAATTTTAAGATCATTGATTGAATGTTATTTTATAAAATGCACTTTGGAAATCATGTAGACAAAGATAAATAAGCTTCAATGATGTGTGGAGCTATTGATCTTTTGTCCTGTCGGGGTCACATTCAAAATATATTCGAGAAAATTGTGTCATATTTTTATTTTCAAGGAAAACCGAAATAACATCTTTCACTTAGCTGTTCTCCTCAGCTTCTCAAGCTTATCAATAACAATTCCTGATAATTCTACTTTCTTTAAAAACATAATTCAGAAAAACAAAACTTTTATTTTGTTAAAGCAGAGCATTAATCTGACTTTTAACAGATTATGACCACGCGCCAAGCAGCATGGGCAAGAGGACTGTGGTGATCAAGACTGTTGAGACTAGAGATGGAGAGGTACAAGGATTTATACAAAGATATTGATACAAATGGCTCGTAACATGTGAAAATGAATCTGAACAAATCTGTTTTTTTCCACCAGGTGGTGAAGGAATCCAGGAGGGAGAAGGACAGAGAGTCTGCTCGCGAAGACGAGGGTGATGAAGAGTAGAAAATTGGAGATTGGAAAATGTAAAGGCCTTTGCCATGAGAACAAAAAAAAACATGTAAGAAAAACAGAAAAAAAAAACTCCAAATCGGACATATATAGTCCTCATTCTCACTAGTTATGTGTTAAATCCTCCAGCAGAGGCTTGAATTGAATGAATGAATCCCTTTAGACGGTGTCACTTTGGTGCTATTTAAGCCACCCAACTTTTGCTAAACACACGTGTGTCATCTGTTCGGCTCAGCAAAGCCATTTTACTAACCTACCACTTGAGGCCTTAGTTTACAGTGCAATCCCGTGAAATCCTGACAAGACAACACGTTTGTAGCAGAGTATCAAACTACAGGTTGGACTAGAAAGATTGAATGGAGGATTTTAGTAGTTTGTGTTCTAGGTAGGACTTACTAATAAAACTGCTGCCCATTGGTCAATACACTTTAAAAGATAGACTGCTAATACATTGACCTATTTCCATTTGTTTTGAAGCTTTGCTATCTTCTGCAAACCAAAAAATAACCAGACATAAGTTATTAATAACAGGTAAAACACTGGAAAATGTTGACATCAAAAATATGACACCAACTGAAAATAATTCTGCTGAATGTGCTTTACAATGCTGTGTGTATCTGCCACTATCGATAAATGAATATGTAATTGAAAATAAACTGCAGCAAATGTGCTTTGTCTGTTCATTTAACCCATCATGAATAACAGTAGTTCTTTTTGTCTTGTCAGTATCGAAAAGACTGAAAATTAGTCAATATCCCTTTAAACTCATGTGATTTATGGAGCTTGTTGTCTCCGTGACAACACAACATGGATACTCATTACATTGAACAAAGAACAAAGAACCAAACATCATTTAAAATTACTTCTCATCTTGTGAGGAAAGAGCCTGAAAGGAGCAAATTAAAGAGTAAAAAGTATGGACCTGAAAGGCTACTGCCTGAAATACCAAACCGAGGGCACGTTCATACCCTCAAACATTCTACTTCCGCTTCCGGTGTCATCGCTCTTGGCGGGAGACTTTGCTCAGACAACAAACAGAAAATCCTTAACTTTATACACTAGCGGCTTTTGAACGCGGAACCCGTCAAGTAGCAGCGGTGAAACGATCTGGTAAACCGATCCCCGTCATCATACTGTTATTTTTTTATTTAAGTGACTGCGGCTCAGGCTGCAGTAAACTGAAGCGTTAATTACTGTTGCAGACTACGTATTCTTAGCGATGTGTGGAGCCATTTTATGCAGCTAATTCTACCCCTCCACTAGCATAACGTTTAATATCATAGGGGACATTTTAATGACGCTAAAAATGCTATAAAACTATAAGTAGCCTAACTTTAGTAGCCCAATAAAAACCATTCAGTTCACTCAAGTTCAAGTCAACCAGTTAATAAACAAACCATGGAAAAAGTATTATTATATTATATTAGGTAATATAGGTAATATTCCCTTTTCAAAGTCATAGATCAACCAGGTCAAGATGTTCTCACTGGCTGTATATTATCTGTATACAACACAATGTGTAAATACAGTTAATATAAAGGTTCACGCGCATCAAATGTTCACAGTAAAGGCCGATGTTTGAGTTGATGTGTTGGTCTTTTAGTTTCCTACTGTACTCTGGGACTGAACAGACTGAACTTTTCCCCTTTAGGCTGTCTGATGGTAAAGAAAAGTCCTCCAGGATGAATTGTGAGCTTTTGGCAACGTGCAGTGCTCTCGGCTATCTGGAGGGAGACACCTATCACAAGGAAGCGGATTGCTTGGGTGAGTATTTATTCATGTTCTCTATCGTCAGAGGAAACGTTGACAAACTTGTTAATATCACTCCCGTCATCCTCTAACTATTCTTTATCTCGGGTTGTAGAGAGTGTAAAAGACCTGATCAGGTTTTTACGGCATGAAGATGACACCCGTGATATCCGCCAGCAGCTGGGTGCAGGCCAGATTGTACAGAATGACCTTCTTCCTATTATCATTCAGCATGGACAGGACAAGGCCTTATTCGATGCCTGCATCAGGTAGAATTACATTATGTAACTTATATTTCTATGTTGAAATGTGTGCTCATGGTTATTTCCACATTCAACTAATTTGTTGATATTGTCTTATAAAATGGAATATTGATATATATGTCTTTGCCCTACTGTTGCCAAGTATTGTTTTATTAAATATTGTTGTTATATTGGCTTGACTGTTGCTTACTTCACTTGACTTTTTTTTTTGTCAGACTCATGGTTAACCTCACTCAGCCTGCCATGCTTTGCTTTGGTAAAGTCCCCGATGATCCGGTGTTTAGACATCACTTTTTGCTAGTGACATCTCATCTACAAGCGTATAAAGAGGTACATTCACCGTGGTATAACATTTCAGTATTATAACTAATTAATGTTTTTACTAGATTGTATGCTAATAAGTACTTCTTTTGTCCTCTGCTTCAATTTCAGGAATTTGCCGGTGAAGCGGTGTTTGGCATTTTAAGTGAGACATTATACACACTTCTACAGCTAGTGAGTGTTTAATCAATTGAACAAAAATCAACATGTTTTTTCCTGCACCTGTTACACCTGCTACAGTATAGCAGTGAAATGGTTCTCCTTATTCACGTGTTTTTTTTTCTCCAATTGATTCAAAATCACTTTCTTCTCTTTCAGGACTGGGAGCAGAGACAGGAGGAGGATAATCTGCTCATAGAAAGGATCCTGCTGCTGGTCAGAAATGTGCTTCATGTACCTGCAGATCCCTGTGAAGAGAAGGTCTGACAAATATACATACTGATAAATACAGTATTACGGACATAATCCTTCATCGCGCCTCATTCCCTGATTTCTGTCCTTCCGTTAGAAAGTGGACGATGATGCCAGCATCCATGATAGGCTGCTCTGGGCCATTCACATGAGTGGTTTCGATGACCTAATCAAGTTCCTTGCTTCGGCCCAGAGTGAGCAGCAATGGAGTATGCATGTGTTGGAAATAATCTCCCTCATGTTCAGAGACCAGGTGAGACCGCAGGAAAGCCAATGGTGGCACACGTATAGATTTCCAACTGTTCTGCGTTTGAGCTCTTCTTCCTTCCATTCAGACGCCGGAAGGTTTGGTGAGCGCCGGTCATGCTCGCTCAGCTGAGGAGAAGCACAGAGACACTCTGGAGCTGGAGGCACTGAGGCAGAAGGAGCTTGCAACAAAACGCTCCCGCACATTGCAAAGAGGAACCAGGTACGATCAGACCCAGAAAATCTCATAGAAGCTATGCATATTATTTGAAGAGAGGCTTATTTGGCTTATTTGAAAAACTGCATCTTTAAGAAAATATGTATATGTTCTATTTGTGGGTTTTTTTGCATCGATGTTATTCTCTCAGACACTCTCGCTTCGGAGGGTCCTATGTTGTTGAAGGTCTCAAGTCGATTGGGGACAGAGATGTGATTTATCACAGAAATGTTCATCATGTGAGTATTGAACTCCTGTATCTCACCTCTGTTAACATGCAATGTTGCTGCATTGAGGCAAGCGCATATATATATATATATATACCTATTAAATACACTTTTTTTTTTCTAGTTCAAAAACTATACTCATGACACGGGGAAAGCAGTGAGACGTGTTCCCAAAAGGAATCGTCAGGCCCGGGAATGTAAGGACCAACGCCGCTCTGCATTAAATGTTCGACTCTTCCTGCGGGAGTTTTGTGTGGACTTCTTGGAGAACTGCTACAATCGCCTCATGTACCTTGTCAAAGTAAGCTTCTTGAACAATAATGACTGTCTCCTGGTTCTTGTATAGTAAAATACAAAAGATTTATATTTCCTAAAATAATTTAAAGTTTTATACGTTATAAACGCAACACTTTGTATATCTTGGTCTCCACAAATAGGAGAGTCTAATTCGAGAGCAGACTCAGCAACATGATGAGACGTACTACCTCTGGGCACTTAGCTTTTTCATGGCTTTCAACCGTGGCAACGGCTTCCGTGCTGACTTAGTTTCTGAAACCATGTCCATCCGTGCCTTCCATTACATTGAGCGCAACATCACCAACTACTATGAGATGATGCTAACCGACCGCAAAGAGGCCACGTCCTGGTCCCGCAGGTGAGATCACGAGGAAGCATGCTAATAGGAAAATGTAAAATTTCAGTTTTGACATTATTGTTCTTTTGCAGGATGCACCTGGCTCTAAAGGCCTATCAGGAGCTGCTGCTCACCGTAAACGAGATGGACCGCTCACAGGACGAAAGCATCCGACAAAGCTCTAGCGTTATTAAAAGTAAGATGCAAACAGATCTTAATAACTTTGAGTTAATTCTTTAACTATATGAATTCTGTACATTGTTCTAAATCTTGTTCCACAACTCGTATAACATTTTAATCCAACTGTAGTCCTGATTGCCTCATTTCTTTGCCTTCGCTTTTTTAGGCAACATATTTTATCTGATGGAATACAGGGAGATTTTCCTGACCCTGCTGAGGAAGTACGATGAAACCCGACAGCCTCACTCTTACCTCATAGATTTGGTGGAGTCCACTCATCTATTCTTGCGCATGTTAGAGCGCTTCTGCAAAGGTCGCAGGAGCTTGATGGTTCAGGTAAGTTCTTGAGCTAAATTTGTAATGTAATTCATTCTCGTACTTTCCGTGTACACATGTCAACATCTAGCTTGGTTTACTTTCCAGAAAAAGAAGGTGAGGCGGAGAAGGTCTCGCGGTAAAAAAAAGCCCTCTTCTCCAGAAACTAGTCCAGAGGCCCTTGTAGAGACCTGGAAGATTGTGGAGGAAGAGTTGAGGGCTTCAGCCTTCCAGGTCAGTGTGAGAATCCGCCCCACCCCAACCGGTCATGATCATGATCTCTTCCAACACTGAATACAACCTTTCTGTCTTCTGTGTGCAGTTGTCCGAATCTTTAACTGAGAACACCGTGCCATTCGATGCCACCTCTGAAACTCCCCTTGAGGATCAAAAGACTGAGGCCATGGTGCGGGTGCAGGATGCCCTGCTGAGTCGACTGGCCCCGGAGGCCCTCGGGTTGCTGCGTGCAGCCAGGTCAGGGAGACCTTTGACTCCTCAGACTAATCGCACATTTGTATTCATTGCGGTGTTCACCATCTTCTTATCGTCCTCAGAGAGGTGTGGCCGGAGGGAGACGTGTTTGGTTCTGCTGATGTGGAACCCGAGGAGGAGCTGGAACTCCTTAAGCAGATCCTGCATGCCAACCTGCCAAGTATGTTTTGTTTTATTTTGTTTTTTTAAATTTGTATTTACTAGATTATTTTGTATCACAGCTTATATGCATGGTTTTAGGGTCTTCACCTCCTGAGCCTGCAGAGGAGGAAGATGAGGATGCAGCAGAGTTAGAAGAGGATGAGTTGGAGTCGGTCCAGATCTCTGAAAAAGAGTTCAACTTTCTCGACTTCATCAAGCGGTGAGGAAAGCGCTGTTAAAAGTAACCGTCTGCCACTCTTGTGACTTTCCTAATGGTGCCTGTTTCTCTTCTTACCCATCACAGGTTTTCCAACCCCAGTGTTGTACGTCCGTACCTCCACTTATTGAAATCATATTCAAAGAACACTCCTCACACCAACCACTGCATCGCTCGCATGCTGCACCGCTTGGCTGTTGATCTTAAAATGGAGGCCCAGATTTTCCAGCTTTCAGTCTTCAACCTGTTCAACAAGATCCTGAGTGACCCCGCTGCAGCTGCTTATAAGGTTCACTAATGACATGAGAAAATGTTCTGTGTATCTTTGTATGCGATACAAGGGGAAGTGTATATGACACACGGGAGCTTACTTTTGTTTCTCTCCTTCACAGGAACTGGTGACCTTTGCCAAGTTTGTGCTGAATCGTTTTTTTTCTCTGGCGGCTCAAAACAACAAGGCATATGTGGAACTGTTGTTCTGGAAAAACGTGGGAGCTGTACGTGAGATGACTGAGGGCTACGGCATTGACAGGTTGGTGCATGTTCTTGTGTGTCCACCGTTGTGTAAAGCTGATTGTTGCAGGTGCACATCGGTTAGATTTTACGACATTGATTTAAACCTTCACATAAAATTAACTATGAAATGGCAAACATATCAACTCTGCTATTTTAAATTTTGCATCTCGTCCTAAATATGTTAGAGAGGAAACAAAGCCGTCGTGGACCGAAGTGGAGGAAGAGGAGTTGCGCAACCTTTACGAGGAGCACCGTCATTCCGAAGGTGTGGTTTTCTTTAGAATTTGTAATTATAGGTTACAGGAAATATTTGCATACCATATACCACGGTGTGGATTTTGCAATCGTCTGTTCTTGTGTTTAGAGCCAGATATAGTGGAGACTCTGCTGCCATTACTCAGCAACAGCAACCGCACTCGCCGCCATGTAGTGATGCAGCTGGTGCATATGGGTCTGGTGGAAAATGCTAAAGCACTAAAGAAACCAAAGTACGTTCTCCAGACGAACCGAGTGATATGCCAATGTTAACGTAGTGAATCATATATTGCATGCTTGGTGCTATACATTGGAAATTGTTGTTTTGTCTTCTGTAGGAAAGGCACCCAGATTGTTCTTTGGACTGAGGAGCAGGAGGAGGAGCTGCAGATGCTCTACGAGGAGTACAAAGACTCTGATGGTACTGGACACCCGAGTTTCATACTGTAGGACGTTGGATGAAAATGAAGTAGCTTTTCAGTTCACGTCTCCCCTCAGCACCAGTCCTAGTGCAACCACGCTCTCGGGGATGTTAATGCACGCTTCTTGTGGCGACCCCCTTTAGTGATGAAACTGTATTTTCTCAGATGTGCTGGGTAATCTCCTGAAGAAGCTCACAGCCAAGCGGTCCCGTGCACGTGTGGTGGACAAGCTGCTCAGTATGGGCTTGGTGTCTGAGAGACGACAACTTTATAAAAAGAGAAGTCGCAGCGCTCATGGGAAGAGCTCTGGAAAAGCAATGGTAAAATGACTTTAGATAACTTCTTATTGCTGATTCACAAAGCAGATAGAATTTCATCCTTTACAAAAATCACTCTTGACCGGATAAGGAAGTGTAACAATAAATAGTTGCTTTAAAAGAAGCTCCTTTTCTTTCAGACTGAAGAAGAACTAACACAAGGCTTACTAGATGATTTTGGTGACCGAGATGAGGAAGAGGACGAATCTGAAGAAGAGAGTGAGGAAGAGAAAGACGAAGCGCAAGAAAGTGAGACACAGCATGTAACAAGGAGGAGCCGGAGCCTTCCCTCCACAGAGGAGAGGGGACCTGATGTAGGCAGTACAGTGTATGCTTTACAGCAGGAAGGTGAGACAAAGGCCTTTTGTGCAGATGGTCAAATGAGAAATGTTTACCATAATGATCGCTGATATTATATATGGATATATTATATATATTTTAGACTTTGATGGATATTACAATGGCGATGGCATGGCTGTATATTTGTAAAGTGTTAAGCTCTTGTTTGGAAAGTATATCTCTCCTTCTTGCACTCTTAGGATTAGTTTCATGCTGTTTTCTTTTAATAATAGGCCTGTCTGGACCTTTGCTGTGGCTACAAAATAGTCTATACAAAACAGCCATGTACCGAGATGACGATGGTAAGTGAAACTGTCCCAAAAAAAAGTATCCAAATATCTCTTGTACTGTTTCCTTATTCTATTTCAAGTGGGTTTGGCTTTCTGTGAATGTGTAATGTGAAAAATGTAAGTATTTATTGTGGTTTGGTCTGTTGATTAAATTGTTACAATCTGTTCTCCAGGATTTTCCCAGGATGTGCCATTTGTTCCTTTCGGCGAGGAAAATGCAGACGCCATGGAAAACAAGACCTTCCGGAGGCTGTTGCGCAAACTGGGACTTCGACCACCTGCAAATGAACAGGTGTGGTTTTCGTGTGTGATATTTCACCACTTCAGCCTGTTCTAATTCCGTTTGTGCTTCCATTTAAGACTTTCTTTAAGTTTCTCCATTTGATTGCAAAATCATCTAAAAAGATTTTAAAAAACTCTATTCCAACAAAATACTGTACAGCAGATATTTTACGTCTAAATTCATTTGAGTTCGTTTTTACTTCTCTGTAACCAGGAAACCTTTTGGAGAATCCCAGCAGAGATCAGCGACTCCCAGCTCAAAAGTGCAGCTGCAGCCCTACGACCGAGAGACGAAGTACCTAAAGGAGCCGAGGAGCAAGACAGCTCCAGGAGTCCCATCGGAGAATCCCAGGGGGAGGATGAGGAGGAGAACAATGAGAATGAGAATGAGAAGGAGAATGAGAATGAGAGGAAGAAGGAGGAGAGGAAGAAGGAGGAGAGGAAGAAGGAGAAGGAAGAGGGAGAAGTCTCAGTTGAACATCGAGTTCAGGCTCTGAGAGCTGTGCGGCTCAAACGGCAGAGGAAACGTCACACCTCGGAACATACAGGTACGCGTGGGAGCTTCAGAGTATGCAACTTGTCTCAGATGACAGCCGTTCAGTGCTGAATTACAGGTCTACAAGGCTAGCCTGCTTGGGCTACGTTGACTACCAAAAATTTCATTTTACATTATTTTTAAATGTCAAATAAATGTCTGGTTTTAATTTGCTAAGAATATAAGATAAATCCACTGCAAAGTTCTCCTTGACACGTAGCGAAGTAATTGTGGTATTTTAAAAATCTCAAATGTATCGAATTGTCAGAAAATATAAAGGACAGTTTCAGCTAATAATAAATTCCTTTGGTAAAGCAGCTTTAAAGACGAGTGCGAGACGTGAAACGATTAGATGAGTCATGGATTGAGAGGACTTAAATATTCAGCTTTTCTTTTCTTTCTTTTTTAGCTCCTGTGTCAGATTTCACTCCTTCTGAGGAAACGGACAATAATCTTGAGAGGTGAGTTATCTGTTTTTTCTTAAACCACAAATCTGAAAAATGTCTACTTTTAGTTCTGAACACGGCTTAATCTATTCCCCCACACAGGTCCCGGGAGAAGGCATCAAACAAAAGAAGCAGGTTGTTGGATGACGAAAATGAGGAGAATGGTATTTACTGTAGAATATCAAATTAGAATTTTAATGCTTGTATTCATAAATAAGAGGCCACTCTCAATACGTATTAAGGCACCGTAATAGCATGTTGTCTCTCTTTATTTGCTAAAGAGATTTGCGCTACGTCAGTCTGGGAACCATAGTGATCCTCTGATAATATTGGTGTTGAACTTACTGTTTTTACAGGGAATGACTCCACGATGGCGACTGCTATGGAAACCAACGACGGCCCAGATTCAGACAGGGAGGATATCTCTGCCCCTGTAAAGCGTAGACGGAAGTTGGTGTTAATTGATGAAGATGAGGATTAGTGACTTTGTAATGGACTGTAAAAGGCAGGGGAGTCATAAAAGGCCTTTGCTTTGCTCGGAGGTGGATGCACCCCTCTGGATGGTCTGTAGTCTAGAGAGCAAATTTTTTATATATTAGTTGTGGGAAGTAAGTTCTGTTTTTATTTTTTGTTCATTGTTCCTTTTAATCTTTGTGTGTGTGTGTGTGTGTGTGTGCGTGTGCGTGCATTGTACAGGTATTGCTGTCAGAGAAAGAATTGTATCACAGAATTTCATTTATAACTTTGAGCTGAAGGTTAATAGTCTCATTGTTTTAGTACCTTTTTGGTTCTCAGAGTAACATGTATGTCTCCTTAATAATAATGAATAAAAAGCAATAATGTCAACTTATTGTCCCATAGGCTGCTTTTGTTGTCACTACATCATGTTGAACAGTAGAGGGCACTTAATGTTAATCCATTCATTTAGTTTGTAAATTACTTCAAGTACTATTTGGATGTATGTATGTAGAATATCTTAATTGAACTTTTGAATACATTGTACATTAATTTCTTTTGTGAGCAGCACGCTTCCTCAGTATTTTATCTCTTGTGAGCGAGAGGCCCAGTGGGAATGATGACTGGTTACAATCTCAATCCGTCCATGTGTCGGTTTTATATTTGTGCAGAGACGACATGAACGGATGTATTTTGACTGAGCTTTCTAGATAGAGGATCCTGTATGTGAGCAGTTGCTGCCTATATTCATCCATGTTTTGCAGCTGTGTCGGAGGTGGTCTCTTGTCCCCACATCTGGACCATGTTAGTAACTTCCTGTCACAGCATCTGTTCTGCCCCATCCCACAGAGCCACGAGCAGACTTGGAGATCCACAGATACTCCTAGTCCATGAAACTAAGAGGTTGAATGTGTATCTCTTCATCTGTACAGACTGTACTGACATGTCTCCATGTGTTAACCTAAACCCGACTTGGACAGACGGTATATTGAGTTTAGAGGTTGCTCAATATATTGTAACCAGAACATAGAAGCCTTGAGGCTGTATTGCATAAATGTTGGCAACCTATACATTATGCAGGCATTAAATTATGGAAATAGAAACCAAACTTTTATTAGTGAAAAGAAAAACCTGTTTTTTTTAATTCATTTAAAAGCTGCAAAAGTCACAGTACTAATGTTGCTTATTCATAAATGAATCATTAAATGTTAAATCCTGCGTCGAAAGACTAAAGGGTTTTACTGCCGTATAGATCTTCCTCTGGGACTCTAGAAAAATGGGGGGGAAATGTAGTATTGAGATGTGGAGGAAAAACAACTTTATTTGTCGCGTAGTTTGTTTTCCCCACACTTTGCTCGGATAGAAGTTACGTGAATTTCTCCACATAACACGACAAACGCAGCCTTCACATATCTGTTTTTATATGTCAGGTTGGTCATTTTGGGACTATAGGGAATTTCTGTTGTGCAGCAGCCTACAGGCCCTTTCAGAGTAATACTCTCTGATCTTAATGATCTGCTAATAAAGTCAACCCGACTGAACCGATCATAGACTTCTCTCCATTTGTAAATGTTCACTGAACGCCGTGCACGTGGTGAACTATGAACAGGTGTGACTCGAGCCGTTGAACTGTTGGTGTAACGGCCATGCAGCCTACGGTCGTTTCTATAAAAAATACAACTCCCTGGCTCAGACACGTGCAACCGCCTCCTACGGTTGACCCTGTGGTGCAAATGAGGAGCTCCTACAGTCTCAGCATTCACAGCTGTAGCTAATTCCTTTTGAATGTACCAACACAACCCATTCCACAGGGTCCTATGTCAACAGTTGTTGCTCTAAACACAGTAAGTACACAACGCCATTCATTTCTATTATTATATATATATATATATATATATATATATATATATATATATATATATATATATATATATATGTGGCTTTACTGCTTTATAAAAAAGACGCCCTTTAAAAAAGATTTAGAATCGTGTTTCTCTAATGGTTAAATTGCTATTGAGTGATGGATCAGTTATGAGTCATCTATAAGGTTAACTTTAACCTAAGGCAGTAAAAACAATCTCCTTATTGAAACATAATGAGTGTCATTGAGTCAGTTATAAATATTTATATGTGCTGTTTACTGATAAGGGACAAGGTTTCTCACCTTGTATGACAGAAAACACGAGGGAGGTCACTTATATAACTTAATGATGACTTTTAATTATCAGTGTTTGTTTTTAAAATGTGTACACCCAAGTTATCAGGAAAAGCATTAGTGATACTGAATAGATGTATCTTGCAAAATAAAGTACATTTAATTTAATCACTGTAGTTTTAACCTTTTATAGCTACCACCTATTAAACAAAATGTGTTCTTGCTGGTTTAAATACTCTGTAAAACGTTATCGGAGTGTTTTGTTAGCAATTATTAATGCCATTCATTACAGTTATGAACCCTTTCCAATAGTGCTTTGGTAGAAAGTGGTACTGGTATTAACCAATCCTAATTTTTAAATTAAAAAAACAAACAGCTGTTGTTTAGCCAGTTTGGGCCATAAAGTTAGGTTTCTTTGCTGTAATGGGGACAGTTTTGGGGGAAACAAAACACCAGGTTAACAGTTTGGTGTAAATGTACTTCTGAGACTCCTATGAGTTCATTAATATAACCCCCGTTAATTGAATGGGTTTATTGCTATAGCTGGCTAGCTCATTAAAGTTCAGAGCTTCATCTGTTGCTGTGCCCCCCCCCCCCCCCCCCCTTAACTCCCCCCTTACCCCTCCCGCCTCGCCTCTCTTCCAACGGCTCAAGTGACGTCGCTGGATGGAGATAGAAAGGAGGGTTTTCCTTGGAGCCAAAAAACACATATTCCTCCTTTGTTTTGTTTGTAGCGGAGCAGAGAGGGAGGCGTGCGGGGACGCGGTGGGACCTGTAGCCGGGTGCCGCGCCGTCACACACGGGAACTTCAACGGTCAGTTCGGACACAAAAAGTAAGGAAAAGTAAGTTCGTAAACGTTAGCTGATCGAGTCTCCTCCGGTCCGCCGTCATATAAAAAGACACGTTTCCGCGAGGCAGCGAGAGGAAGAATCCGATGCCGTGGTTGTCGGCTCGATGCAGCCCGTGAGTTTAAAAAGAGCCCGGTGAGAAGCTGAGAGAAGCCCGGTTTTCCCCGGTTCTCTGATCGGTTTTTCCTGTTTGACGGGCCATCTCTCGAGCACGCGCGCAGACTCATCGGTAAGTCTTTTTTAAATCACTTTCATTACCAACTTATATATACGTTTTTCGTGCTGCAGATGTCCACATCCATAGGATATTTTTCTATGTTTGTTTGTGCCAATGAGACGTTTGAATTCAGTTCACTCTGTTACTGTACTTTATTATCGATGATGGGGATTGAGATCAGATCATGACCGATCAGAGGGAAACTGTTTGTAATAACGTGTAACAAACCCGGCTGCTCATCTTTATGTGGGTTCACTGAACTAGACATTTACTCTACGTTTTAACGTGGATCTGTGGTACAGTTTCTGCTTTTTGAATATGGTAGGTGGATTGCAACTTTTAACAAAAAATAATAATCAATACAGAAATATTTTGGCCCCAGTTGCATGTTATGTACAAGTCTGATGTACACATGGAGGAATATAACTCATGTTTCTTTACGCCCATAGCGCCTATGCATATGTGTACCTTTAGAGGGACATGCTTCATCTCGGGAAGCCAACATGTGCCTTCTGGCCCACGTAGCGTGCAAGCAGCCTCGGCTCTGTGGTTCGGTGCCCGTTGGGTTTTTGGGCTGTGTGATGATAGCCTGCGGGTCCTGTCTTTACTAGGGAGTGCAGTCTGTAGTTACACCCCCTCAGTGTGCCCCCCTCCCATCTACTCGACCCACTCTGTGGGACTGTCAGGGACTGTCAGCCTGCACCAGATGGTTTTGTCCCTTTGAAAAGGTGGAGGAAGCCCTTCCTTGCGTTGGGGAAAGAGGCAGGAAAGGAGGCCTGAGGGGAGAAAGGCTGTGATCAAAAGTTACACTGCACATGTTGTTTTGCATGGTGCGTTTTAATTTGCGCGGACGCAACAGTGTCATTTTTGTCTTGCATTTTTTATCAAAATGTGTTAACAGCAAGTTAAACACAAAAAAGTTTTGAAAACTATTAAGAAAACTGGGCCATAGGATGAGGTTTATCCTTCTAATTAAAGTATTGGCTTTCGCCCAGATGTCCCATTTCAAACTGTAGATGGCTGCATTGGTAAACTACGTTTTGTATCAATAAAGTAAACTATTCACTTGCTTACCAGTATTTTAAAGCACAAATATTACTCATCAACTGTTAAATAATAATAATTTTGCTTAGTTTACCGCAAGTCTTCAGAATCAATGGGTTAGCACTCCTTTACGCGCTGCACATGGACACACAGAATCTATAAGGAATGAATCAGAGGAGCAGTGTTAAGAAAGAGCTGTGCTGTATAATCTGTGCAAGACTGATGTGCGTAATTGTACATATAAACTGCCGTGCTTTCTCTTTTTATAAAATGCATACATTTATAATATATGTCCTTGTTGTTTTTTAATGTGCTATAAGCTCATACATGTACATGTTTTATTACCCAACCAAAAGTGTAATTGCTAATATCAGCAAATGCAATCAATAATGTCTTTTTGTGTCTTCTTCTTAAATGAATGAACTAAAGAGGCCCAACTGAGGAAAAAAAGGAGTTCAATGGTTGAGCTGCAACCAGTCAAATTCAAGAGAGGAGGGACTCCTGCGTGGTGGAAAAGACCCATTGTCACAAGGAAACCACATGAAAACCGATACCAGTCATTTTAAAACATCCACCCATAAGCTACTTATAGCACATAAAACATTGGTTCTAGCTATGACATAAGAGGGACATTGAATTGGCTTGTAAAATGAAGGACACACATGATATTTTAGCCTTGTGAGATCGCTGTCGGAGGTACAATTATTGTCGAGTGGAATTGGACAAAGAGGGTTAACTGGCCGCTCTAAATGATAGAGCTGCTGTGGATGTGCTGCAGACATATATAGACACTGCGTGGAGGTCTGAACCGCTAGCAGACCTCTCCACAAAGTATCACAACTCAAGAAGTGGCCAACTGAATTTATTTTGAAAGTTTACTTGAACCACGAACTCTTATTAGAAAGAAATAAAAACACAAGTTTAACAAGAGATAAACAAAGACATTGACGCTGCAATAATAACACTATACCTCCATGCCTTTTCCTCAGCTCAACTTCCAACCAGGAGGATGTTGGTGTCTTGCTCAGGGACTCATCAGAAGCATATATTATCTCCTACACTGTCATGTTCTCCCTCGCATGTAGAGACCAGACTCCACCGCACCGCCTGCTAAATCTTGCTCTCTACCACAGACCCTAATAGAGTGTTGTGGAACTGCCGCTCCGAAGTGCACACACTGTACGCTCCTTCCTCTGCTGCTGGATCACAACTCTTATTTACAACAGCAGAGTGCTTACTTGATGAATATTTGTATGGATATTAGTCCTAGCTATGTTAACGGCTATGTGTGTACAGTACACTCAAACACCGTCGACACGTGACTTTTGAAAAGCCTCCTTGTAGTGTTTCTGATCTCTATAAGTAGCTCTCTGCATTCATAAATTGAAAGGCCTCTATTGTTCGGACTAAAGTCCGCATGAGATTGAGAGATTATGAGGGAAGAAGAGGTTGGATACAAGTAATGAAATACTGACTCAAAGGATTGTTATGGGTGTTCATGGCCAGAAGCTAAATGATTTGGCAGTGAAAATGATGAAAACATTTTTTGATTTAGAAGTAGCAGACTTTGATTGAAGTCGTAAACTAGAATGTTGCAAAATAACGTGAACCTTTAAAAACCCTGGGCCGTGATCAAGATGTCGTGTTCTAAAACACTGTCGGCTTTGTGAGTAGTTTTACATTTGGATTCACTATATTGGAATATGTGGTCACAATTTGTGTATTGTGAGGAATAAAGTAAAAACATATTTTGTCACATTAGGTTGAGGTACCGACTATGAACTCTGTCATGTTATTGTTTTTTCATTACACAAGTTGTTACAGCAGTTTCAATCACATAAGCGGCGATACAATGGCAAGTGTTATGTGTGGATTAGCCTGTGAGCCAGACAGATTACAAGCTTGTTATAATCATATTGCAAGGTAGCGTTTTCTACTGTTTTTTAATGACTCGGTCCAGTTCTTTGTGTTGACACTGCTAACTTTCATGGCAGTGCAGATTTCTAGGTGTTGTGTTCCCCAATACCAGATTCTCATTTGAAAGCAGACAGCGTCGTTGTTGAGGTGAATTGATGTTTCACTGTTGGTGATCCAACTCTTGGGTTGCTGTCTGCACTCGGTCACAAACACAACGGTCAGTTCCTGCTGAAAGCTGATGTTCCACTTCCTCATGTGGCCCTGAGCTTCCTGCTGTGGAAAGACAGGAAGCTCAATGGGGGCCACTGTGATCTCTCGTTCAATGGGATTCTGAGTGAAAGCAGATGTCATTGGGATGATGAGAATTTATTTATCCATGTTGTCCAGTTTCATGCTCAGCACAATATGGGGGCTGCTTTAATGAGCCCACCTGCGATAGTAAGCTTCATTCCCATCCTTCCCGGTGTCTGAATCCAATCAGTCTTTCAGCTGAGTATTTGAATGTGCCTTCATTTTACTCTGCAACTGAACAGTGCAGAATCCAGATGCACCTCACATCCTTGGTGGAGTCTTCCAAGTGAAGTTATCAAACAGCCAGGTCGTAACACTGCAGGTATTCAGCTTCTCAGCTGTTGGATGAGCACTTATAGAATCCTAGGCGGTGATCAGACACACCCTGCCCATGATTAAACACACCCAAATTTGCTATGTGGGGAACTTTTAGTCGGCCCTGCCTGTCCCACAGCAGCTGGGCCCTCAAACCTGTGCTACTCAGCCCCCATGCAGTATTGGTTCAGGGGTATACTGTTTTGCGGCTTTTTAGTTCAGGAGCAACATAATATTCCAATAGGACCTCTGAAGCTGATGATTGTGTGTCAATGCACTGCTCCCTCTGCTAAACTGTAAGTGATACTTTTAAAGGCCAGTATTTGTGCTTTTTTTCTTGTTGTGCCATTTGAGTAAATGAGGTTGACACTTTTCATTACTCAATTGGTCAAGGGAATGCTAGGAAATGTAATACTTGTCAAAGGTTTTTGCCCCGATAGACCAGTGAGTGATTTGTTCAATTTTGATATAATTTTAGGGTTGATATTTTTATTTCAATTTTTATGGATTGATGAAATTTGGTGTTTAAGATTGAAGGATAATTTTTTATAAATGAATCCTCTAACTTTTCAAATGTTCATTTGATAACTACATCTTGTTTATAAACCATTTAAAAGTCGGTTGAAAAGTGAACAAATTAGTATTATTTAAAGTACATGTACCACTACCAACACAATGTTATGGGTGAGCGAGCTGACAGTAGCAAGATGGCCGCCATGTGCGTCCGTCTACTCCGCTGTAAGACATCTAGCCTTTAAATATATCTATGGGTGAACCTGGTAAAAATCTGCATGTTAACATCGTTACTGTGAGCATGTTAGCATGCTGATGTTAGCATCTAGCCACAGCTAAGTTAGTACATTGTATTTGTTGCCAGGCTACTTTAGCTTTAAGCTAGGAGGAGGCATTGGGGAGCTAGTAGCCTCCAGTGAGCTCAGTCATTTAGATAGATAGTTCTGTTTCTAGTTTGGTACCCCTCCTTTCATCACTCACCAGCCCTCTGAAGGCAAATACTTGGCACCATCTTACAGCAAACACAGAGGGTCTACCAGTCTCCTTGGTGCTCTCAGCCATCTTTATGTGGTCTATTTTACCGTCTGCATGGTTTCCTCTGAGTTCCACTAGAGGTCACAGCATGGGCCTCAGAGTCTTTGTTTTGCCCCATAATGGCTCTATTCTCTCACAGCAGCAAAGACTTCCAAGCCCGCTAAACATAGGACACCATTGTGACTCATGGAAGGGTAAAATGAGCAAAGACGTGCAGAGGTGGATGTGCGTGCTGAGTTAAGTAAATTACTGTTAAAATGGTGTTAAAATATCAAAAAGTTGGAACATAGTGCACCCATTGCTGCTAGTCCAAAACAAAAAGTGTTTTACCATTTGCAATATGAGATTCAACAATAACCAAATATGATTTGTGGTAAAGGGGAGGACACTGGACTTGTAATTTTTATCAGTGATGCTGATTATTATCATGATTTAACTTAATTTGAAAAGCCGACCCTTATTCTACAACTTTGGTGTTCAGCTTGCAAGTCTTGAAACAGAGTTAACCCTTATAGATTAGACTATGAGAATGTAGGAGTTAGTGTCCTGCTGCCCACACTCTGAATGTAGTTTTATATTATTCTACGAAAGAGAATTATTCATTATTATTAAGTCGGCTTAGGTTGATGAAGAGAAGATTATAGTCTTATTGAATATAGAAATCTTTTCTGCACTCGTTTTTTTTAAGTTAGAGAAGAGGATACTTACTGAAAGAATGCGAGTGACTAAAGAAGAATAGGAAAACTTTCCGATAGATTCCATTTTTTCCATGTAAAGTCATTGGCAGGCCATGCAAATTACACAGCCCTGTGTAATAAAGGCAGGCGTCCTTTCCCTGCCTGTTTGTCTAAAGTAGAAAACGTGAGTGAGCTGTAATCTGATCCCAGCTGTGGTGAGATCATACAGGAGGCCTTCCAGCAGCCTCAGAAAAGCAGTCCACCCATAAGCCTTTAGCCCCACTACAGCCCTCTGTGGCTCACTACAGCCCTGCCAGCTTAAATATCACATACAATTTTGCAAGAGTACTAGTTGGTCCTTGAAATTACAGAGGGGAAATGAGAAAGAACTACGCTTTCTTTTTAAAGCACTGTTTTTCATGAAATTTGATAGAAAAAGATGGGTTTCATGCCATTATTTTATAGGACTTAATCCATATCACCAAATCTGATTATCTGTTGGAACCGAAGGCTTAAGTGTTTCATTATGAATTGAGAAAACAATCCAACTTATATCAAATAAACTGTTTGACAGAGCTGAAATCAAGGTGGTTCTTAGCAAATGAAAAGTCAACATTTTGGAAATCCATGATTTCCACAGGAGAATAACTGATTCTGCGCTGACATAATTTTTGACATAGATACTGTGTCCACTAGCTGTTATCATAAAACATGTATCAATTAACTCTATGTGTGTATATTTCTAATACGCAGCAGTGCTACGTAGGATAAAATCGTAAAAAAGCTAATTCGGCATGGAAGAAAATTGACCAAATCCTTGCAGAACAGATTACTCAAAGGCTCTTTCAGTTTAATAGTTTTTTTGTGTTTAAATCTGATAAAGTAAATCCAATTACTCTCCTCAGATGACAGACCACAACTGTCAAAGTTCCTGACCCCAGTGATCCAGGGGCGACATAGATAAGGAACGAGGGTCCTGGTACATGGGTTATAGAGAGTGAATGAGTTGCTTGTGTGAATGCCTGTGCGTACAGGATTGTGGAGTTGCATAGCTTTGTGAGTTGAGCATATGACAGCTGCACATACAGCGAAGCTCGCAAGTCACAGTTGACCTCAAGATTTCACACATCACATTTATGCCCGTATTTGAGTTTTCTCCCCTGAATTCGTCAACTTTTCCTCTCCTCCTGCAGTCACCAGACCAGTTCAGATGGGGCTGAGATAACGCCACCAGAAGTTCCACCCTTGTGCCGAACGCGAGCCTCCCACATTCAGCCAGAATGGCAGATCCCACGGGGCCGAGCTCAGCAGGGGCCGGGTCAGGCGACGTCGACGCCTGTAGTTTGGAGATAGAGAGAAACTATGATGTCATCCCTACCGTCATCTGCTCCATGTGTTGCCTGTTTGGCATCATCTACTGCTTCTTTGGTGAGGATCTCAGCGGGCTCACGGTCCTCGAAATCAAGAACGCTGAAACAGAGTTTTTTTGGTATATCTTACCTACAGCTGCTCAGATATTGATACCTCAGATACTGCCAAAAATACAGGATTGGGTTGCAATATTTACTGCACGCTGCCCAGGTGCAACCATCATCAAAACATGGACTCGCTTGTTAATTTTAGTTAAAACTTCTGATTCCTCATCGTAGATCTCTGCTGTCTCTCCTCTTCTAGGTTACCGCTGTTTCAAGGCTGTCATGTTCCTGTCTGGTCTGATGTTTGGCTCCATCATCATTTTCTTGCTGTGTCACAAGGAGCATGTGCTGGACACCCAGCTGAGCGTGGAGGCCAGCGCGGGCATCGGCCTCGGCATCGGCCTGCTGTGTGGTCTGGTCACCATGCTGGTACGAAGCGTCGGCCTCTTCATGACTGGACTGATGCTCGGCCTCCTCCTCGCTCTAGCAGCCCTGCTGGTCGCTCATCAGTTTAACACTCCAACCACAGTCTGGGTCCCACTGGGGACCCTTTTGGGGACCGGTATGCTGTTTGCTGTGCTGACGCTGCAGTGGCAAAAGCTCTTCACCATGCTCTCCACGGCTGTGTTTGGTGCAGCTATCATGACAGTATGTGCTGATTACTTTGTGGAGATGCTGGTTTTGGCCATGCATGTGTATGGATGCTTGCGCCTCACACCCGGGCCACCTCTCTGCTGGTACAGCTGGGTCATTCTGAGCATCTGGCCCGCCCTCAGCCTCATAGGAGTACTAGTCCAGTGGAAACTGACGGATGACAGCTTCTCCCACACTGAGGGTAAGGTGGAAATGACATGACCCTTTAAAGTTCCGGGGTAGGTTTGACTAAGGCAATATACCGTATTTTCCGCACTCCAAGGCGCACTTAAAAGCCTTTAATTTTCTCAAAAAACGACAGTGCGCCTTATAATCCGGAGCACCTTATATATGGATCAATTGGTTAATTGGTTGATCCATACTGGTTGTACACTGCGCTCAAGGCGCTCTGCCAAACATGCCAAATCTCGGTCTACGACGGCGAGATGCTGAGCGGGCGCTCAAACGCGTGAGATATGGAGCTTGTTTCAGGGCGCGTCGGAGAAACAAAGCTGTCGTTCTTGCCGAGCACATAATGAGATTAAAGAGCGAGAGACGGGGCCCTTTTCTCTACAGTAGCTGAACCATCTTAACGGGTAAAATAAGTTATAATAAAAGGGGCCCTTGGCAGGCGGCGTGGCTGGAAAGCAGCCAAAGATTTAAGGCGTGCATGGCGAGGGGGGTGGCGGGAGCGGACGCACCTCGCAGCAGCGATCGGACCCTGCCGGACACCTCCCCCCCCATCCACACGCCCCGACGTCAAACGTTTGACTGCAGTATCTTATGCGCCTTATAATCCGGTGCGCCCTATATATGAAAAATGTTCTATAATCGGTCATTCATTGGAGGTGCGCCTTATAATTCGGTGCGCCTTATAGTGCCGAAAATACGGTAATCATCCAACTTCAGAGAATTACACAAAAACAATAGAGTAAAAAGTTTTCTTCAGTTGTTACACAACTTAGGCTGCATTCACACCAGATGTGGTGGTGTATGAGTCACTTAAATAACCGATTTGTGACATCAATGGTTTTCATGCCTGATAAATGCTAAAACAAATTGAGTTAAAGAAAAGGTGGTGTAGCATCCTATCAGATGTCATCTATCATCTATTATGACTTTTTGTGCAGTACGTAAATTACATGACGTCCAACAATGACTGTTCGTCCTCATGACATAATACAGAATGACATTTTTATGACAAACTTGACATGTCTTTGAGACGTACTGTACTATGACTTTTTAAATTTCTTTTCTGATGACAAACTGTGATTTTTTAAATTATTATTATTATTTTTATGATTTATTACTTGATAATCGGACCTTGATTTATTATTATTGAACAAGAATACTATATAATTTGTGTATTACATACTATTAGGGACTTTCGATGACATTTTATTCACTTTGATTACTTCTTTTATGACATTCTGTACTATAAATTCTTACATACTGTTACATACCTTGATGGAATTACTTCAAATTGTACACAAACTGAGTGAAGGATGAACCGATTATACTTTGCTAGTCAAAGGTCATTGCCGCTATGACCACACGGCCGTCCTGTTCTTCTGATGGAATTTATCTTGCACAAAAATCTCCTTGGACTCAAGGATGAACTGATTAGTAATGGTGGTAAAACAACATGGTCAACCTCACAAAACACAAGATCTCATAAGTCTAAAAATTAAGCTTAATGAAGCTGTCGTTGAATTTTCTCTTCTCTTTGTAGTTGTCATCAGTCGGAGACAGAAGAGAGTCCAGCTGATGAGAATCAGAGAGAAGGACGCCAAGAAGCGACAGCAGGCAGGTGGGCAGGAAGGCACATACCGCCGTAAACCCACCCCAGTGAAACGTTACGCTGGGGATCTACTGGCACCGGTCAGTGTCACCCAACATGCCGTGTGCTGCAGATGCTGATTATTGGGGTTTTATGGCATCAGTTATTCCAGTGAGACTAACAGATGCAATAAAATCCTTGTCAAGTTGCCACCGTTTTTGTGTACCTGACTCATCTCCCCGTGCCTTGTTCTTCTTAGAGCTACCTACAAAGTTTGCGGGACAGACAGATGGACACAGGTACTTCCCTTAGCAGCCTGGGCACTGCCAACCACACCACGATCGACTTGGACTATGACTCCGGCTCCACCGCGCCCCTTACAGCTACAACCCCGGTCGTCAGGGTCTGAGCAAAGGGGACGGCCCACAGCTCTTTGGTTCTCCAACTTTGTCTTCCTAACACATAACTTAACCAACAAACCCTCAGCTAAAGTTTTATCGTGCCCTTACATTGATTGGGGGAATGAGAATGCTGCTTTTTGGGGGGAAATGAGAATTGAGGATCACCTGTTTGGTGAAAGCTATAATATAACCACTACAACTACTGTGTTTCTCAGAGAAACACTTCAAAACAGATACTAACAAAGTAAGGGCCTCATTTTTTTTCATGATGTATTAAATACATAAATAGCAAGTACGAGCCTCAAAAACGGTTGTATAGCTGTTAAGGTAGTGAAGTGACAAAGCAATTTGTTTACGTTGCATGTACTGTACTTAATAAGTTTAGTCAACATGAAGTGTTGGTATTACCTGTCTTACCTGTTTAACTGTGTGCTCGTGGGAGTTGTGTTTTTCTTTAAAATGACTGTGTATTTGTTTAAATGGAGTTTGGTTTTGAAAGAAAGTATAATATGGCAGATGGATACATGTATGACAAGTGAAAAAAAAAAATGGTGTAAAGAAAATACTGTATTTCCCATCAGAATAGAGTAGGCAAAGAATGTAGACAGTGGTATGCTTGTGGGGTGAACTTTATATAAGTTAATTTATATATTTACCAAGTACATCATAAGGGTAAAAAAGGAGAAAAAAACAAGCATGTTTGTTGTTAAGAATTATCAATCGTGTTGTTGTTTTTTGCAGGGACAATGCACTTGTTACCTGAATCTGTACATATCTGTTGATAGAAATTGCAAAGATAGATAAATGTGTTTCATACAAAAACATTTTTTGTGCATTGATTGAGTCAGATTAATGGCACTGTTTGTCTCTTCTGGCCCCTAGCAACCTGGCAGCATTACTCCGCAGGCTTTTCATGGGCAATAACGAGGTCATGGGGAGGATTTCCAACTCTGTAACTGGTTGGGGTTGTCATGGCGCTTTCAAAGTTGTTTTTTTGCAGACAACATAATGCAGGACAGACTGGCATTGTTTCATTGTAGAGCATTTTACATTTGAACTGAAAATCTGAATCTGGACAAAATATCTTTGACACATGACTTCTGACAGACTCATAAGATAAGAAAACATTTTATTGCTTAAGAGCACTGAAAAAACATTTAAAAGATGCAAGATTCGGTAAAAACATTGAACGGGAAGTGCGCACTCCCATCATATTATATCACACATAATCCAACACATATGTTTTGAGAGAAACACAAGGCCTTTCTTAATTTCTCCCTGAGATCATACAAAAGCTTACATAATTCTCGCAGTCACAAAAACACAAATATGTCCTCGAAGGAGAATTTTACAATCAGTCACTGCTGTTGAGGTTGCCTGGTTGTCAATGCCTTTGGAGTGGAACCAGCACCCCTGCCGTGGACTTCTTGATACATGCCGCCCCCTGCTGGTTTGCCCCTAGCATCGCATCCAGCGCTCCCTCTTGCTCAGCGGGTATCCTCCGTCAACCCTCAGCAGCTTATTCACACGCCAGTACTCATCTCCCTTAAAGAAGTAGATTTTGCCATTGGTCCAGGTGAAGGCTGCATCCGGACTGGACGGCACTCCAGTGAAGAGCATAGAGAGCGGTTTGGGGTAGCGGCTTAGGTCAGTGTAGCTCAACTCATCCCACTGCCAGTGCTGTGAACCCTACGCAGGCAGACAGCAGAGAGATTACAAACAAGTGTTTCTGCAAAAAGGAATTTCTGGTGGGAACGCATGGATATGTGTAAAGGTTGCTCTTGCTTTCCTACCTTGATGAAGACCAACTTCTTGTTCTTCTCCAGATAAAGGGCTCCATCAATATTAGGAGGGATCCGTTTGACCTGTTTTGGGTAGCCGTAGTCCAACACGAACATGGAATATCTCCACACTTTATTGTCTGGGACCAGAAACAGTCAAAAGAGTCACACACTTCCTGGACTCTCAGCTGGAGAACAAAATAGCAAATGACAGAGGCGTTGCACAACTGTACCTTTAAAAAAGTATGTTTTGTTGGTTCTTTGAGAGTACACAACAGCATCCAGGTTCCCAGGGAGGGCCCTCCACAGCAAGTCAATCTTTATTGGTGTGTTGTGTCCCAGATCGGAGATTGTCCAGACGTAATCACCACTAAAAGCAAATGTTTTCCTCCACGGACCTAAAGAAACACATAGGTGTTTCTTTAGGTCCGTATAGGACACGGGACCACATAGAAACACTTGGTGTGACACATATTGCAATCCTGCTGTTGAAGAGTTGACGTAAAGTCAGTCTGCAATGCACATAGGAAGCGCTTCACACACTTATTACTCTAGCAAAGGATCATCTCTAATGTACCTAACATGATGGCATCCAGTCTGGCAGTGCAGGGGTCAGGGATGTTCTCAGCACCATGGGGGCTTCCTGGAGCTGTTGGACTGGCTAAAGTGCTGGTGATGTGTTTACCTACAAAGCAGAGAAGCCTAAGAAAGTACACCTTCCTTATTTTGACATAGAACACTGTGACTAAAAGTCACTCATTCAGTGTCATGGTATGGATTCATGCAAATTCACAAACACAGATACAACACACTTGTAAACAAGTTGAAAGCTCTGATGTAATCCAGGGAGCTTTCTTGATGCACTTACCATACAGTATCTGGATGCCTCTGATATCATCTGCATGCAACCTGAAATTGGCTCTGTAACCGGAGTAGACTGGAGCCATCAGAGCACTTCTGAACTGAGAGTGGCCCAGGCCGAGGGCGTGGCCGATTTCATGTGCAGCCACAATGCGCAGATTAGTACCGTAGTATGTTCCCTCAGTCCAGAACTCATCCTCATCAAAATGGACTACACCAGATTCCGGTGACTCGGCATGGGCAAGTACGTGACCTGCAGGTGGTACAAAACAGGCAATTTCAGTTTGTGTTTAAGGGGATAGTAGGCCAATAAATTAAAAATTAAAAAAACTGACCACGGCCATCGAATGCGATGGAGCAGTAGCCGTCGTTCTTGTGAAAGGAGATCTTGATGTCCGCTCTGCCATAGTTGACCTCTCTGAAGGTCAAAGCAGCTACATCACTCCAATACCTGAAGGCGGATTGGACCGCCATGTCCACCTCTACCTTCTTCATGTCAGGTGTGTAGTTGTAGATGCGGTAGGTTAGGCTCCTCTTTTTCCAGCGACCTGTAAGAGAAGAATCCTTTTCTTCTGATTAACTGTAGAAAGATCATCTACTAAGCTTGAATTAACACTTTCTATATTTGTTAGTGAGACCAGAAGTGAAAAATAAAAATGAAATGGAACTTAATTGGCCCAATGACCTATTAGGACATTTGGACATTTTGATACTTTACTTTACTACTAGCAAACAACAATATTTTTAAGACATTTTTCATGACATCATATATTATGAATTTTTAAAAGCCTTTTGTGACATAGTATATCAAGAGTATTTTAAGACATACTGTATAATCACTTTTTTAATTACTTTTTGTGAAAAACTATACTGTTATCTTTTTGACATTTTAAACTAGCACACCTTTATTATTTTGAGGACACAATGTGTAAATGGCATTATACCAGATTACTTTTATTTAATTCTTAATGAAACACTAAACTTGGAACTTTTGACCTTTAGATGATTTACTACACTGTGACTTTTTTTTCATTTCTTACATTATTTTTTAGATTTCATTGACATTCTGACAAATGAATTGTTAGACTTTTAACAATGCACCACACAATGACCTGTTTATTCCTTTGATGACATTCTAAACTATGAAATATTATGTTATGACTTTTTTTGGAAATATCATACTATGGCCCGCAGATCTCAAAGTTACAACCACAAACATTTTAACATTGTTTCGACTGGACTTATTCCCAATTTACTTAACCTGTGTTTTTTAAACCGTCTTGACTCACCCATCACTCTGTATTTGTGATGTTTCTTGTTGAAGGGGTCCTCCATTCCACATCTTGGCTGTCTCATTATTTCCAGAGTAGCTTCATTTAATTCTCCAGTAGGTGGCAGATCATTCACCCCCTGGAAAACCCTAGAGACAAGAAATGATCTGCAAATTGAGGGCTGCTTACTTCCTCCTTCCCTGTACGGTGCTGTATCTACTAGCAGCTATGTATGTTTCTCCTGAAGCAACATTATTTTAATTTACCGAAGAGCTTCAATGACCTCTTCCAGATGGTGAGGGTCCAGCGGATCAGCAGGGTCATTCAGGTACCCATACTGTCTCAAATAGGCCTGTGAAGCAGAGGCAGGAAACAACATGCATGGCTCACAACAAATAATATGAATCTATTAACCGTTTATATATATTCGCTGTTGACATAAATACAACTGCAAATGTTATGTGATTAAAGTTACAAAGCACCTTTACCTTTGCTTCATCTAATTCTGTCCATTGCACCACTGCACAAACAGCTCCTGTGAGGTTAAGCAGCAGCAGCAGCAGCGACCATGTGGAGTCCATATTCAAGTTCTCAATTCAGGGCTGATGTTGAGAACCTGAGAAGTGCACGGCGGAGTCCCACAGAAGACTGTTTGTTCCCTGAGTGCTCCAGCAGTTTTTAACTCAAACCGACGCATGAGTCAGCCCTGTGGCTGCGATGATCCATGCCTGAAGAATGAGGATTACAGGGGGAGCCAGCTGAACTCCAGCCAACATGGCTGCTGTTGAACTATTCAGCTGTTCACAGAGGGTGCCGAGCTGCGGCCGCTTCTATGCACGGCACCAAATTAGAGGGTCAAGATTGTGCTTGAATCTGTGCATAGAGGTCAATCAACATGAGCAAAATGATCACTATAACGTTCTTCCTCAGGGTCAGGGCTTTATTGATGATTCCCTGTTATTACAGCCATGTCTGTGCTACAGGTATGTATTACAGTTTGATTATGGGCCTCCTTTTGCACATTCCTGTTGTGCCCACATCTATCTCATCTGGGAGAAATAAACTCTAATACTACTAAAAAAAAAAAATATCATTGGACCAACTCCAAGCCGTCATGTAACAAAGAATAAGTCATTTTTAAAGATCTGTTATGCGCTTACATGTTGATAACAATGATAACAATAACAATATTAATGTTGAGTGAAACAAATGTGTCTCTCAACCACCAAAATATAGAACGCTGGTTTGTTATATCACTCCTAAATGTCTGTTTCAATAGACTTAAACTATACTTTCCTGACAATTTTTGTTTATTTCCATCACTACTGTTTATAAACATCAGCAATTGTCAAAAATGGTGAACATTATGGGTTCATTAACACAAAAGATGCTTGCTATTAAAGCTGCCTCCATCCATATTTATAGATTACCAAGATCTAACATCATTAGAAGGATTAATAATAACTTAACGTCAATAATGTAGTCACTCAGGGAGTAATGCAGTCCACATGATTGCTGTATTCATCGGTCAGTTTGCATTTGTGTACAATTGATGCAAACCATGTATCAATTCAAAGAAAAGAAAAGAAAAGAAAAAGGCTACAGAGTTTATAATTACATAGTTCGACAACGAAGGTTGACATTATCCTGTAAAATTCTCCCAATATAAAGACTTAAAACTTGATTTGGACATTTGGACGGTCTGGAAAGAAGAATAGCAACAAGAAGGAAGTCTGCACCGTGGTATAACCCTCAAACACGGAACCTAAAGCAAACTGTGCGGAAGCTTGAACGATTATGGCGTTCCACCAAATCAGAAGGATCTAGGCTAGTTTGGCAAGACAGCCTTAAAACGTATAAGAAGGCTCTCCGTAACGCAAGAGCATCTTATTACTCATCATTAATAGAGAAAAATAAAAACAACTCCAGGTTTCTCTTCAGCACTGTAGCCCGACTGACAGAGAGTCATAGCTCTGTCGAGCCGTGTATTCCTTTGGACCTCACTAGTAACGACTTCATGAACTTCTTCAATGATAAGATTCTGACTATCAAAGAGAAAATTGATGGTCTCCTGCCTTCAACCAGTGCCGACCTGTCCTCCGATGTAGGAACCTTGGATGCAGCAGTGGGCCCTGATGCCTGTTTGGATGCTTTCTCTTCCATCAACCTTGATCAACTGACTTCTTTATTTTTAAAGTCTAAATCTTCTACTTGTCTCTTGGATCCGATTCCGACCAAACTGCTTAAGGAAGTTTTTCCTTTAGTTAGCACATCCTTATTAGATATTATGAATCTGTCTTTGTTGACAGGACATGTACCACAGTCCTTCAAGGTAGCTGTAATTAAACCTCTTCTTAAGAAACCTACTCTTGCTCCAGAGGTGTTGGCTAACTACAGACCTATCTCTAATCTTCCCTTCCTCTCTAAGATCCTTGAGAAATCCGTCGCAAATCAATTATGTGACTTTCTACAAAACAATGCTTTGTTCGAGGATTTCCAGTCAGGATTCCGAGTGCATCACAGTACAGAAACAGCACTGGTGAAAATTACGAATGATCATCTACTTGCATCGGACGAAGGACTCATCTCTTTTCTTGTCTTGCTGGACCTCAGTGCCGCATTTGATACCATAGACCATTGTATCCTGTTGCAGAGACTAGAACATTTAATTGGTATCAAAGGAACTGCACTCAGTTGGTTTAAATCCTACCTATCGGACCGATCCCAGTTTGTGCTTGTAAACGGTGAATCCTCAAAGACCACCAATGTTGGTCACGGAGTCCCACAAGGTTCTGTACTTGGACCGATTTTATTTACCCTCTATATGCTTCCTTTGGGCGATCTTATCAGGAAACACCGCATAAACTTCCATTGTTATGCAGACGATACTCAACTGTATCTGTCGATCAAGCCAGAAGAGACGGACCAGTTAGTTAGACTCCAAGAATGTCTTGGAGACATCAAAACTTGGATGACCGGCAACTTCCTGATGCTAAACTCAGAAAAAACGGAAGTTATCCTGATAGGCCCAGAGCGCCTTCGAAGCCAGCTGTCGCGTGATACAGTTTTTATGGATGGAATTGCTCTGGTACCCAGCAGCACCGTCAGGAATCTGGGAGTTCTCTTCGACCAGGATATGACCTTCAACTCGCATATAAAGAAGACTTCAAGGACTGCCTATTTTCATCTACGTAACATATCAAAAATCAGGAACTTCCTGTCTCAAAGTGATGCAGAAAAATTAGTTCATGCGTTTGTCACTTCCAGACTGGACTACTGTAATTCTTTGTTATCAGGCTGCTCTTATAAATCTCTTAAGCCTCTCCAGCTGATTCAGAATGCTGCAGCACGTGTATTAACAAGAACTAAGAAAAGGGATCATATCACTCCTGTATTAACTTCTCTGCACTGGCTCCCTGTTAAATCAAGAATAGATTTTAAGGTACTTCTCCTCACCTACAAGGCACTTGCTGGTGAGGCACCGTTGTATCTTCAAGGGCTTGTAACACCGTATTGCCCTACAAGGCAACTGCGCTCCATAGATGCTGGGTTACTTGTTGTTCCTAGGGTTTTAAAAAGTAGGCTGGGGGCCAGAGCCTTCAGTTATCAAGCTCCTCTTTTGTGGAACCAGGTTCCACTTTCAGTCCGGGGGGCAGATTCGGTCAGCTCTTTTAAAGTAAAACTTAAAACGTTCCTCTTTGATTCTGCCTATAGTTAGGGCTGGCTCAGGTTAGTCCGGACCAGCCCTTAGTTAAGCTGCTATAGGCTTAGAATGCCGGGGGAATTCTTAGGACACACCAAGCTCCTCTCTTACGCTATCGTTCTACCATAATTCTTATTATGGTAAAACTTATTATAACTTAATAATAAGTTTTATTAATGCACATGACTAATTCAGCTTCTTTCCGGGAGTTTTTTTTGTGCTTTCGCCCCTATCAGGTCTCCGTAGATCGTGGTTCCTTCGGGACCCTGGTCCTGACACCTACCGTGGCCATGCTGACGCCTGCTGCTGCCATCATCATCATCATCATCATCATTATTTTAGATATTAATCATATTACTTTACTCATAAACCGACATTACCCTCTCCTAAAATCTCTGTGCTCTCCCTTTCCCACAGGATTCTGTGGATGGTGGTTCTATCTGATGGTGGTTGCCCCTGCAGTGGTCCTGCTGTGCGCCTGGCTTACTACTCACAATTACTTGAATCATTTCTGTCATAGGAATTGCATGTATTATACATTGTTCATTCTGTACACATGGCATCCATTGTAGACTGTCCATCCCGGGAGTAGGATCCCTCCTCTGACGTTCTCCCTAAGGTTTCTTCCCTTTTTTCCCTCTTGTAAGGGTTTTTTCATTTTTTGGGGAGTTTTTCCTGTGCCGATGGTGGGTTTCGGGGCAGAGGATGTTGTATGTGTACAGACTGTAAAGCCCTCTGAGGCAAATTTGTAATTTGCGATTCTGGGCTATACAAAATAAAATGACTTGACTTGACTTGACTAGGACAGGGCGCCGCAGGCGGGTTTGTGGGGAGCTGGTTGAAATGTCACAGCAGCTGGTCTCCAGATGTGAGTGCCTCAGACTTGGACCCGAGGAAACATACTCACACCAAAGGTTTGTCTTTGTAAGCCAACAGCAGAGTATCTCTTTCAGATTTTTCTTGCTACTGTGGGTGTGGTTAGACTTTAATTTATTCACAGATTGGCATCCAACTAATAGTCCTTCATGCACACAAGTAGGTTTGGCTTTTTCTTTTACAAAACTTTGATCATTTTTCGCTGCATGCTGCTCATTCCCCACTTTATCACAATGTATCACACAGAGGAATTGAACCTTTAGTGAACTGGTTGGTATTTCAATGTGACACATTGTATTTGCTGAACTTAATCTGTTTTCTGCTTAATGTGTGTATATATATATATATATATATATATATATATATATAAAGGAACTGAAAGAAGGAAGAAGTGCGAGTAGGAGTTGGCTTCTGTTATTTCTTCACGTATTAGTGAGTAGTGCATGGTTACACTCGACATGTACTTTACTCATGTACACAGAGCAGCGTTAGGAATCTAAACCAAAGGAATACATAAATTCTCGGTCGGGGTTAACTGCTGAACCACAAACGTGTTTTTTTTAATCAAAACAACAGTTCTGCATACCAAACGTCCAGTCATTTAGTCAGATCAGAATAAACAGTTTATAATAAACAGCATTTCCAAACAACTCCCCCAAGGGTGAATAGTCCCAGGTCAAAAACAAAATATATGATATATATGATTTAAAAATCCTCTCTGCCATTCAAAGATAAAATGTCCAGGCGAACATCTTTAGCCATAAGGCTACTTGTCTTTTTGACATTAGGATTCTGAGGATATAAATCACAAAACCGATCGATTGTGACTTGAATACCGAATAGAGTATCCAAGATTTTGATGATTACAAATTCAAGATTTCAGAATTGTCCTTTAGCAGACAACAGCATACAGATTGACAACGTTATTAAGTGTTTTAAATAAGCATAAACAAGTTGGTGTATAATTACAAAGTCTTTATTCATCATCTGTAATAATGTACATTTCACACAAAGCAGTGAGGGTAAAACTGTGGTCACAGGGTGACCTGAATTCTGCAGAGTGTCGTGGAAAAAGCACACCGACACTGAGGTGTTGATACTGTGGATGGAAACTCAAACTCAATGGTGGACACAGATCACAGCACACTATGATGTGCACCACAGAAATTGCTCTACAGTTACTTCAACCTTTCTGATATACTGAGCGCATCTTCAGCAATGAGAATGTCAATGCACACTACAAAAATGTATGTCTTTTCTACAAATTGAGAAGTTATTGACTCAAATGTTCACTTCAGACCGGCGTGAAAGTAAATTATTGTCACCAGACTTCCGCTTTGTTCTAGTTTAGGTTGGTAAACCCACTGACCACATGAGCCCGCTCTCAACTTCTGAGTCAAATACAAACTATATATTATTTTGCTTCAAATAATGCTGCTTGTTACATAAATGAGACATTTCATACTAAGTCAGTTGGATTTGTTACTATTAAGTCATTGAAACATCTACCTGCTGATCACAAAGAAGTGGCAAACAAAACTTTGGTGATGTTGGTTTCTCACTTTTGGCCTTTTAACCAATCTTCTCCCCAACTTCTACCTCACCAGATTAAATAGCTCCATAATTCTCATAATTAATTCTCACAAATAAATATCAGTGGTATGATATCCTTTAATTCTTGACCATCTTATATTCTATCCAAACACACTCCACCAGCTGAAAAAAACAACACAAAACTTGACTAGTGGTCAAATCAAATACTGCATAGGATTGAGACACATACAAAAATATGCATTATTAACACATAATGCGAGATGAATAGTGAAGTGACGAAGAGAAATTGAATTACCGTTTTGGCTGGTCATGTCTTGTGTATGACAGTTACAGGTCATCGGACAGAAGTGGACACAAAGTGAAACGTTTTTATTACTATGTTTTTATTAAATAAATAAATATTCATTAGCAAATCTGGAAGTTGGCTAATTAAGAATCACTATTGGTATACATTAGAAATTCAATTGTCAATTCATTAGGAAATTTGTATAAATTCATTATTCGAACACCAAATGAAATTATTTCACTTTTTAACTCAAACGTTCCAACTTAAATTTGGGAAGTAAATATCAATGAATGTCTGAAAGCTGTTTTGGGTTAGTAAGGATGCTTACGCTCCTCAAATCTCACAGGCAACATGGCTGTAAATACTTGAGTATTTCTAACACTTTTCTTATTCCCAAAACTTATTCTTATTCCCGCTGGTCAAGCGGGGCTGAAACTACAGGAGTTTTCCTTCCCGCATTCCAAACATAAGGAGAGTATTCACACAGTCATACGTCGCCTGGAGGGCTAGAATGTTTGGTTGTTTCTTGGGAACACATACAGCTGCTGCCGCTAGTCTCTCTCAATGGCTATTGTGACACTTTTGGGCGTAAACATTTTGGATTATAAATGTTGTTCAAACTGCCGGGTCTATTCCTCGCGCTCATCTTCTCTGATTTTCACATTCACTCGGTGCCATGCGTTACTCAGCACGCCTCGGAGATTCCAGATGGGAGCCACGGTGTCCGGCTGCATGTTGTAACTGTTATCAACCGCCTTGCATACGATCTTCAGCTCCTTAGCCCCCGGAGGAAGAGGAGCCGTTATCTCCCATAGCTTCCAGGCCCAGGCTCGCCCCGTTGGGGGCGTGCCCTCCGGCGCCTGACCCTTCTCGCTGCTCCTTATTTGGGCCACCTGCCATGTCTTCCCCCCATCCAGAGAAACATCGACACGCACCACCTCTCTGCCCCCCCCGCTCCAGGCGTAACCCTTCACAGTCAGCTCTTCTGAACTGCGGTCGACCACGGCCCCGTCCGCCGGTGCGGTGATGGCCGACTGGACGGGCAGCTCTTGGATGGCCGGAGCGGACTTGAAGTTCACCGTGTCCCAGTCCGTCCCGGGGGAGAAGCCCTTGTAGTCGTTCTGCTGCCAGTGGCTGCTGCTTTCGTCCGCACTCACTATGATCTTCCCCAGCCACTTAACGTTGCGCGCGCCCACTACGCCCGGCACCACAACGCGGACGGGATAGCCGTGGTCGGCGGGGAGATCCGCGCCGTTCATTTCGTAAGCCAGCAACACATCGCCTTCCTCACTAACCGCCTTGTTCAGAGGGATGGAAGCACCGTAGGTTGTCCCAGTCACGTCCTTGTCCAGTCCCTCAAACTGAACATGGCCGGCCCGTCGGGCCACATCGGGCCCGTATCCGGCGGCCAGCAGCACGTCCCGAAGCCTCGCACCGCTCCACGTGGCGTTACTGATCGCCGCGATGCCCCAGTTCAGTCCTTTCACCTGCTTGACCGCATTCATCTCCGAGCGACGGTTACCGGCACACTGCAGCGTAGCGGTGACGGTGTGTTTGGGGAATCGGGTCTTGAGCTCCTCTAAAGACAGCGTCAGCAGTCCTCCAGGAAGTCCCTCCACCTGCAGCAGATATGTAGCCGGGTCCACCTGAGGAACTGGCAGGTGGTTTCTTTTGAAGAAGAAAGCAGAGGGGGTGATGAAGCTGTCGGAGAGGATTTCGGGGGGCGGCTCGGCATTGAAAGGCTTGAGGTTGTTGATGCGCAGCACGGGGTGGCGCTCGGGGTCAGAAGAATAGGGGTCCAAAGTCTGCATGGTCTTCTGCTTCTTCAGGTCTTCTGCGTTCAGCTCGCCGACCTTGTATGAACGGGAAAAACAGCACAAGAATTAGCAAAGGGTTTTTCTTACGGACCACGTGAGGAGTGCCAGTATTTAGCCTGCAGTGGTTCTTCAGTACACAGTAGACCTTTTCATACATGTGGGGGGCAAGACAGACATAGAAAATAAAGTTCATTTTAGGATAAATTCAAATAAAGCATATTTTAAAGCTGCTAATGCGTGACTTTCTCAAAAAATAAAGAAACGTTTAAACTGCTAAAGCATGTGGTGATCTTCATGGAACATTTTTTTTCACCCAATAAAAGACTGCTGAAAATCCGTTTTTTCCTAGGTACTCTGTTGTTAACACAGTGCTTCTATTCCTTTTTATTGACATTTAGTATAACTATCAAAGGAAACCCCAAAACCTGCCCACCTTATACTCTGAGAGCATTTCCAGCACGTGTTCCTGGTTGTGTACAGCATACAGCGCCCAGAAGGGTTCAAGGGCTCCACCTGCTGCCAGCAAGATTTTATCCCCGCCAGGGTGCATGGCAACAAACTCTGTGATGTCATAGACGCCACCTTTGTAAGTGACCCACACGCCATCTTGCAGAGAGCGGTGACTGGTGACCTCTTCCTGGCTGAAGATGGGATAAGCTGCCTCCTGCTCGGCCTGCACCAGAAAGAGAAGTCAGATTTGTGAGATTTCAAAGACAAGAAGAAAAAGATCATTTGCATTCTCATGTGATCACGTTTTTAGCAGTAAGGCCTCTGGTTTTACGATGGTGATCCAGCTGTGACAGCAGAGTGTGTTCTCATGACAACACCGCTACCCGAGTTGACCCTGATGTAAATCTTGTCTGCCCTCTCTGTTATCTGAACAGCTCCGGGATAAACACACACAGACTGGAAGGCCTGTATATTAGAAGCCATAAAGGGTTGAAGTAATAAACTCACTTTGCCATAATAAACCGCTGCATCATCATGCTTTAGTCTTAGTTGTGTGACAAGATCCTGAACTTCTCACTGAAGCAAATACATGATAGAGATATACACACCTCACTAAGGCCCCTTCCACAACCGTAAAACTAGTTTCACTGCTACTGCAGTTAAAAAAAAAGATGAAAGAACAAAACAAAAGCAAATTAAAAACATTTGACTGTCTGAGCACCATGAGTGGCTTCAGGTCCATGCAGTAATGAGACACTGAGTGAAACCACGCAATCTACACACTCCAAAACTCAACACTTACCAGAAGCCATAAAGGAGAAGAGGAAATGTCAAAAACCCAAGAGAAAGCAATAGCTTTAACATTTAAGCTGTTCAAGCCAACAGGCACAATGAAATTGCTGTTCCCAGTGACATCATAGGACAATAATAGAGCTGATCTCAGGGGGGACAATGACTGCCTGAGACAGTAAATGAATTACATAGGCCAAGAAAGGCGCGGAATCCCCGTGGGGTTGCTGGAAACCTGCGAAGGGGAGAGCAACCTGGAAGCACGACTCTGTGAGCTCTCGGGATGGCAGCAGACATCGGGTCGCCGGGAGAAAGAACCAGGCGTGGCACAGAGAGCCAGGGGTAAACTCCAGGGGCCTCATTTATAAAAACCTTGCGTAGGATTTGCAGCAAAAGTGGCGTACGGATGAAACGTAGGACGTGCGTACGCACAGAAATATTCAGACTTATAAAACCGTGCACACGCACGTCCTACGCAGTTTTCCCTTAATAAAACACAATCACTTCTAAATGCAGCGCAGCTTTTGCGGCTTCATGTCACGCCCATAATTGCCCATATATAGTCTGTGGAACGCCCACAAATTAATATTCATCGATTGCGAAATCATGGCAAACACTGAGAGGAAAACGAAGAAACGTAACTTCACTCAGTGTGAAGTCGAAATTATCATTGGCGAGGTGGAAAGGAGAAGTCACATGCTATTTGGAGGGCACAGTATTGGCATTACTAATGCCAAAAAGGCACCACAGCAACGCTACAGCCTCACAACCTCGGACCGTGGCCGAAATAAAGAAAAAATCTAGGTGGATGCAAAAAAGCGTTTAGTGCGCCATCGCCAAAGTGTGTCTGCCACGGGTGGGGGAGAGGGGACACCGGAGCTGTCCCCTCTTGATGAGAGACTGGCGGCCATAATCGGGGATCGGGGACAGGGTCTGGGCCAACATCGGCGTCAGGGGGTCGAGGCACGTTTGGAAGCCGTGCCACATTATGTAGCACAGCTCATGCCAGCACGATTTTGCACACCTTTTCAGGAGTAAACAATAACTTCCCTCCAGTGCAGTCGAGGCAGCGCCATCTGCCCTTAAACATGCCGATGGTGCGCTCCACTACAGCGCGAATCCTTCCATTTGCCACATCTTCTAAGAGGGCAAGATCAGCCATTTCGCGCCATTACACATTGTGATGGCATCATGGCATTTTATTACCGTCCGTTTGATTGCATCTGACAAGCAACCGCTGTGTTTTGAGGATGAATTGCATAACATGCAAATATTATTGAAGAACATATTTCACTTTTCTTTTTGAAAATGTGTTAACCGGCGGGACTGACGATGTTTTGTTGCATTTTTTGTTCAGTGAAACTGAAAAAAACAACCACATTTGACTGTCTTTACAGATCTAATCTGGTGCTCACCTTGTGTTGGTGGAGGCCGTAAGCCAGTACGGCGCCGGTACCAGCCAGCAGTCCCGCCACAGCGTGTCTCCAGCCTGGACGGTGGGCTCGCTGGTACGATCCCTGGTCCTCAGCGCTGCTGCTCCGCAAACGCACTGCGCACGATGCCACAGCCGGAGCCACTGGAAGCCTGAAAAAAAATTGGGTTTCTAGTACAGCCGTGTGTTTTAGGGATAACAATACAATTCCTGTCTGCTCGCAGAGGTGCAGGCCAAGTACACGTGTGGTAACATATGGGTTTGTCACAGGGTCGTACCTTCGAGTGCTGAGTAGAGTCAGGCCGCGGCAGCGTCTGAGAAGCAGCATTGCACCGGAGTTCTGTTAAAAGAAAAGTTCATTTCACAGGGTGAAAAGCTACAAAAGATTCCTATTATTATTATTATTATAATTATAGATTTCTATTAACAAGTCACTGAATTTCTACAAAAGAAATAGAACAAAATACTAGTTAAAAGATAACCCACAGCAGCAGAATGTGACACCCTAAAAACACCTGCAGCTCCTGATAGAGACAACCCATATAGGCAGCAGTGTTTGATGAGTGATATATTTCAGTTAACCGTCATATGGTTGCCGAAGGCAAAGTACACAGTTTCTAGTGCATTAAACCCTTCGGCCAGTCTTTGCTATCTAACTGACCACATGAGGAATGTAACTTAATTAAACAGGGTTGTCATCTATTTTTACTCATTCTCAATTGGAAAAAATGTATTTTATAAGTTTGTTGTTGACTTTTGCGTCACATTTAATAACTTAACAACCACAGTATTTCACGAGAAACATTCTTTGTGAACAAGTCAGATTATTGCACATGATCAATCAGCCTCAATCAACTTTATAGACCTGGGATGATGGGCATTAGTTATGTGTTTAGAATGAACAGAGTTAGAATTACAATGGCTAGACAGGAGAAATGTCATTAAAATCAGCTTGCAGAGACCTGTGCAGTCCTGATTAAATACAGGCTTGGCTACTGCGGTACAAGGACAGGTGGCAAAAACAAACCTGCTGTTGTGTGCAGGATTTTTTTTGCTTACCGTCAAAGTGCAGTCTCTCAAACTTTTTTTTAGGATAGATGATCAAAGCAGTTACAGCATACACACGGTGCCGTTGAAATGACCGACTGAACCTTTATGCAACTCCTACAGAACTGGCCAACCAGCAATGACTCCAACACACAGACGGAGCCAAGAGGGGGAGTGAACAGAGACGAAGAGGACGGAGCCATAGAAACGTGACCCCTGAGTAACTCCATTAGTCAACAAAAGGTTTCAGTTTGTCAAGCATTCAATGGAAAAAAGAAGAGCCCTGTGGTTACTATGTTTCCACATGATTCCGTCTTCCCAGTAATGATGAATCCCCCAAATACATGTAATTGGTGGATCTTGTCTCATTCTGGTATGTACCGGGACACTTTGACCACACAGTAACGTGACCAAATATCTCCCAAGCTTTAAAAATTAACTTTGGTTAGGGGCGGCTTTAGAGGAGAGGATTTATCACTGACAGGCCGCAAAAACAAAGTATACATCAGCAAATTATCCTCATTGGAAAAGCGCAAAGTTTCATATAAAAAAAAATGAAATAGATAAATATAAATAATTGTCAGAAATGCATGTAATTTGTGTGACGAACAAAAGAAAGTATGACTTGACACACACAATGACAGATAGCATGCAGCAATTTACTCCTTATCACTCGACGTTAAGATAACTGAGTTATCTTCCTTTTCACTGAGTAAATGTGAAGCTCCTGACGGTGAGAGGCCTCCTCTAGATCTCATTAAGAGAAACCCGTGATGCTGCTCAAAAGAATGCACAAGTCATTTACACCTTAACAGAGTTACACATTTCCGGAATACTTGACATTAAACATTTTTTTCTGAATATACTGTAATTTCTCCAACTAAAATTAACAGTTTTTACATTGTATTCAGGTATTAAACAATTAGAGAGTTTAGTGACCACTCGACCTTTGTCAAGTGAAAAGTCGCAAAGGCGTTAATGTTACTTATCCTCTCACAGCTGTAACCGTAGAGATAAACATCTGCTCTCCCCATAAAAGGACTGCGATGGTTCTGCAAAATAGCTGTAAATCTTCAGCACATTTTGTGTACACATTATGTCCTCGGACTATGACAATAAGTTAGTTTTCTGCTTCTAGAAGCCGAGGTAACGTCCAGCAGTTAAGAGTCAACCAATAAAAACGGAAAAAAACAACTAAGGTCAGTAAACCAATTAGTGACAGCTTAACTTTAAAGAGAGAGTGTGACGTTAGCTAGCAACATCCCACCATCCTCACGGCTAATGGGGCTAACGCTCGAGCTAGCGACGCCGGACCGCTGACAGCCAACCTCACACGTGTACGTGAACGGAGGAAAACTTCTCATGTGTGTTATTACATTCGCTCGTTAAGGGGAAAAAAACCGCGCAACTGGTAACTACTCACTTGTGATGTGTGTCCGTCGCTTGCTCCGCGCTCACACGGATCCGAGACGCGCTGCGTGACGTGGACAGCGCGAGGCGTTCAGGGCACCTCGTCATGCGGCGCCCCGCAGTCCAAGGTAGCACCGCGAAGCCTTTGAGCAGGGCAGGCTGCAGGGTGCGGGTCAGTGGAAGCGATTAAATCATTTCTCAATCAATAAAAGATATCTTGTGTCTACTCATTCACTGCACTACTAAAATCAACCCCTCTGCAGGGCGATTGGACATGAAATAAAGATTCTTCATCATCTCTTTACGCGCCCCTTTTTTGGCCATATAGAATAATGCATTCACACACTGGTTACTGAAAATATACCCAATAAACTATTTACAGCATCCTCACTGAACAAACTCAGACCAAACAGCAACTTCTTGGCTGGGCTGCTTCTTGAAGGGTACGACCCCTCACACACCAAAGGGCCTGCATGGCCGACCGATCAATCAAATCAGAAAAACGATGATGATGATAATGATGATGATGATATGAAACAAACCATTAAATACACACATGCCAGAGCAGCTGTCGTGAACAGTCAGTGAACTGTCAGCTGGAAAAGGCTGGTGGATGTCTCCTTCTATATGCCCTCTGAAACAAAAAGGTGACGGTTGCGCTGGTTGTTTTTAATCATCCCTTTTGGATTTTTTTTGCAGTAGAAAATCAGTTGTCTTGCTTTATGGTATCCTTTATCAACTGCTAAGTCAATGAGGGAGTAGATATCAATAAACCTAATTGTTGCAGACAACAGCGGATAGGCCTACGCACAGCAGATAGGACCTAGGAGACCTTGCTACCGGGAGTCCTTTATTAGCAGCCGTCAATGAGAGGAGGTTCTACGAGGAAGCATTTCTATTCCAGTCAACTGCAGGTGCAATAACCAAGGAGCTGCTCGATCTGTGTGTGTGTGTGTGTGTGTGTGTGTGTGTGTGTGTGTGTGTGTGTGTGTGTTAAAACTAGCTGCTATGTGAGAAACTTGTTAGTCCCTTGCACAATTTCTACCATGAATGAATGATCTTGCTGATTGGTGTCATAATTGCTGTGTAATGCAGATAGCTGCTTCTAGTCTTTTAGATAATCTTGTTTTTGCTGTGTCTGTATTTCATCACAGTGAAACGGCTCTCATTAACTACACCTTAACCTTAAATGATACATATCTGCGAAGCAGAACTGTTTGTTTAGATTTTACCACTGTTGAGTAAAGGTTGTCTGTTCTCCTTGTTTAAACTCTCCTTGTGTGAACCATAACATGTTTGGGTAATTCAGTCAAAACCTAACCTGTGGCACATATTTAGTAAGGATGGAGTTTATATGGCCTAAACAGATTCCCTTGACTGCACTGTCTGTGTTTTGATGAAAATATTTCCAACATCCCTGGATTCTTTAAACGTTAGGACATTTCTTTGGGTGTCTACTGTAGATTGTCCAGTGTATTTATTGCACTCTAAAACCTTAATTTCAGTGAAGTTTGTGAAATCAACGAGGTCCTCATTATATTGTCATTGAAAAATGAGACACATAAAACACTTCCTTAAGCTCACAGTTCACAATCTTTAGGCGTTTCCGAATATATAAATCACGGTAGTCAGGCTTTACACACACCTTGAACAAATATTTGGTTATGACAAAAAATTCGGAAGTTGGTTTCAACATTCTACTATGTTAGGGTTGTAAATTTCAGAAAGATGTATTTGTTGGGGAGTTACCTTTTGGAGATATGGCAAGTTTAATGTAAATTGTTTTCTTAAGGTTGTGTAGTCACTGCACCTCATTTGTTTTTTTCTTTTAATGCTTTTTGAAGGCTTCAATCTGTCAACCTCCCTGGGATCAGTTCCCACAGGACATTGCATATTCCTTTATTCTCCACATTCCAGATCCTTCTTCTTCCAACAATTCATGCTGGTCTTGATTTGAACTTGAACAGTTTTGTTCTCTTAGGCACTTTGTAAACCTGGTTTAAAAAAATGAATATATATAGTTTTTCCTGTCATATGCAATGTAGACTTCCTGACGTGCTTGCTTCAGGGTATGACTGACAACCTTTTTTTCCAGGAGGAAAAGATGGCTATTGCCATAGCAACTATGAGTATTAAAAGATGGTTACAAAGTCTCTCTCACCAAAACCACACCAGGCCGAGGCAGCAACCGAGGGGCCGAGTATGAGCGCCAGGTTGAGTACCAGAGGAAGATAAAAAAAGTGAAGGAACTGACCAACCAGAAGGAGACTGAAATAGTGGATCTCATTAACCGGCTGAGAAGCTCACGGAGACCAAAAAACAGTTTGAGTGAAAAAGCAGAACTCCTTCAGGGTGAGAAAGGATGGGACGAAAAATATGATGAAGTGTGGAGAAGTTGCTGGTTGTATATATTGTTAATAAAAAAAAACATGTCATCTTCGTTGATATTTCTTATCGAGCTATAGAGCCAATCAGACAGCAGTCTTTGCCTCAACAGCCTTGCGTACAAAATTTCAAGGGATTACCAGTATTCAAAGCAACTAATTTTTGCAAAGAAAGTTATACAACACAAATAAATAAATTAAATAGAAAAGCAATAGGTTTTTGCTCCAACTACGTCGGCCCAATTGATATCTAAAGTCCCTTTATCAAATTTCCTTTGGTCCGGATTATTAGCATCATTGCTGAGATGTGAAATGTAATGCTTCAAAAATAGATTGGACAGAAAACTGTGTATACAAGTTTAATATTTTGAAAAAGCTTTACTACGGAATTTAAATACAATATTCTGAAGAATTGGCAAAAAAAAGAAAACCAATGCTCTACCATGAGAGTGTCTACATTACAACATGGAAACAAACACCTGTTCAACAACCTTGCTCTGGGATTTAGCTGTAGTCGGTGCGATTCGTTTTAACTCTACTGCGTTTCATGAGATAAACTGTTAACCACTGTTGGACCGACTGGATCGTCCGCAGCCAGTACGCCCGGTGTGTTCACTCCGCTAGATGGCCAGCACTCACTGCGGCGTCATCTTGGCTGCTTCAGCTTTTATAAGTGAGATGAGTTCTAGGTTAATGAGAAACACGAAGCGAAGACCTGCAATCTGAAGAGACAAATACATATTTTTAGAGCCACGTCTCATTCAATACCCACACTCAAACACATTTAATGGTGGACAGCCTCCACACACCTCCACCACGGAGTTGTTGTTAAGTTTCCACTTGTTTCCCGACAGGACCGGTCTGCCATCTATGTAGATGGGCCTTCTGCCCTCATTGGCGATGAAGAAGTCTCCATTATTCTTCAGTTTAATAATTCCTGCAGACATCAAGGCAGTTTGATGAAACAGCACTTTGTTTAAATACATCAAGATGATTGACTGATAATTGGTAGTTTTGTTATTTTTAGCGGCATCACAGGGGATAAAATGCTGCCAGTTTAAACAATTAAGTTTCAACATTAAAATAAATATAATGATATGAAATGTTGGGACAAAACTCTTAAAAAGGCCTTGACCTTTGAACTCCTTGAGACACAAAGTCCTTGCAAGGAAATTCTGCGTGGTTGTGAGACATAAATGGATTAAACTAGACTGTGGTTTCTATAACTGGCTCCCGCAAAGCCATTATAACACGAGACCCAGCTCAATAAATGTACGTTCCACCTGGATCAGAATGATGTGAAGAATTAACCAAGTTGCTGGAGATTACTACACCTACAGCAGGAAACTTTAGTGAGAATTACAGAACAAGTCTAATCTTGATCGTAATTCCACTAGAGCTGTCAAAAGCAATATACAAGCAATATAAAGTAATATCCTGAGAGCATATGAGTTAAATCACCTTGTTTTCTTGATATTTTCCAGGCAGGTCCTTCTAGAGACAGATCTACATCTATTGGTTTGTCCTTGGTCGCCCTCCCCAAAGTAATCTTTGTGAACACAAATAAATAAATCGTTAGCATCAAAGACAAAATACCTCAACTTGCTTTTTTTGAACAACCGATTCTGAAAGATTTCTTACCTCTCGCGACCGCATGAGGTAGCGTACCATTCTTCCTCGTAATGCTGCCAGTGTCTGGTTGTCAAAATCAGGCATGCTCATCCCTGGTGACACACACATACACAACAGTGAGTTACACTAAACTAGGTCCCTAAAAATAAATATAACTATAAAAGATGTGACGGTGAATGAAAGTTTCCATACCCGTAATACTATCCACAAGGACCTGCCAACGAGGCAACTCCTGTTCCAACTGTCTGATCTCTTTTTTTTGATGACGATCAGAAATCATCAGCTCTGAATGTAAAGGCGAAAGTAAATCAGATAATAAGACGTCATGTTAATAATATAGGGATTGTCAAAGATTGAAGAGGTACTGTTCAAGATGAATTGTATTCAACTTGATTCTTCATAATCTAATTCCTTACCATGTTCTAACACTTCATCTCTACTCTCCCTGTAAAAACATAAGGCCCAAAAATACATTAGTGTTTAAAATTTGCGGACATACAACAGCTAAGTGAGAATATGATCAAATACGTTCTTATAGGCAACAAACACATGACATTAATACTGCCTCACTTTAACTTTACATCATCCACCATCTGCTCAGCATCAGAGAAGTTGAGGACTTGGTCTCCTTTTGGCAGAGGCTGGACTGCAACACACAATAAAAGCAAACAAGATTTTAAAATGTCGTTCATAATTCAATGTGAATGGGAGTATGAAAAAGGGACTTATTTCAAATTTGATCAAAAATAATGTACTCCAAGCTTTGGAGAAATGTGTTGGCCCTTCAACATACCGCTCTGATCATCCAGTAGGTAGTACTGCTTTAGCAGCTGCCAGTGTACCAGCAGGCTCTTGGGGGTGCGAGATGGGTGAAAGACACTGGGGTGTTTGCTCAAAAGCTCTTGGAACACATCCAGTTTGGGCTGACTAGTCTGTTCAATGACAAATGTGACAAAAAAATGTGAATGCAGAAATCAAATAATGCAATATGTATATATTTTAAAACAATGGTCAAATGTTACTAAATCACCAGTTTCACTTACTGAACCAATGTTTGCCAGCAAACCCTCCTCAGCCTGACTAAAGAGAGCTTTGCTTTGGATCGCTGCAATGGCCTCTGGGTGAAGCTGCCGCATGGCCTGCCATGCCAGCCTAAAAAGAATGACAACAGAGACAATAAAATGTTTTACCCAATATAGAAACTTCGGAGTAGGGAGGTACAGCTGCCGCCGGGTAATTCTCTACTTACTTTGAGATGACAGGATCGTAGAGGAGAGCGTACCACCGTTCTTTAATTTCCCGCAACGTGAAACGACAACTGAACTTCACCCCCAAATGAACAGATGTTAGGTCTGTAGTCTAGAGACAAATGCAGACACATTAGAGCATAAACTAAAAAATGACTCATTAATTACAAAACAGTGTCAATCTTTTCAGGCAATGATTTTAACTTTTATATAACTCACCTGCAAAACTGCATTTATAAGTAGAAGGTCATCCGTGGGTTTCCATCTTCCCAAGTCTTTTGTAATATGTAAAGGCTGCTTGCTTTTCTTTACTCTTTTAGTGATGGGTGCAGGGTTAACTACCATTGTGAGAGGCAGTGTGAGAGCCATTCCTGATTTTGTGACCTAACAAAAGGCACAAAAAATATAGCAAACCTCTTTAATCTTCTTCTCTGCAATTAGATCCTTTGAGAATGTGTGTACTCCACGCTCTTATGTACCTTTTTTTTCTCGCTAGATGAAGGTTCACTCCCCGAACAGCGGACAGGCTCTATGACAGGAGGGCCTTTGACTCTACTGGATGACTTCACGAGACTGCTCTCCACCAGCTCATCATCAAACTTCTTCCTCTTTATTGATCTAAAGACATAATTGTGCATTTACATTATACAACAATAATTCAATGAACGTTTGCAGATATGCCACCGAAATACCATGTAATACACCCATAGCAGAACAAATTAATGCTTTTAAATACAACAAAATGCATAGATATACAAGCATATAATTTATATATATATATATATATATATATATATATATATAAATATCGAATAGTCTGATGCTAATTCTTTTGCATTCTTTCGCTGGCTGGTGTAAATTGTGTAATAAACAACAATGTAATCCTAACCTGGATGAACTTCTGCGTTTGGGAACACTAATGCCAAACGCTTGTGTTGCTGTCCTTTTCACATCTTTTACTCCAAGTGACTCTTCGTCCTCCGACCGACTCTGAGCACCAGCACCAGCCATTGTTGCACCAGCCACTGGGTCCCCAGCTTGCATCTGTTCAGTCATAACATGAAACACATCAGGACACTTCTCAGGACAGAGGTGCAGGATTGGGACTGGACATCCTTTTAATGGCTCATGTTATAAAACCTTCACTCGGCCGACCAGATTTGCAGCATCTACGGAGCATTAGCTATAGTTTAGCCCTGGTTGCATACAGTTACTTATTGCAATCCAAAGACAGATAACGATCCCTTTGGGAAAGAGACCATGGCTGTAAATTCTGTGTTACAGGTGAGGAGAGAAATTGGTCAGTGGAATAGATGACTGATTTATCCGACTTTATCTGACACGCTATTTTTATTAGGCTCCAAAGAACTCTGTGAAAATACATTAGCAATCGCCGTAACATCAGTCACCACTCGGTGGTAACACTTCTAAAGTCATTTGTTGACAGTAAACATTGCATGATAACATGCTACTCGAGAACACCTCTACGTTAGCTAAATGGGAAACCTAGCGTTAAAGTTATACTCGGAAAGACGCATTTACTCCCAAAGTGAAACCAACATATGCGTAATGTTACTTTACCACTCCGTTTGGGACCCACATTCAAGTAGCTGCGTGTGTGTAGGAGTTAGGGGACGTGACTGGCTAATCAACTTAGCGACGCCTTTGTTTACATTTAATTTTAGCCAACGTGCTTTTCCTTCTGCCTTCTGCCATATATCTGTGTAATATCTAATAGGAAATATGAACACCTGACGAGCAAGATATCGTTCCCTGAAAATATAGCACCATAGTTTGTTAGGTTAACCAAACATACTATATAAAAAAAATAACGGTCGTTTATTATGGGTAGTTAGCATTTCCCTAGCTAGTACTAGCGTAGCTAGCTAATACATGATAGCTAGCGTTAATTAATTAGCACGTTTCTACAATAAACGTTAGCTACACTGTATTGTGACTCACCTTTCCTTGATATTCTCCTTTGGTGTAGTATCGTATCCGTTTACGTACGTATGTATAGTCGGTTTATGCCCCTTTAATTACCTCGGTTAGCTACATGGCTAGGTGGCTACATGAATTTGACGTACGGCTGTTAGCATTAACTGCTCTGCTAGTCTGTTTTCTTCCTACGAGGTTTATCGCGGTTGGTTATCGCGGCTTTATGGCTCATCATCGCCTCCATCTGGACTGGAGTGGAAATATTGTTTTGCGCTATTATTACATAGCACAGATATGATATATTGTTTAATAGAACACATGTATGAGTAAATATATGCATGTGCATCAGTAAGCTGAATATTATTTTACAGACTTTTTTCAATTCAAATTGGCCGATTAAGACTGTATTGTTCTTGATTTTTGCTCGTTGCTTTATAGTGCAGTTTAAGCACTTTTGTTTGGGCAATAGGTTAAAGCAGCGGTTCCCAAACTCAAGAATGCCGCGGCCGAATTTGAAATGTGAAAATCTTTTGCGGCCCACCCAAACCTTTAATCGCAACTCTGATCAAAACATAAACTAGGGATGATTAAATGACCTTAAGAATTTAACCGATTAAAAATGTATTAACCGCCAATGTATGTTTTGTATACCATTTTCTCCGGAGCTCATATATATTTACTTTAATACTACAAGAGGGCGCCCCATTTGACATTGTTTTGTTTGGTGGCGCCTCTAACGACTAGGCGGACAAGAGCAGCCGTTTCGAGCGAACGATCAAAAATAGGTCAGATAAAAGAATAACACATAATTTAAATCATAAATATTTTTATAGTAATTTCAAACTTTTCTAAATTGAAAATTAAAACCATTTTATTTATTTGTTGTAAATGACCTCTCGCGGCCCATCTGCAGTACCTTCGCGGCCCACCAGTGGCCCACACTTCGGGAATCGCTGGGTTAAAGCATCTGGGATGCATGAAAAATGAAAATAGTGTTGCGCTCCACGGTCTTGTTACACACACACACGGACTGTACTTGTATAGCGCTTTTCTAGTCTTCCGACCACTCAAAGCGCTTAAACACTACATGACATCATTCACCCATTCATACACTGATGACAGGAGAACCACACACAGTGACTCCTGCACATCAGTAACTAACATTCAGTAACTACCATTCACACACTGTAGTCGCAGCTACAGGAGCAATGTTGGGTTAAGTGTCTTGCCCAAGGACACATCAACACGCGGGTTAGCAGAACCTGGGATCAAACCGACAACCCTCTGATTGGAGGGCGGCCACGCTCCCCACTCACCCACAGTCACATACAGTTTGGTACTACAAATGTAGTGAAGAGATTTGGATTTACACTGCACACTCTACAGGGTCGTGTCACTTCCAAACTTTGATACCAGTGTTGAGTTTCTTAGAAATGACTTATTAAAAACACTCGGTTCGGTTGGACCTAATCTGTTGCACCAGACGGTGTTAGAGGGGATTATATTTGTTAAAAAGACAACTGGGCATCACATTGAAACGAAAGAACCAGATGAAACTATTGAACTGGGTTCTCATTGGTTTGGCCAAATACAATCAACAAATAGTCAAACTTGAAACCATTTAATGACACCTTCAAAACAGTTTAAACATTTTAAAATATAACAAATACAGAGTTCAGATACTGAAGCGTATTGTATTTACAAAGTGGTGGTACATCACTTATAATAAGCAAGAAAACAAAAGACTAAAATCGCATTGTGCTGCGCTGCTGAATTTGACATATTTACATTTGAAAACAATACAGACATAGCAGGGTGCAAAGTAGTCAACGTTTGAGATTTTAAACAGTGGCACCATGCATTCCTACACAGGGACATTAAACAGCTGCCGTTTTACAAAAGAGGAGCCTATCACTAAAAGTTCAACATAAGCACCGTATCAAATACACTTTGATCAATATTTGCAACATCATATTTACACAAAACTCTCACAGAAACTCAATTCCGGCTGAAAAAAGACTGAACACTCAACAACTCAACACTTAAATCTTTTACAGCCCAATGTGTATATTAGACTTATACAAAGAAACACTAATGCAATTAAATATTTGCCTGTACAGAACCCAAAAGAAATGATAAATACACGTATGAGTGTACAAGATTACAGACCATAATTGTAGTATGGAAGGGGTTATTTGAAAATAAACTATCAGCTTAAAATACAAACTTTCTACGAAAATTCTACGACATGCAACATGGTCTGACACAAGCATAAAACATACTGACGGTGATCATTGGCTTGACCTTGGCCTCTGTGTAAAAAGTTTGTCAATGGTGACTTCAGTCTAAAAAACCCCCACAGCATTACATTTGGAGTTACATTGCTTCCAGAGTAAAGCGTCAGTGGTGAAATGTGGTTCCATTCCCGTTTATCCCTCACTAATTTATCCTTCTCCACACGATAGCCTCCACACGCTTTGGCCTTTGTTGTGTCGAAGGTCAAAGGTCTGACTGCATGCAACAGGCTCTCGTTTACTGCGATAACTCTTCTCTGCTCGCGCTCTGTTCTGCGAAGAGACTCACGTTCTTGTGTGTGTGTAATAGATTAGCAAAGGACAGTGGGTCATCGTTCAATAAACTGGAGGCTAATGACATTTTCAGGAACCAGGAGCGTACGCGTCATGGGCTTCACGGAAATCCCGTCTGGGTTCGGCTTCACGTTGAACTCTATGAGAATCTAGGATGAACAGAAAAAAATCTGATTTACACAATGGTGAGTGAATTCAGAGAAAGTAAAACAACTGAAATCCCTGGATTAAGTGATCAAATGAATACAATAGGAACTGTATCAGTACTTTAATACATTATTCTAAGAAAAAATGTAGCTATGTAATGTAATTGTTACTGAGAAACCGCATTTAATCGGTTTGATGGGAAACAATCTCAAGCACTATAATCAAATGATCAGTGTGCATGCCCAATGCAACATAATGTGTTACAGTGTCTTGAGACAAATGTGTTTTACATTTTAGAATGACTGACTAGAGCTTAACACGGTTTTCCTTTTCAACAGACGATCAAACATGTAATTACTGTTGAATAAATGCACTCCACTACTTTATCAATAACAGTTTTTGTTACAGCAATCAACAATAAAAGAGTCTTCCTGGTCCTATCCCAAACTACTTATCCATGTCAGAGGTGTTTAGATCAACTCACCCTGGTAAGAGCAAGGTAGAGTTCCAGCTCAGCGATACGTCGACCTATGCAGCTGCGTTTTCCCACCCCAAATGGTACTGAAGCATACGGGTGGTGAGTCTGGTCCTTGTTCAACCATCGATGTGGATGGAATTCATCTGGCTTTGGAAACACCGCTGGATCCCGCGATGTCGCAAAGTGGCACAGGGTAATCAGAGTCTGGATGGAACGATTTTAAAGTCAGATTGGACAAACATTCACGTTTAGCCCAGTTTGAAGCACAGAACACAGGACGTGAAACAGGTTTAAATCCATCGCGGGCTGTAAATGTTTGTAAAGTGCACTAAGTCCCTCAATGTACTCACATTTTTAGGGATGAGATAGCCTCCAACCTGGATGTCTCTCTCTGTAATGACTCTTGCATTGGCAGGAATAACCGGGTACAACCTGGAAAACAAAAGTTCAATATTGTGAGCAACATAAAATTTGCAAATTGTAAACTAAATTTATTCAAGTAATCCCAATCCTCTGATTTATACCTGAGCACTTCTTTGACTGTGGCCTTCAGGAGAGGCATTTGGGCCACATCCTTTGCCTCTGCTACGCGTCGGCCCTCCAGCACGCTTAACACCTCGTCCCGGAGCGACGCCTGCACCTCGGGGTGGCGGGACAGCTCATACAACGACCAGGACATGGTGCTGGAGATCTGAAAGGACACGAGAGGTTGATAAATCCGGTACAACCAACGTCGGAATCCAGTGAGGAAAGGAAAGTGATCTTTCTTACTGTGTCGACTCCTGCAATAAGCAGCTCTGTGACGTTGCTGTAGACAGTTTTCATTGGCAGACCGGTCCGCGACAGGAAGTAGGTGAGGTAGCGGCCCTCCACCTCCTCTCCACAGGCAACCTTCTCTGCTTCAGACGTCAAACGCTGGTCAATGTGACCTTTTGCTAGAAGCACAGAGATTAGAGTCCATTATGACACTGAGGTATGTAATGCAGATGCTGAGACACAAGAGTAAGACCTGACTTTTCTGATCTTTAGGAAGCTGATATAAGTTATCTGTCTTAATACCACATGAATTGCAGATTGATTTTAAACAAGATCTGTTTTTTTTATTTTAGGAGGAAAAACTAGCCAATTAAGTTTATTGTAGGCACAGTTTGATCATGGATGTTCTAGACTTCAGTGCAGATGACCTAGCAGTGCATGGCGGTTAAGGACTTTAATCTTATTATTATTAAGATTAATATCATTATTATTATTAAAATAATCAGAATATATATTAAATTAATATTACATTACATTACAGGTCATTTAGCTGACGCTTTTATCCAAAGCGACTTACATTACACTTTAAACCCAGAGCTTTTACATCTTTGCCCTGGTGGGGTTAGGTGTCTTGCTCAGGGACACTTCAACTTGAGACATGGGGCAGCCAGGACTCAAACCACCAACCTTGCTATTCCCAGACACCCACTCTACCCCCTGCGCCACGACAACCCCTATATTCTTATATAATTAATTTTATAATTATGACACTGAATTTGAATAATTTGCAGAAATGACCTACCAAAGTCAAACATGTAGTCCCAGCACTGACAGAAGATGTTCCAGGGTTTTGGAAACAGCCGGTGCAACCACTTTGGCATCGCCATTGTGAGAAGCGTCATTACAAACATGGTGTTGATCGACTGTATGAAACGCTCCGTCTCTTCTGGGACAACTTCATCCAGGCAACCGATTCTGGATTCAAACAATACTGAGGAAATACCTGTCAAAGGACAAAGAAAAAGGTAGATGAGGAGGCGAGACACACGGCACACAGGCTGACAGAAATTATCCATAACCTCCTTACCAAGGAGGTAAAACCACATCTTAAGTGTTTCTGAAAGTAACATTTTATTTTGCAACAGTGTTGGTGAAGCCTTTATTCAAGACTGCATGTAGACTGGCCCCAATTTGCACATAAAACACACAGTAAGTCATTTTAAATATATATACTGTATATTTATATCTTGTAGGAATGTAGTACGTATTTGCACTGTTGTTTTTGACTTGTTCAAAAGGTGTGAACATTTCTTTTTCGTCACTGCAAAAGTGAGCTGAAGGTTACTTGTTGTTGAAGGAAATGTCGAAACTACAGGCTTATAACAAAATACTGCCACCGTCATCGATCTGTCCCTGATCACCAATGTTTACACGCCGTGGTACACCCTGTGGTGATGCTGGTACGCCTCAGAACAAACCTTACCCTCAAGGCCAAAGCGGTAGAACTCGCTGGCGATGTCAGAGACGAGGCCCTGAGAGCGTCTGCAAAGGCGAAGTTTGGCAATCAGGTCACTGACCACGGCATTCAGGGTTTTATCGTAGGCTTCGACTGCTTTTGGCCGCAGCATATGCTTCCCCAAGAGGCTCCTCACCGACTGCCACTCCTCCCCCTCACTAGGAACACGGAGAAAAAAATGAACAAAAGACTGAAGTTAGAGTGGTGTTGTAACAAATTGCTGTAAATTTACGGTGCATTTCTAACGGTATCTTACAGTATGTCATAATAACTGTAACATAGTTAAATTTCCATTCCTTGTAAATTAACAGCCAATGTCATGAATAAACAGTTAAAGCTGTCAATTTACAATAATAGCAGACTATTGTAATTCAACTGCATGTTACATATATTTTGTGGAAGTGGTGGAAATACGCATACAAGTGCAGTGAATCACAATCCATCTACCGGTACATCTGTTGTAGGCTAATGTATGGAAGCCCATGTCAGCCACTGAAAAACAGGTCCTGTAAGTCATCATAATGAGATAGTATCTCATGAGATAAGATGATGACTTTGACTTACAGGACATTACTATACATGCAGCTGTCACTTTTATCCACAACGCCCATGGTTTGACATAATTGTATGTGGAGTAATTGTGGGTTAGGTGTCTTGCTCAGGGACACTTCGACTTCGCACAGGGAGCAGCCAGGATTCAAACCGCCGACCTTGCACTGCACAGCACACCCTCCCTATCCCATGCACCGCCTTCACTGTCGTTTCAGTGGCTGGAATGTAAAGATTATAAATATTTGTATTATTCAAAGTGTTCATTGCCTAAAAGTTATTTGAGTGTTAATCATGACCGACTGCTCCTGAACGTGACGTCAGACGCGTAATCTCAGTTCATCCAGAACACCTGTGCAGTTCGACATCGGAAGAGTTTCTCATTGCCTCGTCTCTCCAAGTAATGTTGGTAAGTGTTATTTGCCTAGCATGATTAACATTGTCTTTCATTCTCTTTCCTTATATCTTGTTGTCTTCCTCATCTTGTAATTTTAATATTTTACCAATGACAGTGTTTCTAAATATTTAATTTTGATTTGTTTTACAGAGGCACTGGGTTAAGGACGCCAGTTGAAAGTGTTCCATAGCGTATTGTTGCAGTTAGTTTACCTTGTTCCTAATAATTTTATGATACATTTTTTTATTATTGTATACATGCGGCATATTTTATGTTTTTGTTACAAATATCTAACATTTTTGTCTTAAAGGCATCTAATAAACTCCAACCACTATGAACGAAATGAGTTTGGTTGTCTTTCTTTAATTTGTGGGGAATTAAATGCAAAAGTATGCGGTTATAAGTAAACGGTAACATTCTGGTATTTATAACACAAAAACAGTAATCGTATTGGAACAAACTGTAATCCAATATAGGACAACATACCGTATATTACGGTAGAGCAAATAAATAAGGTAGGGCATGTAAATAAAACAGTAAGTTACTAGCGTCGACTGCCAGTAAATTGCAGTTAATTCACAGTAAAATTGGTTCAAGTTTACGGTAACATTCAGTAATCCATTTTACGGTAACATAGTGTAAAAACCATCTACGGTATTATACCGTAAAATAACGGTAAATTCCTGGTGTCCTTGCTGCCAGTAAAATACCGTTAATTTACAGTGACATTTTTTAGAGTGTAAGGTACGGTAAGATAAGTCATACGTTTTACTGTGAAATTACAAACCATTCAAGAGTACATCTAGCTCGACAATAGTTTTTTTATTTGGGGGTTTATCTAAGTGACACTCACGCTGTCAGGAGCCCGTAGTGGTGATCTCTGAGCTTCCTGTAGTCCTTCCAGGAGGACAGGTCAGAGCGCATGGGGTGCTGGCCCTCCTGCCTCAGCACCTGCTCAATGAGCACTGGATCCGCCACATGAACTGTCAGGATGGGGCCGAAGCTGGCCTTCCACATGGGCCCATACCGCTGCACTCCTTCCACCTATAGGACACGGGAGAGAGGAGCGACCTTGTTAAAACTCAGCAACGAGGCTTTGGATGAATTGTCCTCTAGTTTACAGCGCACTGAAGAAAGAAAGACGCATGCAGGATTTTCTAACCCGATAATGATTAGATCATTTTCACTGAACCTTTATGCACCGTTTAATGAGCCAGATGTTCTTTTTCACTTAAGAATCTAAAGCAGGATTTTTTATTGCCGAGCACCTTACACGAGGAATTTGGCACGTTTAAAACAGGTATATTATTAAAATGGTAAGTGCTATGCTTCTGAGATGGTTTTGCCTTATTGATCAACTCAACTGCAGGAGTGTTGATAAGTGATGGCTTAAGACATCTCAAATAATTTTACCAGACCACAATCACTCTCTCTCTATCAAAAGGGATATCCAGATCAAAGCCATCCACCATCCAACCATGTTTTTCTTCACCGCTGGAGCAGGTTTATGCATCTGCAGAGTTGGAGGAGGAACGTTTCTTTGTGCTCACCTTGAATGTTCATTTTATCCCAACGACATGCATTCATTCTGTCGTTTTCTTTTAACCACTTAGCCCTTCATGTTGCAGCCCGTGCTGCATGCATAAAAGTCAAGTGTTGCAACTATTCATATGCATCTTTAACTCTAATCCCTAAACTAAACAACTCTAAACAACATTACATTTACCTGTAACTCGTGCAGCCGCGACAGCCCACGCCTGGCGAACAAGTCCCAGGCGAATCTCCCGACCGACGGACCCGGCATGTCGTCCAGGGTCCTCAGTGCCTGCGGCTTGGCGGATGCGCCCTCAGCCCACCTCTCCATCCACTTCAGCAGAGGGAAGGCGCTCCGGCCGGATACTCTGAGAGCTTGTTGCAGCATCCTTCTCACAGGGATCATGTAGCGGTAGCCGGACGTCGGGGCTCATTTTGCTTCGCCCGGGTGCACGCAGTATTTATACTGCGCGACCTGTCTGCGGAACCCGCGGAGATGAAGCTGCATTTTTTTTAAAATCTGGGCCAATCGTAGGGTGCGAATGCGGTGCAGGCCCCGCCCCGGTTGGATGAGACGGCGAAAGCATGAGCTGAGAGAAAGGTGTGTCCAATCAGAGGGCCGAGTTTAGACCATCCCAGAGACAACACACGTGGAGGTCCTGGATAAATAATACATGACTTCTCTGTAAAAATCGCCGTTGAGGCTTATCTGCGTGGCACTTTGCTCTCTAATAAAGCAGCTGATTGACACATTTCAACAGCTCACGCTAATGTGAATGCTTTGGCTGGTGTGCTCAGTAAAGCCCTCACCTCAAGACAACCCTACTAGGCTATAGATCCCATTGATTCAGCCAGGCCAAAACCTTAAACTGAAACAGATGGATCAATAATATCCCTCCCCCACATCTGAATGCTCTAACAAAGACATTGGGACTATATTTCAAGCTTAACCTGAAGAAATAAGCAGTGACAGCCTGTGTCTTTTTAAGACCCGGGGGGCTTTGTTTACCCAGCTATGACTAATTATTTTGCTGACTTACAGGGGTTTCTAGCAAGCGAGTAAATGCTGACCTGATTTCATTGGAGCTGGAATTTGTCCAAAGCACCATGTATGTGGACGGTGAAGTAACGAGGCTGTAGCCTACTCAGAATTTGTTGTGACATTTGCTCCTGTACTTTGTTCTATCTAGAAATCTTGGATTCATCAGAAATCACCAGCTTTCAGAGAAACACTGAAGTTTTATTGGCAAGCTCTGTGGGATACGATCTCAGCATTGGATATGTAGACGTGACAGACTTTCTCATCCATTCTGCTATCAGAACTTTCCCAATAAACCTGCTGCGATGCATCATCTTGCTTCTAAGAGAGTCTTGGCCACACATCTTACCAGCTACTGGAATGTGCAAACAGAAACAAGACTAACAAAACATGAAAAATCAGTGACATTAATTGATATTTTCAATATAAATGGAACTGCACCTTCAAAAAGGCAATTCAAACCAAAGGAAGTCTTCAACAAAACAGCTCTTTTTTATAATCAAGTTCTGCAAAGTTCTGTGTAAAGATGGGTTTCATGTATTGAGGCATAAATATGGGTTTAAATAAACTGGGTATTTAAAAAGGATTTAATATGTAAATCATACCTATGAAGGTGACGTGAATGATGCTCTCAGGTCATGACGTGGATGTTTACAAAAATATGTAGGTTAAAGATGGGAATCATTATTATGACAATATTAGCATAATCCCAAATACGTAACAACAATTGGTTTACACAATTTTTGTAATATTGCATTCAGGGCGACTGTGGGTGAGTGGGGAGCACGATCGTCCTCCAATCAGAGGGTTGTCGGTTTGATCCCAGGCTCTGCTAACCTGCATGTTGATGTGTCCTTGAGCAAGACACTTAACCCAACATTGCTCCTGTAGCTGCGACTACAGTGTATGAATGGTAGTTACTGATGGCAGGTGTCACTGTGTGTGGTTCTCCTGTCATCAGTGTATGAATGGGTGTGAATGGGTGAATGATGTCATGTAGTGTTAAAGTGCTTTGAGTGGTCGGAAGACTAGAAAAGCACTATACAAGTACAGGCCATTTACCATTTACCATTCATGCTGTATATACATGACTGCAGCTTAAAGGTGACTGAAATATGGCTTGGTGCCTGAAAATGAGCACAGCAACATTCTAAAGTTGTTAAAAACCACATAATAATGTTATTTGTGTCTACCCATAATGATCTGCAGTATCCAGCAGGTTTACATCTGGGGTGTGAGACAGATATTTATAAAACAATGAATTGCACACCGCAACATCACATGTCTGGTCAGCTTGATGGTGGCGTGAGACGTGATACGTGACAGAGGGCATTTCGATTTTGAATGACTTCTTGGTGATAAGGGATCCAGTGCAGAACATCTTGAGCCAGTGATTTGGTGTCTTTCATTTCTGGGCCAATGTTATTGGGTGGCATTCCACAAAGGTCAAGTTATGCCTGCATGATTTATTTGGCCAGCGCTGGAAGAGGATTCAATCTCTTGAGCATGACCTGCTACTGCTTGTGTAGATTGGATGTGATGAAATGTAACGGATCTAACTGAAAGTAAAAATGTCATGAAGTCTGATATATAAAATAGGTGAAAAAATTAAGTGCATTTACCCTAGTTTAGAGATTGTGCTGTGGAGTTACAGTTTAGGTAACATCCACAGCGGTCGTGGGTTCTTATCATACCCCATTGACAAAATGAGCAACTTCCCGCATGTTAGACAAGCAGACTAGGTTGCACAATAATGTGCAAGATGTGCTGTTGTGTGGACAAATATAGAAATTGGTGAAAACACTCAACATCAGCTCCATCTTCATTCGATGAGGCCTCTGGTGTGGAAGGGGTTTTATCAGAGGAACCTTTTTTTTAGAACATACAAAACAAAATGTATCGCTTAGTTGGGAAGATGAAAGTGCAACCAACAGTCCAAAATACAAAAGAAGACACAAGGTCACCACCGTCCTTCTAAGTCTCCGTCTTATGCAACACACTGCAAAGTAATCAAACCACAGATTTGCTGTTGTAATGCCGATACGAAATCTGGGTTTTCTTTCCAACAGATCAGGGTGGCTGTAAAAAAGAAAAGAAAATGCATTTCCTTATCTTGTGTCTTGTTTGTCATGTTTGGTTCTGATAAAGATGTGCATAGCTTGTCACTTTTCTCCCGGCAGCCCGGCTCACATGCTCATCTTCAGTTTCTCGCTCAGCAGGCTGGTAATTTAAGACCACACAAGAAGCTGACACAAATTAAACACTCTCCAAAAACCAGACATTTTTATGAATCTGGCCTTGGCGGAGCAACAGGGATTAATATTGATTATGAAAAAACATAACATGAAGTCCTGTGAAAGAATGGCTTCTTTGTGCTGTTGCGGGGTGCGAACTGATGTGGCCCAGTTGTAGATCATGCTATAGAGCGCAGCAGGATAGCCTGAGAGGTATTTCTAATTACTCTATTGGCCCTGTGCCCAAAAGGGAGGCTGCTCAAGGATTAGTGTGTTAAAGTTCATGACTGCAGTCTGCCTGTCTGGGTGGTATCAGAGAAGTATCTATGCACACACACGCACACACACACACACACATGCACACACGTGTATATATGCACATGCCCAGAGGTTCACGTGAATGAGTGACTGTTTGTACAGCGGTTGTTTAATTTTTTTTCCCCCTCACTCAGCAGGCTAGTGAGGAGGGTGTATTTATGTGCTTTCTACTGTGTATGGCTTTTAAATGTGTATGTTTGTTACCCCATAAGCATTAAGTCAGTGGTTACAATCGGCACACCCCCAGACTCCAATCAGGTAAGTTACCCTTCATCTGCACCAACAATCACGTACCAAGATATCTTTATTAATGGGCTGTTTAATAGTATAGATTATATTAAATGTAATTGATATTACGCCAACATTGCTTATGTATAATTAAAATGTTTTGTGTTATCTATCTATTCTTGTGTTATCTATCCTATTTCTAACTTTCTAACATTACTTTTATCCATTTAAAATGTGAACTAGTTATTTCTTGAACCATTTCTTTATTGCTGTTTGAATCTCTTCTTAATTGTTGGGCTCAGTAGACATTAGCCTCACACCAAGTTGTATTCTTATTAGGCCACCTTAGATATTACTTTAATATACCTAGTATAATATTTAAACACAACAAATGGTTTTCTGTGTGACAAAAAGTTGAGGTGTGTACAGAGTAACCAACAACCTTTGCAATATGCCTGCCAACATCTGCCTTTGGGACCCCCAGGATATGAGGATGTGTTAATAAAGAATACAAAAGAGCAATTACTGAATAATGATTTTATCACCATACATGCAGTACTTAATTAAAATTCTGCAGTTTTTAATAAAACACCTTCCTGTCATGAATATAAAATCAAGGTGTTGTAGGGGACATCTGTTAAACTGCGAGCACATCTGGACACAAGATGTGAAAGATGGGAACAAATGACTGTATATAATGAATGTCCACCGCAGTGACAGCATGCCCCTTATAGACAATAAACCGTCTCTGTCCACAGGGATTTCACAGAAAATGTGACCCTTTAATGTTTTTTTACTGACATTCAGTCAATTGACATTTCCTGCTTGTTTTCACAAGGAGTCGTCGCTCCAGGCACAAAAATAAGAGACATGTAATTGAGTGTAAATCAGCCTTCCGTAAAAGTTTGATAGTATTCAAAGTACCGATGATACCCTCCAGCAGCTTATGTGCTGCTGTAGTCAAGTTCTTTATGTAGAAATATTGTACAGTTATTATATAGTTTTACGTTACGTATAACTCTGAGAAGCTAAGAGATTTATTGCATCTTATAGGAATCAATGGATCTTGACTTGTTAACTTATTTTGATGAATCTTTAGCATCTTTTTGTTACTTGAGCTCAAATAATAAAAAAAAGACTTATGATTACTTGGCACCGTGTCATGTTTGGGTCATTTGATGAAAGCTGACTTAAATAATGAAGCAATCATGATGTCATGAGCACTAGGTGTAAACCATGAGCGCGCTGCAGCTGTCTTCCAACTCAAAATGATTGCGGATATCCTTCAGAAGCAGAGCTTACTAAAGATCACATTTCCTAACATCTACCACTTAGCACTTTATTTCTGTTTGGCTATATTGGCTTGTGAGAGAAACCAGTCCGGATTGTTCTGGGGTGCACAGCAGCTTAGTTGGGTTTAGACGAGCTTGAGGCGTCACGCAGCCACCCAGCTGGAGATGTCAATCAGGCCTCAGTGATACACCACTCAATAGGAGTAGAAGGAAAACAGTGGCAGAGGGTTCAGTGAATGTCACTTGGCAAAAAGTAGGAAATAATTAGAATATGAATGTAGAAAGAATATCAGGTCAGATACCTTCTTTATAATAAATGAGTGGGCAGCAAGTTAGCTCAGCACAAAGAATGAAAAAAGATGGGAAACTTTTCTTGACAACAGTTTCAACCCTCATCAAATTCTCAGTTTGAAAGCACATTCTTCCTTAAAAAGGTCCATTGCTGTAACTGAATTGTGACAGCACAGAGTGCATCTTAAAGTGAAATCATTTGCACTTGTTGTACACTGATAAAACTGACTGAGGTAGAGGATGAAAAGGAAATCCCTGTTTAAAGCTTCGAGGGAATCAGCAACACGTCCTTTAGTCTTATAACGTTTAAAAGGACAGCTGCCGCTGTAAACACCTCAGAAACCGTGGACCCCAAAAACATCCCGGGGTCCGGATGAAGCTAATTCTTTGGCAGCATTCACATTACTTTACTAGTGCTGTCAAATGTTATTCATTAAAGTTCCCGTTCTTTGATTCACCTGCAGAGCATTTAACTGTTATTTGATGACCTGATGGCACTGAAATGTTAATGATGTATGTTGGTGTTGTTGCCCCATGGGGGTAATAAACAAACAGAACAACGGCTCCTCGTCCAAAGGCCAGATTGCATGGATTAGACAGGTTTACATCAGCACGCTATAACGCTATAAAAAGTTCCGGGAATACTTTCGGTATTTTAATAATGGTTTAGGGCAGAGCAATGACAAAACTTTTGAACAAAGGAGCACAGGCTCACCCACGTTGGGATTTTCTTTTTCTTGGATACGAGTCACAGGCAGCCATGTAGAAGTAGAAGTTGGAGGCCTTTTCTTTTTTTGAGTTGAAGGGCATGAAAAAAATTACGTTTAAAACTTTCCCCGTTTCTTATTAGTCCAGGAAGGACAAAAGTGAATACGTGCATTTCTTACTGTGTACATATTGACAGATGGGTAAATCAAGTCCACTTCGTATTCACTAGCAGTGAATACAGAAAATATTAATTCTCTGAATACTAGAAGCAATTTATATATTTGTACCGGAGCAGTATTTGTTAAAAAAAGAGAACAAAGAACACTGATATCTGATGACTGTTTCAGAAACTGAACAGTCAAATATGGTTAATACCAGAATGCAAATAACTTTAGCAGAAGATCCTCAAGATACTTAAATTAAATATTACAGTAGAATATTAATAGTATGGTTGTGTATTTGTTTATGGGTTCCTCGCTGACATTATCTTAATGTGTGCAGTGTCTAGTTCCCACTACTGAGGCGTGTGCTGTCCCGTTTTTAATCACCACCTCAAACATGCGCTGCCCCGACTTATCCTGACAGACAAGAACTCCAACCTGTAATAAAGTGTTTGTGTTTTTAAATAAGTGGATTCAATTTAAATCACATTGCAGGAAGTGTCCGTAAATCAACCAAACAAGTTCTTTCAACAGCTTTGTAAAAGCATCTTTAATTTAAACATGTTCTGTTTAATTTGCTCTGTCCCGTGCTGCGTTCACTTCATATAGAACACGTTGCAACATGTATGTATAAGTTCCAACCAGACATAAAAATTCTCATTCCACTTACCCATTGCTGATCTCCACAGTCAACGTACTGATCGACACAATGAACCCAAAACTTTTTTTTTCTACTTAAGTTTTACGGTAAATGAAAACAGCACTTTGGAGTTTGACAAAGGAAACAGAAGTGAATGATTAAAAACCAATCTAAAAAAAGCAATACAAAACATTTCATAAGTGAATAGAAATGATTTTATGATTTACTTCCTTTTTGTCTTTTGTGAGGTGAGAAATGAAATATATATACTAGGGGGGGAAAAACTAAAACCCAGACCCTCCTGTTGTGTAATGATGTAAATGTTGGTCCATTAACATCACTGTTCATGTGCTGAGGAACAAGCCACAGCTTCCAGATCCACGGAGGAGCATCATCCCCATCAATACACGGCTGCATGAGGCCATTAGAGCACTTCACTGCATGTCCACACGGTTTGGTCTTAGTTTGAATCCTCAATCCTTCGGAAAACTGCGAGGAAATTCTTCCCTCCATTTCTCTGCACTTTCTTCCCTTCCTCTGTACAGGTACCCAAACGATCGACGATCACATCTCCAACCTGCCCAAATGAGATTGAAAACGTTAAGAGGATGCAGTGGCCTTTGTACCAGAGTGTGTTCATGCTGTTCATTGACTTAAAGCTCATCATTTCATAGTCTGACAGATTGTAACCCGTGAAAAGTAACTGCCGTTTAAATTATTTTGCCGTTTTGGCAAGAGTAGGACAAGCATGTCGCTCCTCACGTCTGTAAAGACAAACTCTTTGCACGAGAGCAAATAAACACATTTCAAGCACATCTCAGAAGAACACTTGGATCAATCTTTAGCCACAAAAAGTGGAAGATTTGTGTTCTTCCCTTTTATTTTTCACATAGCCAGAATGAAGTATAGGGCTAATCTGCTGATGACGGTGTCTTTGGTTTCGTACATAGTATGTAGAAATTACCGTGATATTATTTAACTAAGAGAGCGTTTTTACCAAAATGTCAAACTACTGTTTCCAAGAAGTTCGAATCATGTTTTAAACCTCCTTTCCTTCTATAAGCAGATGACAAACTTCAACGTACCAGTTCTTCATCGAGGACACGTGTGAACAGCGGATGTTCGGTGAAGTGCTTCACCATCCAGACGTGCACTTCCTCCACATCTGTGATGGTGTACACCAAACCCTGACATGCCCAGACAAACACAGGGAGGTTTTTAAACATAGTTGTTTTTTTGGGGGGGGAGGGGGGGGGGAGGAGGAGGCGGGGGGTGGAGGGGGGACTTAAACAAGCGTCACTGGTGGTTAAAAACGCATCCATTTATCAATCACTAAGTAAACCTACGGCATTTATCAGATGAATTCACTTCTGATTTATTCACTTTGATTTTTCCCTTTAAAACACTGGTGCATGATTTCGGAATCGAAGCAGAGGGGTTTCACCATCTCCAGAGAGCTGTCCTTGCCAAAAAAAGATCAGAATAACCTGCCTCCAACACAGAGGTTAATCACCTATGTCACTGTAGTTTACTTTGGTGGCTGGAAAGATAATGTTACTGGAAAAAGATTTTCCTTGAAAAATTCAGCAATGTCACAGATTTCCACACGAGGGTATCTGATGTCTGGGTTTTCCTTCAGAAGGTAAAATGAAGACGAGAGGCTGTGTACCTGGACAGCTTCAAGCGGATCCCACTTGTTTACAGTTTTAATGTGATCCAAAATATAGACTTTTTAACAATAGACAACACTTTTGATCGGTAATTTTGGTATGAAAGTGCTTCTATAAGTCAAGCTGCACAGTTATGGCTGCGTGCCAATTCCAAGGAGCCTTATAGAGTTGACCCACCCAATCCACACACAAACCAATCTATCAATGCACATACGCCAGAGAAAACAAATATAGACACAAGCCTGCCTTTGTTCCCAAAACCTCCATCAGCAATGTGTCTGATTCGAGTGTCTCCCCGTTGCTCCGTCACCTCCGACAGGCAGAAGCAGAGTGTGTGCAGACGTCAACCAGCTGCAGGCCACACCGATTGTTCAATAATATTTCAGTTAATTCATGAATTGCTGCACAAAGCAACAACTTGTCGTTCAACTTTTACTGGAGTTGGGGTCTCAGTGCTATTAAGTCCGTGAATGAAACCCGATTCTCCTTCATTGTGTTGGTGCTGGCAAAAAAAACGATGATACTATGCCAGAAACAATAGTATCTTAAAGCAAAATGCTGGTGATACTTCTTTTGTTACTTCAAACAAATCCTCATTCCTACTTTGAATTATTGTGTGTTGCCGGGGCCTTTTATATTTTATCCCTCTGTGCCAGACGTCCACCGTCCAGGAATCAAATCAATGTTCCCTTTCAATTACACCGACTTCAAAACTTTATAACAGGTTATTAAAGTTATTTAACCATTAAAAATAAAATACCTATTTGTGACCTGTTTTAATCACGTTCTTCATTGGGAATGAATGGGCTTGTGGCTGCATGCCAACCAACCACCACCATTGTTGGCAAGTGCTAAAAGACAGACGCAGTCTTTTCATGGTGATGTTAACAATGGAGAAATACCAAAATTCTGTTACGCACCAACCGGCAAGTAAAATTCCTTCCACCACAAAAATCTTCCACCACAAACCCAAATCTACTCTCATTCAGAAGGTTTTATCCTTCTATCAAACGGCAGTCAGTGTTCTTAGAATTTGTGCTTAATAGATCACAAACAATTATCAAAATGATTGCAGGTTAAATGTCAGTTGATTGACTAATGGTTTCAGCGCCAGCTGGAACAAGTCTCACATACGTACATACCCCGAGTCTCAGCGTGTAGGCGTACTCTGCCAACAACGTGGGACTAATAATCCTCCACTTGTGCTTTGTCTTCTTGAAGTGAGGGTCAGGAAAGAGGAAGAACATCTTACTGAGCTGAAAGACATAAAAAAAGGGTCAGAAAACTAGACGCAGACAGAATAAACTGAGTTAGCTGCTCGCGGTTGTGCGCCTGACTGAAAAAAAAGTGTTGTCCGTCTCGAACGTGAGCTGCTGTTGAGGACAGGATAGGGACGGCCGGCCGACTTCTAGCCTTTTAGACGCTTGTGAGAAATTGTTTTTGTGCAGTCACCGGGACTTTGATTAAAATATCAAACTTCAGATTATCAACAGTAGATTGTTACCGGTACATTACAATTGATTTATTTAATTTATCTTTTGTTCGAGAACAGGTCACAAAAAGTCAAAATTACTTCTGAACCAATGGCTGCAGAGCAATACCTCTTCTTTCGAGTGCAAGTGGATGATTGACCCAGATGTAATGAAATTCCCTTGAGGCGTTCCTGACATACTGCATTCAAGAGAATGGGAAGGATGAAAGGTCACGGCGACCTCAACCTTTGACCCCTCAAATTGAATCAGTTCAACCTTAAATCCAAGAGGACAATTGGGCCAAATCTTAAGAAATGCCCTCAAGGCGTTCCTAAGATATCTCTTTCACGGGGACGAGCCTGGAGAAAAGAAGGTGTGCCGTTGGGCTGGTGAGGAGGCAGCAAGAATAGACGGCTCATTCACACGCAAGATCAAAATAGAATGTTTTATTTTTATCTAAATAAATGAATAAGCCCCTCGTTATGTTTTGTGGTTGTTTTTTTAAGCACCTCTGACTGGAAAACTGGAATTTCCCTTCTTGAATTTTTTCTCGCCCATAAACTTCCCTGCGTCTCGGCCTTCGACAAGTGCACAACTGAAGGTTGCATTGACATCAGTCTGGCAGATACATAAAACTATTCCAGTAAGTTTTCATTAGTCCAAATAAATAATGTCAGGTACAGACAGAAAGTTATGGGGATAATTACCAGGGACTGCTGGAGCCTTCGGGGCTGCTTTAGAGATAATTTTTGGCTACAAATCATACAAAAAAAGTATGTAGGCGGTTATATATATATGCTGAGTCAACACTTAAAAGACATCATGCATGCAAGAAGAATTCTGAGCCCTGGTCTAGGTAATGGTCTTTTATTTCTACAGCAGGTTTGTTTTAATCACAAACAAGGAAGACGGTGATACTAAAGCTAGAAACAAGTACTTTAGTACTGGTATACTAAGTCCACACTGAATAATCTAACAAGTCATAGATTAGCATCTGATTGGAACGGATAAATGGCGTCTTGCACTGCTCTATACTCAGCTGCATTGCGAGTCAGTCAAGGACTGACTTGTTGTGAAATCCTGGATTTAATAAGCAAATTCAGTTAGACAATATGTTGAACATGAGAAAAGTAATTCATTGTAGTGAGAAATTGGCTTATTCTTATTACCTTGGCATCGCCAGAACAGACTATGGGCTTTAAGTCAAGGCTGTTAGAGGCCCGGCTGAATATGCTTTAGTTTTTATGAGTTCTAATTTGGTTAAAATGATTAGACGACGCGCCTTTTCTAAATACAGTGGGGGTCCATCCAGTTTACAAAACATACACCGGCAGTTGTATCTAGCCATGCAGATACAGTGACAGAAAATAAAATCTATACATGAATTCAGTAATGAATGTGTGCAAATTGTCGGGATCTCTCCATCTCAGGGTCAACCACTGAGACCTGGCTTTTAGCACCGGACAAATGTTTACAACATGTTTCACCAGTACCGGCATCTCACAATATATAGAAGACAAAGTAATTTCCAGTCAACTGCCTGACTTTTTGAACATTATTACATTACAGGTCATTTAGCTGACGCTTTTATCCAAAGCGACTTGCATTGCAATTTTAACCCACGGCGTTATACATTTTGCCCGGGGAGCAATTGGGGGTTAGGTGTCTTGCTCAGGGACACTTCGACATGGGACATTGAGCAGCCGGGGCTCGAACCACCAACCGGCGGTTCCCAGCGCACCCTCTCTACCCCTGCGCCACATCTCACCTGGTGTTGTTTCTGGTGTATTTTTTGGTTAATTTAAAAGGATAAAGTACATAGATAGATACATTGATTAGGTAACTTTGATTACATCACAGACAATTACGGTGTGAAGTAGTTGCACTTTATTTTAGCGCGAATAGTAGTACGTTTGATATTAAACAGGAAAACAGCGTAAAGACACGCGATCCAGCATTGGATACATTTACACTGTAGGCAGTTTACCTACTACTAATGAAATCAGTTTTATAAATGTAAAATCATATTTGGATTCTGTGATTAAGGCTCACACAGAAACATCATTCATTGTAATTGGGCGGAATGAGAAGATCTACTTTTAGCAACTGGACAGAATAACCACGAACTTATAAGAGGCGCTCTAAATGAGTGAGCCAGATGTTTCTGCTGGTTTAGGTTCTTTCAGTGAAACGTTATTCAGATGGAATGCAGACTTCAAACCATGGTGGGTTGCCTACGGTTAAGAGTAATTTACAGACAAATCTATGTTTCTGAAAATGCCAAACTTTTTTTTTTAAATACATTCCAAAAATCTTCCTGGGTAAACCATAGTTTTAAATTTTCAAATTTAAAATCAAATTTTAGTGAATTTAAAGCAATTTTTCATGTGAAACAAAGATTGGGATTTATTATTTTTCAATAAAAGTGTAGAAAAAAGAATTTGGATTTAGTACGAAAGTACCGTAACACAACTTAACAAATACCAACAGAGGGATGATATCTTAGTTTCATTGGTATTTAAACCCTTCTGAATGAAGTTATTTGAAAGTGACTTGTCTGGAAGAGAACACTGAGTAGTGAATTAAACTAATCTAAAGATGTAGCAGCTATCAATTATCTCCCCATCTGTTGTGTCATCGCACACAGGTGCAGACCTACCTGTCCTTTAAAGAAGAAGTTGGGGAGATACTTCATCGCATTGGAGCGAATGCAGGCGATGTTCTGGTAGAGTCCCGGTTCCGAGGCCCGCAGGGATCGGATACGATCCTGAACATAGTCAGACACCTTCACTCGGATCTCCATGCCCAGGATGAGCTTGTCTGGAAAAAGTGGAGATAGCTCCACTGATGAAAGGTCAAGACACAAAGAGACACGAGAGGGGAGGACATGAGGTCAATACAAAGCAAACCTGTGATCTGTTAAAACTGCTCGTGGTCAATAGCGACAGAACTACCTAAAAGCCCCCCATATCCACATCCGATGTCAGCAAACTCAACTCTGGGAGTGTCTTTGTCGGACGGGTTGCCAGTGATGAAGTCTGCATACAGTTCGGACCAGTCCATCTCCTCGGGACACACGGGACTGAGGGGGAAAAGGGAAATGGGAATATTTTGTTTTGAAGAAACAAAGGCTTACATTGGAGTCATACATAGTTGCGGAAATACTACGGATTACTCGATGAATCTAGCTTTTCATGTTGTTTGTACCTACTGTACATTACATTGTTGCGGAGACTGTAGTCACACAATCTCAGACCATGTGTAACCAAAAAAACAAACGCGTTGCTACATAACAAGACTTAAACTAGCAACAACTTGACTTTGTGATTATTGCCTTCGTATAAACACTGTAGGAACAGAAAATAAAAGCTTGGTAGGTAACGTTACAAATAAGGAAGTTCCCCGAGTCCTTCAGTGGTGCGGGTATTAAACTAGGACACATGTTCATCACTCACTAATTGAACGTGTGGTGCGCCATCGGGTTTGAATGTGCTCGCTGTCTGTAGTAACGTTTCTGCGGCATTGACGAAGTCATGTTGTATCACAAAACGGACGTTTCGCTCAAGAGTATTAACTCTGACAACAAATTATTAGAAAAACGTAGTCGATTCCAAGTGAGTCGCGTTTGTTTCTGGTAAGTTAAGCACATCGTTTGTGAGTCGCTGCTATTCTACGTCATCGCGACGCGACGTCTCCGGGTTGCCAGGTTTGTTGTATTTTTACAACCTCGATGACTCTGGCTCTTCGTAATCCTACATTTTAATTTGACTGAGGCAAAGGTATCACCAAGTGTCTGAAAAGCAATGTACTCACTTAATGTCTGTATCTTTATATTGTATTATCTATTGGCATATCTCATCGCATGTGTGCTGTTTGGATCCCCCAGGTGTACTGTATTGAAAAGAATGCAATATGGTCCCAAAATTATTTCATTTAACTAATAATTATTATTTATTATTATTAATAATAATAATCAGTAGTGAAGGTCTCAGGGTGTAACATTTTCAAACGTTTGACAAGAAACAGTTGCAGATGGAAAGTATGACGTATATAATAATTATCAATAATAATTAACATTGTTGTTGACAGATATAATTGCTGTTTTACTGGGGAAACACTTGAAAAGAAATGTTGTATGTGTTTAAGTATGTTGCTGTTTACAATAGAAACTTTATGCAGTCAAACGTCACAAATTCAGAGTTCAGGGAATACAACAAATATAAGTGAATGACTTTTAACACTTCTTGAAGTAACTCAGGGGCTCGTGTATGTCTAATAAATGTGAATGCTTTTATTTCCCTCTGGTTGTCCTCACTCAGCTTTCATAATCTTCTCATTTCACTCCTTCAAGAAGGTGGTGAGACCACATAGTTCCCTGATGTAAGTTTCCTGCTAAGATCAATCTAGTTGCCTAAAAATGAGACACAAAGTTCAATTTTGATATCAACAAAAGTTTTTAATACAAAACATTAATTGTACACTAAGGATTTAATATTTGAAGCAATTGTGCCTTGTTTTCTTGGGCTTTTTGATATTGGCTCCGTTGAAGTGGACCTTTAGGAATATGTTGACTAAATTAGTGGGCCTGGGGCCATTGTCATGGTCACATGAGTAGGAACACAATTATGTTCACTTTCAAACTCTTTTTTACAGTACAATCCAAATCGAAGTTGATGGCAATCACTTTTTTGTTTTCGTTTCGAAAGCAAAACATTACAAGAAAACATTTTGGTGGCATTTTGTCAACATTGCTCATGGTTGTTCAAAAAATGCTTGATAGCTTAATGAATCAAAGCTTTTTTTCCCAAAATGTTTACGGCAGTGTTTATGTGGCAGACAGGAATTTATTTTTAATGAAATCCAATCCAACACTAATCTCCTCCTCAAACTTTGGAGCACTTGTCTGCACGACCCTTTCTTCATACAGTGGTCACCCTCATTACCACCTCATGGTTGGCTCTGCGCAGACTGTTGGGTCTTAACTGGCGGAGGATGTGCAAAATGGTATAGCCACAATGGTGGTTGAGAATAGTCCGGACAGGTCGACTCGCCCTTTGTCCGCTGCCTGAGTCCCTGTCAACACGACCTTTACTGCTGCAACTGCTGGGGTCACCGAGGTCCTTCGCTTTCTCATAATTCAGCACTTTCCACTGCTGGTTCATCGCCTGCCAGCGCTTAAAGATCCGGTAAACAGACGACCCTTCGTGGATTATAAGGCCTGGGCATGTAGGGTGAGGGGAGGTTGGGGCAGAAAGCAAGGTTACATATCAGTACGTACTAAAAGGTACAGACTGAGTCAGAACTATATGCAAAAAAGATGATTATGGAAGACTTGTTTGTGGGTATTTTTGACTGATGTTTGGTTAGAAACATGTGTCAATGAAAAAAAAAAGAAGAAAGAAAAAGGAAACAGAGGTAGAAAACAAAAAACATACTCATGGGACAGAAATGTAATTTCTTTTCTGTGCACTTAGACTAAAAAATAATATACATATATATATATATTCCGAGTTACTGTTTTGTTTGTGTAAGCTATCGCCATTGTTCGCCATCTGTCAGTGAGTTTTAAATACTCTTAAGTCAGAGATACCGATAACAGCATAAATTGGATGCACTGCAAACTTTACATACAGTTCTGCTTACGCCATGATCAGCTGACTTTTCTTAGCATTACTACTGTTAAATAAATTTACCTGCAATTTGGTAAAGAAATCCATAATGCCCAGAAATAAAAATTTGGGGTTTTGAGTAAAATGTCCACTGCCGAATGGGTTGAATGGGTTGCCAACCTCATTCCCCCTCTCAATCATACCTTTGATGATCCACTGACGTTTTATTGCAGCATCACCTAGATACTTTGGTCTGCAAACAATTTCCTGCTACAGTAATAAAACGGAAAATTCATACTATATCTACTTTCTTAACATGGCAGCATTGTGAGCATGTGACTATGCTGAAGCCACAGAGCCTGTTAATAAGACTGGTTCATTAAAAGCCTCCTTGTAGTTTGCCACTGATTATAGTCCTGAAATAGCGGCTCCATTTTAAAACAAGTAAATGTTAATGTATTATTAATTCATGGAAACGTTGAATGTGTGCTTGCCTGTAGGCAAATTTCCCGTTCTGTCCACACGCTGACGTGTTATGCAATGACTAAAATACTCTCTAGATGGCAACTAATTGGAATTCCTTCAGTAAAGTATACAATAAGTACATCATTCAATAGTAATATGTCATCTTTTTGACATACTAATTTAAAAGTAAGCATCATCACCAAACCAAAGTGGCCTGTTAACTTCTAACGTTTATTAATCAACATCAACCAACTGTTCAGTATGTGTGTCTTACCAACACAAACTATGTCCATGAAGCCATACATGCCGTAGCATATCTGGAAGAGAAGGTCCTGCCGCTGCCATTTGGCTGAAGGGCTGAGAGAAGACCACACCAACCAGGAAAGACTGGCGATGAGGAACAAAGAGCCCAAGACGATGGCTGCAATCTGCACCTTCTCAATGACAGTCAGAGAGATGGCCTGCCACTAGAACAGACACACAAATGGACGGAAACTTTTAACCATAGATGCCAATTTCAAAATCCTGTGAAACTGTAATAGTGCAAGGTTTGTCTCAGTTTCAGCCAATATATGAGCGCGGGGCTCTACGCCTTTATGCTGACGAGAACACAGTGTTTTGTCATTCAGCTTTCTGCTATAAGAAAACAGCCCCAATGCGCCTCTGCTGCCGAAGCTTTAACTCAGATAATTCAGAGATGCAGGAACTGTAACAAGACGAGCCTCTGAGGGAAGAAGCGTTTCATCCGATAGCGTCTCTGTTCCAGCATTCGGAAGCTCACAACATTTGGTGCTTCTGTCAGTTTGTCTACTGTCTGTGTGCCGCACACTTTGAAAATGTGGAGTGTCTCACTCTTTTGTTTTTGGCAACCTCTTCACTTTCTTCTTCACCATTTGTCAGTAAAAAACAAACAGTATGAATAGCTCCGGGAGAATTTAGATACTTGCTCTTTATCTGCCATGAGCAACCTACTTTGTGTTACAAAGTGTGTTGCCAGGACAGAAGCAGAGCACTATGCCTTTGTCTAATGCCTTTGTCTAATTGGTGATGTAAGCACTTCATGGCCTCTACTGTATGTCATTAAATTCACCTTCAGATCACTGACCTCTACGACGATAACTGCCTCACTCATATCGGGCAGCATCAAGTTTGCAAAGGGCTTTCTGCCATGTAGCTTCTCATGCCAAGAACTTTATTCATATTGCTCCTTTTAACCCAGTAGGAATGTTTCCACATTAAAGATGAAGACAGTGACAGAGAGAGAGAGCAGCCTTACCTGAAGTGGGTTTTTGGTGCTGATGGCCAAGACCTGGTACTTGAAATAGCAGATCTCACAGCTCCAGCAGCCTCTCTCACTGATCCAGCGGATAAGGCAGGACTGGTGAGTACAACGCACGGAGCCGGCACAGCGACAAGGGCTCAACAGCTCTCCCTGCAGGGTAACACAAGCGGCTGCATTCAGTAGGGTCTTCAAGCTATTATTGAATCTGCCTGTTACAAGATTTGATTTGGCAAAGATGACGCTAAAAGTAAAGAAGAAGAAGCCTCCTTAGTCCTGACAATGGTACAGTCACTATTTATCTACTGAAGGCACAGTGTTGCTGTTGTTGCTGTTATGAAGCCTGCAAAGGGGATTAAAAAGATTAAAGATTGGAGCAAGCACAAAAAATACAATATAATCATTTTATATTATATTTTCTTTGTTTTGAAATGTTTGCTACAAATATGTGTTTGAGGTTGATATCACTATACTTATATTATAATACTCCAATTATCGTTTGGTGTCTTTATCAAGGAGAGAAAGGGTTTCAAAGTGATATGAAACAGTATTAATTATAAACTACTAATCACAATATATAATCATCCCGACAATATATGCAGCTTTCTTTTAACCGTTTTTAACCAGTATTTGTCATTGACGCTTTGATACTTTGGCACAGTAACTCCCATGACTCCTCTATACGCCGGCGTTTACTGGCCTATGACTCTCGGTGTGTTACATTATAAGTGCGACAAAGCTATCTATAAACCAAAGGTGAAAACCAAAGGTTTTTTTCCTGGTTAACTGTCACTGGGTCCGTAAAATCAAAGCTCTCACAGTTCCCTTGCAACATCGAACGTTCACTTTGTTTGCCAATTAACTGCTATTTTCATAGTTTTTTTCTGTTCACTGGAACAAAACAAAACTACACTTTTTAACCCCAATGTTTTGTTTGTGTCAAATCGACCCGCCAAACACCAGATAAAGTCAATTATGGGATAGAGCTCTTGCAGCAACTTTTTTCAAACAACTGTTGGTGCTGTATTATAGAACATATTAGTGACTCTTAAGATACAGGTGCATTATTGTGTACGGGTCACCGCCCGGTGTTTATTGTCTCCATCAGCAGGATCCTGTATCTCCAACTCTCCCACGTCTCTCTAACTATACTATAACGGTTGCATGGATTCGTCAGCTTGCCTCTCTCTCCGTTCACAACAACAAATCAAATCCTTGACAACTAGTGTACAGAAATAACTGCGGGCCAGAATTGCAGAGAATTCTGTTGAATTCACCATTTGGTAATGAGCATAGGGGACAAAAGCGACAGCACATCTTTGTTACGAATATGTTTTAAGACTCGGTTGACGTATTCAGAGGATATAGTAAAAAAAAAAAACATGAATCAGAATGCAGTAAAGAGAGCGTTGTATACTTGTTTTGATTCATTTCACCATGGTTGACGCATTCAGTTTCTCTCGTGTCCCTTTCACGTATCCTCAAAAGAAATCGCAGGACATCTGGTGCAAATGTTTGCTGTCAGAGCGAGACAAGGCCTCTCGGACTTTAGCACGTCTCACTTTATTTTCTGGCTTCAGGTAATGTACTTGGTCTTAGACATCTGCCGGGGAAACAAAATCTTTTTTAGAATCCTGTTAAAGGCTGATTTCATCCTTTGTTGCTCAGATCCCACGTCTGAGACATGAACAACATAAGCTTTTTAAAAATATTTTAGCTTTCTGTGCATCCACAGGCTCAGTTTTTCTTCACTCCTCCGATGTCGAACTGCACTGACAGGTGTTCTGGATGAACTGAGATTACGCGTCTGACGTCACGTTCAGGAGCAGTCGGTCACAATTAACATTCAAATAACTTTTAGGTAATGAACACTTTGAATAATACAAATATTTATAATCTTTACATTCCGGCCACTTTAATGACAGCGAAGGCGGCGCATGCGATAGGGAGGGTGTGCTGTGCTGTGCAAGGTTGGCGGTTTGAATCCTGGCTGCTACCTGTGCCAAGTGTTACTGAGCAAGACACCTAACCCCCAATTACTCCACATGAAATTATGTCAAACCATGGGCGTTGTGGATAAAAGTGACAGCTGCATGTATAGTAATGTCCTGTAAGTCAAAGTCATCATCTTATCTCATGAGATACTATCTCATTATGATGACTTACAGGACCTGTTTTTCAGTGGCTGACATGAGCTTCCATACATTAACCTACTACAGATGTAGATGGATTGTGATTCACTGCACTTGTATGCGTATTTCCACCACTTCATAAAATTTATGTAACATGCAGTTGAATTACGGTAGTCTGCTATTATTGTAAATTGACAGCTTTAACTCATTCATGACATTGGCTGTTAATTTACAAGCAAGGGATGGAAATTTAACTGTATGTTACAGTTATTATGACATACTGTAAGATACCGTTAGAAATGCACCGTAAATTTACAGCAATTTGTTACAGTGTTTGTGGATTCATAAACTCCTGTCTCAGATTAGCACCACGTGGTTTGACTCCCCATGAACGAGCAAGCACCTGCCTCACACAACCTGTAGTGCGCTGCTGAGGTGCTGGCTTCTACAGGCTGTTGGACCCCTACCTGGATGTTTGCTCATAGGCACAAGGGTTCCCATCGAATAGCTGACCCCTTGTTGCAGAGTGGATCCCCACAGTAAAACCTCTACCGTGATTGAGACGAGCTATACCTTCTCCGGTCCTTGGAAGCAGATCCGGCACTGCGGTGATCGCGTCCCGCTCTCCGAGAGACTCGGGAGGGACGCGGCGTCCAGGCCTCTTCCCTCGGGGTTGTCTTCTTCGGCATCCCCCAATTCCACGCTGCGTGGCCGGGAGTCAGACCCATAATAGTCCTCCTCGGCGTCCCGGTGAGAGCAGTACAGCGGTGGCCAACCGCAGCCTCCTATAGCGAGCCCTCGCATCCCGGTGCGCGTGTCCGGGTCTGTGCCCGTGCCGGTCCTCCTGCTTGATCCAGAGCGCATCAGTAACAGCACATTGAGTTCATTGAAAAACACCCAGATGCGATACTTAAACATTCTTCTGCAGCTTTACTACAAAGGCACAACCGCTCCGTGAGACCGAGCAGCCTTCAGCCCGACAGTGGATGGTCCATCATGAAGTCTAATCAACATTACTATTACGGTTGGGTCGGTTGTTACTATTGCGGCTAATAAACCATTGGATTCAATTAGAAAATGTATATCCTATTAAGTTAGAGAGACTTCGGCCAAAGAAGCCCGACAGGCTATCATCCCATCCCATTAGCCCATAGCTCTTTGCATATCCTGTTGTTATAGCATGTGCACCGCAATCCAGCCAATCGGGAAGCCTTATTTCTCATGGCCAGAGCCAATGGATGCTGGAAGTGTGAGCCACCAGCATTACAGTCAGATGGTCCAATATAATTCTCCCGTGTCTTCTTTTTAATTTATAAGCGACCCACTGTTCCTCTTGGTGTTTATAAATCAGCAGGCGACAAAATTCTGGAGTCTATTCATCTTCAAGCGGAAAAGCAGCGACAGTGTCTGGTGGTTAGGGTTGATATTAAATCCTATTAACAACTAAGTCAAAGCCGATTGATATTTCAGTTCCTCCATTTACCTACTGGTTGGATGCGACAGCAGAGCGCGGGTCCTTTGTTGTCTCGCAGTCCATCCACCAAGTCACCAGTGTCCCCTCGTATATTTGTTTTTTGACAGACTTAGGGTGTTTTCGTCCCTTCGACATCCCGGCATACAAAGTTAGGAGCAGCTTTGCGTATCACAGATGGATACGAGAGGAGACAATCAGACGAACACATTCAAATCCATTCCACGACAACTTGCGCTCACAGTTCTCTGTTCATCCCAAACGCGTCTGCGCCAACAAAGCAAGAGGACGGAGAAAAAATGTCAGACATGGACTCCTGCAAACACAAAAAATAGAGCCGACAGCAGACCGCAGACGTGTCTTCCGGGTTGTTAAAACACAGCGACACATCATGCTCACATCTGTAATGAAAGGCCTCCTTGAAGCAGTGAGACGATAACCTGCAGGCTGCGGCGACGTGTCCACCGACCTCCTTCGTGTTTAAACTTGGATTGCCGGTTGTTCATTTCCGGCACGTCTGGTCAAAGGGGAACTTATTTCGTCGGTTTAGTTACACACACACAGCAGTTTCCTTCCAAAAACACCTTCCTTCCCCCTGCGGCCGAGGGAAGATGCGCTCCGTCCGCCGCACGCGCTGTCCGAGGTGCTGATGTCCGGGTGACGTGGAGACCACGTGAGAAAATGAAAGGCAGTTCGACGGAAGACAAAGGACGTGGAGCAGTCAGCTCTTACACGCGCACAACACGCACGTCATAATACTCTCCATTCAAAGAGAAGCTTTTTCATGTGTTCCCTGAATTCGGTTTATTTTAATGAAGAGGTCGTAACTATCATAAGCACCATGGAATAAACACTCTCCAGAAAAAATACATTTATTTATTTTTCAGACCAGAGGAAAAACTGATTAAAATGTGAAAATAATAACAGGGTAGAATAAAGAGTTACTGAAGATCGGTTCATTGTGTGTCATGCAGAAACAGAGATGTGGGATCCACTGTCAAAGAGTATATCACTGAAACAGTGCATGTTACAAAACTGTGTAAGTTCAATAGAAGGTGCCAGGTGACCAGAAGATTAGATACACAGACCAGAGGATTAGATACACGGTGACGTAAGGAGAGATATCAGCTACAGACTATTGTTGGTATTCATATGTGAAGCCAGCAGTGCTGGAGGAAAGAAAATTTGGGCCAACGATCACAGTTATCAAGCCGAGTATAGCAAAGGAAGTTATTATGTCCTAAATGAGCTGATGCGAAGATACCTCGAAGATGTCACTTTTAAAGGAGGATGTAAACAAATATGTTAAACGCACAGTAATTACCAAATATGTAGTTATCTTCGGTTATATATCAAAATGTAGAAACTTTTCTGTTCTTTGAGTTTAAAAAAAAAAAGGAAATGTTAGTAAGCTCCTGTCTCTGTTTTTAGCTAAATGATTTTCCCATTATACACCAACATTTGTGGTGAAAGACATCAGAGAAACACTTCAAAGTTAAAATACTTTTCCATAAAATCTGCATAAATCAGCTAAATGTGAAAACCATTGAATTGAATTGGTGACAAGACATGTTTATGGTTTGAGTTTAGCCAAGAAACAAGCTTGAATTGAATTAGTTAAATTAGTTCAAATGAATGAAATGCATGTACATACACATTTAGGGAAAAGAAAAGGTTCAGAAGCAGAAATGACTTCAAACTTCTTTTGACCATTTTAGGAGTAAAATGCAGCCTGGATGTAACATGATGGTAAATTATCTGCGGTCACCTTCAATTATCTGCCTGTTATCATGCGCACGTTTTAGGAGTGCAGTTGAAATGTGTCACACCATTATCGACACATCGACGTTCACCTTGCAAACATTTTTGTCAAATCAATCAATGAATAAATATCAACTAAATTGAGCTTGTTAGCAGTTGGTTCCATTTGCCAACATCCCACATATTACTAATTAAGACAAATACACAATCCTTTTCATTTGTAACAACCCATCTAAAAAAGACACCACTTCTTTAATGACCCACAACTAATAGTGCGTTCTTTGTCTTTGTTTACAGATTTGTGAATGTGCACAGGAAGCCAGCAGCAGCACATGTTCAGTTCACCACCTTCTCTCTTGTGGATGTGACAAACTTTCGTCTGCAAAAGGAGCACTTTAGTCCCGTAAATCAACATCTCCAGCAGGATCAAACCATAACTTGTGTGTTTGAAGGACGTGCATGCCTCCAATTTTCTGTGTCTGCTAACAGCCGTTGAGTGGTGTTCATTAGTGTGATGCTGTATATATGTTATATTTAAAATTTGTGGACATTCTAAAATTAATTTGGCTTATTAATAAAAAAGCGCATTATTTGTATGTATTTTAAGTTAATCAAGTTTATTGCATGAACCTCATTATTATGAATATAAAAAATAAGCTTTATAAATATTGAATACATTTGTTCATACTATGTTTCAATTATGTTTCACTGTATTTGTAAATAAAATATATAAATGTTAAATATTAGGCCTAAATATTGCTGGAAGTTTCTTCCTCTCTGTGCAGCAACACAAGCGCAGGAGCAAGTGGCTGGAAAAAACGGCATCCCAAATGGATTGGTTGTGTCGGATACCGGAACACTTAAAACTATGACCATCCAAAGAGGAGGTAATTAAACCACAAGTTCACAAATTCATTTTGTTCTGTGATCACATGCAAAGCGTAGTGTTTTCAAGACGGGCAGACATCGTTTGGTTTAAGCCAAAGTGCCATAAAAGAACAGAAACATAATCTGTATTCAGTCAATTTGTCCACTGGCCCATTTTTACCCCTTATTACCATTTATTTTCTTTTCACTTTAGTCCCACAGAATTTTTTTTCATTTGACTTAAAGTTATAGCTCTGAATACAGTTTTTACACAGCAGTATATAACAACTCCAACCATTTAGAATATTCTTAAGGGTTAATTCAAACTATTTAAATTTTGGTTAATGGAATTAACAACTACACTTTATTATACGTTTGGCACAATTCATCTATTGTTTATTACTCTATCATTTTCAGGTATGTTAATTAAACATACGTAGATGCGTATGCTAAAATAATGGGTGTGGCTAATATTGTTGGGCGATATCTTTTATATCGGAAATGGACGTTAAGTTATGTGATTGTGGTGACTTCATACGGCTCAGTAGGACTTTAAATGCTCCGAAGACTTCACTTCAGCTCCGCCTCCTCCAAGAGTTACCAGAAGCAACAGGAAGCGACCACCCCCTGAAAAAAAGTGCAGACTGGAGAAAAAAAACAAAACAGGCCAAAAACCTAATCTATTTATCGATTAGTGCACATCGGATCCATCTGCCGGAGGCGTGAACCCGCGCCGGGTCCGACCCGCGTGCTCGGGACCCGCTTCTGGAGGAGTTCTACGTGGCAGAGAGGCGCGAGCATGTCCTCCTCGCAGAGCGAAAGTTAAGCTCACCTGCTGCACGAGAGACGACCGCGAGGTAAGTGCGCTGTCCGAACGCACGCGCCTCTTTCGAGTGACAGTTTGTTTAATTTGCCACAGATGTGGAAATATAAGTTGCCGACGGCGATCCGTCCCCGTTGTCTGTTACTTTTTTTTGCCGTCTTCCTCCGCCACGTCGGTGCACATGTGGGTGTGGAGGAAACAAGTCCGCGTGCCCGTGGTGGCTTCACTTTTCACTTCTTTTAATGGCAGTTTATTTAACAAAGGAGCGCTATGGAGGAGCACCACGTGTCGAGGACTCTCCGTCTGTCCTCGCCCGTTTCTGCCTCCGCCCACTGACCCCCAGTGGATAGATTAAGCAGACAAATGAATGAAGTAAAAATAGAGCGGATAATCAATAGGCCACAGGCAGCCGCTCCGTCTTCTGGGACAGGCCTCAGGGGCCCGAGACCTCGGGGGAACGAGTGTTTAAAATGAGGGGGACAAGTCATGAATAGCCAGACAAACTTCCTGTAGGACCAGAGGAGGTTTGGTATGAAGGCCACACGTAGGCCGATCAGTCATTATGACACAGTGAATTACTTTTTACGGGCTGATACTGTTGTGCTGCAAAAATATTTTTAATTAAGCCTTTGTTTTGTTGTCAGATGGAGGTGGGGTCACTACAGGGGGGAGGTCCAGGTAGTAATAACAAAACCATGCAGGCAATAGTTTAGTACAGTGACTCTCTTATTGACTTCTGCTAATAATTATGTCTGTAAATCAGTAAATGTGTCATACTTCACCAAAAATAGGGAATCATATTACTTTGCAACACTTTCATCATTGATTTGTATTAATTGATTTGTATCATTAATTTGTATTTCTTTCAGAAAAACAGGAATGCAGGCAGACTATAGTCTGCAGATACTTGGACTCATCTTTCTTTGCTTAAGAGGAGGACATGTGGTGTGTTCAACGAGCATACTGCACCACCTCTTCCTCTGGTTAACTAACGGTTCTATTGACCTCATAAATAGTTGTGGTTTGGCAGCATTGTTGCAATAGAGTAGCACTTCACACAATACCCTTATATACAATCCACCCTAAATGTACATGTTGGATTGTTAGTGTTTAGTAGAGCAGATGACAATCAGCACACCGATTACAGAAAGACTAAATCAATCTTACACATGAGCCCAAAAGGCTTATGTTGGTATTGCTACATCCAGCAGTGACTCTGCAATTATCTGTTTTCTTCTCTGTGGTCTATGCTACTATGTATTCAAAGTTGTAGTCCAAACATGAGAACAAGTGTTTGGCTTTCAATGGACATCTTTTTTTGCTGTAGTTTTCTCACTTTATTTCTTTGAAGAAGCTTGAACCAGCCAACGAATGGCTTCTTTGTTTTAAAAGTGACTGAAAGGGTTCATTGAATATTGACATTTTCTCTGATCTTTTTCACCCCAACATGAGATTTGCTCTATGCAAATCCTTGTTGCAACTCACTGTGCAGTACTACTTCATGACAATATTTGAATACAGGATTTTTGTATTGATTTGCATGATTTTATTTCTAGGCATTTAATTCCCTGGATTAGACCTATTCCTCCCAGATATTTTATCTAGAGGCTATTTTTTAGTTTTCAATACTTGGCAATAGAAAATGTTGCACATTCAGCATTAAAGCAAAAAATGGCTGAGTCCGCTACTTGACAAGTCCACCGGGTTGTTTTGCCGTACGGCTTGAACCTCTGTATACAACACTTATTCAACAGCTGCACACTCCTGCTGCACACACAAACAGAATTCCTAAAGTGGAAACACCGTCCTCGGCGAGCACGGCGTTACAATAGCTCGGTTTGTTGTTATACAACCTATTACTTGCATGAGCGCACCACATCCATATTTCCCACTGACGGCTAGCGGTCCACTACCTTATACATACCAAGCCTTCTTCTATTATACACCACTGATAAAATATGAGGCAAGTCAATTACGTCTCCAGTAGTGAGAGTTTAATGTGCTGGTTTAATAAAGCCATATGTTTTGTTGGTTTCACTTTTTATTGACTTTGTTGAAGCTGAATCTGATCTGTGTGTCATACATGTGTCCCTCAGTCCGTTTGATCCTGGCCATGGCCCACGGCGCCAGCATCCAGTACGAGCCAGTGGCAGAGATCGGGGGAGGCGCTTACGGGACAGTTTACAAGGCCCGAGATACAGAGAGCGGGAAGTTTGTGGCTCTGAAGAGTGTGCGTGTGCAGGCGGACCAAAATGGCCTCCCAGTCTCCACTGTCAGAGAGGTGGCTCTGTTGAAACGGCTGGAGCAGTTCGACCACCCAAATGTTGTCCGGTAAGCCGTCTACTCCAGTGTTTGAGTTGCCTACGATCTCCTGTGAACAACCTCTGAGAGAAGTCCCTGTCGCTTGTTGTTGTGAACAGGCTAATGGATGTATGTGCCACTCAGAGGTCGGACCAGGAGACTAAAGTCACTCTGGTGTTTGAACACGTGGACCAAGACCTGAAGACGTATCTAGAGAGAGCCCCTGCTCCCGGGTTATCCCCCGGCTGCATTAAAGTGAGAAATAACTGAAACAATATCTAAACTAATATTTATAATGAACAAAAAATGTATGGATTGACAAGTTTTTCATTCTTTGGGGTTTTGAAAGCAACTTCTCTTTTAAAGATTTGCTTCCTGTTGAAGTATTCCTGTGTGTGTTTCTGCAGGACCTCATGAGGCAGTTGCTGTGCGGCCTTGCATTCCTGCACTCTAACCGTGTGTTGCACCGAGACCTGAAACCAGAGAATATTCTGGTAACCAGCCAGGGCCAGGTGAAGCTGGCTGACTTTGGACTGGCCAGGATCTACAGCTGCCACATGGCTCTCACCCCCGTGGTAAGAACCTCCCCTGGACCACAACCCTGGTTGTTTGTGTTGTATGCACAGAGTACTGTCATTTATTTTAAGCATTTAGGAAGCATCTGACTCTTCAGCATTTCACTGAGAAATGCTGAATCATCTGCTTTTCGAGCCTCGGAAAAACTAATCCATCATAGTCATTTGTTTTTTGTCTGAGTTAAATTTCTCACTGACAGTCAGTTCCTAACATGGCATTCTGCTGCCCAACATTGACCTTGTGAATAACAGGAAAATAATATCTGCAATTGGCTTCCATGTTTGTGTCTGCCAGGTGGTGACACTGTGGTACCGTCCCCCCGAGGTTCTGCTGCAGTCCACTTACGCCACACCTGTGGACATCTGGAGCACCGGCTGCATCTTCGCAGAGATGTTCCGACGCAAGTGAGTCGGCAGGATAATATTTAAAATGATGCAGACTGGCGCTATTTCGGTTCATTACATCCTTCGGAGGCGCTCCGTGGATTTCACCGTATCTGTCGAGCCACATGTCTGCTGGATTATTATAGCTGTATAAACCCAAATAAGGAGATTTTGCCATTATTTTGTCCCATAAACAGACAAAAAGGATGACGAAGTAATTTCAAAATGAAGCTCATAGTTCTTTTGCGACACAGCGGCACACACTCGCTAAAGTAGCAATTTGCAAATTGCAATTTCACTTACATTACATTACATTACATGTCATTTAGCGGACGCTTTTATCCAAAGCGACGTACAATAAGTGCATTCAACCATAGGGTACAAACTCAGGAGAACAAGAAACAAGAAAGTGCAATTTCCTCAAATAAGCCAATTTACAATTTGCTATAGATGAGTGACGTTACAAGTACAACTTAAGTGCTACAATTTGTTAGTCTTTAGTCGAGGTAGAGTCTGAAGAGGTGTGTCTTTAGTTTGCGGCGGAAGATGTGAAGGCTCTCTGCGGTCCTGATGTCTTCAGAGAGCTCGTTCCACCATTTCGGCGCAAGGACAGCAAAGAGTCGTGATCTAGTCGAGTGTTTTGCTCTCAGTGAGGGAGGGACAAGTAGTTTTGCAGATGCAGAGCGGAGAGTGCGGGTTGGGATGTAGGGTTTGACCATGTCCTGGATGTAAGCTGGACCCGATCCATTCACAGCATGGTACGTGAGCACCAATGTTTTGAACTGGATGCGGGCGGCCACCGGTAGCCAGTGAAGAGAGCGGAGGAGTGGAGTAGTGTGGGAGAATTTCGGAAGGTTAAAGACCAGTCGAGCTGCTGCATTCTGGATGAGCTGCAGAGGTTGAATGGCGGTGGCAGGGAGACCAGCCAGGAGGGAGTTGCAGTAGTCCAGGCGGGAGATGACACTTATTTGTTTTTAAGTTTAGGTTCATAGGTAAGGTAAACATTATGTCTTTAGTTAAATATTGACAGCAGTCTTATGCCGTCTTGTGTTGGAGTCAGAAAATAAAATGCTTTGAAAATGAGCATTTTGCAAACATGTTAAAGGGGGAGTTCACCCCAATATCAAAAATACACATCTTTCCTCTTACTTGAAGTGCTATTGGTCAATCCAAATTGTTTTGATGCGAGTTGCCGAGTTTTGGCGATATCAGCTTTGGAGCCTGGTTCTCTCGCATATAATGGGACTATGGGGTGTGATGACTGTAATTCCTAAACTGTATTTTTGGTATATTCATTAAATCTGACAGTATACACTTCAACCACACATGCTTCATTTCAATTCAATTCATTTTTTTTGTATAGTCCAAAATCGCAAATTACAAATTTGCCTCAGAGGACTTACTACACTTTATACAACTTCAATTGGAGTTGTGTAAAGAGACCATCGTTTAAAAGAATTGTGTCCACGTACAACTCCATGTGCTCCATACTGAGCATAATGTACGTTCCACCTTTAGACTCTTTCTATCATTGACGGTAGTAGGTACACTCATTACCTGGTGGCTTTGTGTGTCAGTCAGAGCAGGCGTGATGAGTTTGCAGAGGGTTCAGATTTTTATCTCGAAACAGATCACATAACAAGTTTATCTGTAGCTCCGGGGAAATCTGGTCTGAGGCCTCAGACGGTCAGAAGTTACGGGGGAAAAAAATTTGGGGTTCGCCTCGGTCAATTTGTAACAGCGTAGTTTTACCATACTTGCCCCTGTTCTAACCAGGCAACAGTAAATCTCCTTGGACACGCACTGCAGTTGTACTTTACATCTTGAAGTCATTAGCACCATACATGCTGACACAAACCCACTCACCCATCATTAAGTGTTAACGCTAACAGCTTTTTAAAATGCTCATCACTCTTGCATGCAACTAATCCCAGATCAGCTAACCAGTGCATTAGCACACACACACACCGTAACTCCATCTAATGGTACAAATGACACTTGCATGAAGACCGCAGTAAACTGGTTCCAGCTTCAAAGTAGTTTCCTTTAATGATGGTGATGATAAAGTCATACTATGGTGAGTAAGTTGATCTGGGTGAAATGTTGTACTAATTTAACTCTGCCACTGTTGATCTGTATCTGCATCATTTGCTTTCCTGCACAAGCTGGAGTTTCAAAGACATGTAAATAACCGAAAACAGCTGCTTCAATCTTTCAACTCTGGTGTAATCTTTCCGTCTGTTAGACCTTTGTTCTGCGGAGAATCAGAAGTGGACCAACTTGGGAAACTTTTTGAGTGAGTAAAAAATTGTTTCCACGCTGACCTGACTGCATGATTCATATCCTACCGATTGCATTGAAAACAAAAAAATGTGTCATTTCAGAGTTCTAGGCTTGCCACCAGAGGATGAGTGGCCGTCTGATGTTACGCTCTCAAGAAAACACTTCCCCACTTTCCTACCCCGCCCCATCACAGACTTCGTTCCGGAGATAAATGAGGCGGGGGCGCAATTATTGCTGGTAAGACTTTGCCCTGATTTCAAAATGATTAAATTAGGATATCCTGCTTGGTATTTGTTTTTGTTTTTTTCCAGCTGTGTAGAATTCAAACCATCACAGATCAGTAAGGTCGGATTCCTGAAGAATGATCTTTACTTATAGTCCGCAGATCTTCTACAAAAGATCTTTTCCGATGAAATTCTCTACATTAATTACTACTTACTTATCCACTATCCAACTAAGACAAGAGAGAGAAGGAGAAGGACTTTATATGTTTAAAGTAAACTTTTCAATCAATATTGCAGATTTATATAACCATAATTTACAGTGCTGGTTAACCCAGAGATAAGAGTTAAAATCCACACAATCTTAATGGATTCATATTTACTTTAACAACGCATCAAAAAAAGTAAAATAAAAGTGTGCAGTAGAAGTTTATTTCCTCATATGAACCAGAAATGTACCATTTATTGTGTTATTTATGCCACTCCATATTATAAAGAAATTTTAGTTTAAAAATGTGACTTTTAGGTAGCAATTCATTAAAATACTGTAAACAGTACAGTAACTTCCCGCACGTTCTGCTGGTTTCCTAGCAATACTTAACTTATCAGAACCCCCCTGCAAATAAAATAAAAGGTTAAAGAAGGAGGCAACAAAAGGAAAGAAGGCATGACTGATTTCTTTAACATGAGTGAGAACGCTAACGGTGTATTGTCTTGTATCTTTGACTTTGAATGTATCAAACAGATATAAAATGTTCAGTAGTGATTTTAGAAGTGCCTCCGGGAGGATTAACTTTGGATGGAGCCAGTCTTGCTGTATCCAATCAGTTTGCAGAGCGTCGAGCTATTCGAGGACATTGATACTCTTTGTGTAACAGAATGGATCAAAATGTCAATCCGTTTCTTTAATGGACTGCTACTCTTTCTTTCATAGAAAATGCTGACCTTTGACCCCTTGAAACGAATATCTGCCCTGAAGGCGCTTGAACATCCATATTTCCAGGACGAGGAGACATTGACTTGAAATGATGCAGTGAAACGTGCAGCGAGAGGTAACCGTGTGTAAGCGTAGACCTGGCCTAACCAGAAAGGTTCTCAGTTTCATTCAGTGCTTTGCATTTCAACACGTCTGGTATTTCTTTTTCTTGCTCCTACATCAAAAAAGGATTAAAGCCTGAGAAATTGAATTTAAAAAAGAAGAGGCGTGAACTTTAGGGTCACTGGAATGCTTTCCAGCGTTAAAATTAAGGATGTTACCATGTTGTGTCTTCAAGGACAGTACCAGTGTTTTTGATGTTTTGATTTGTGAATCGGTCTCATCCGCAGGGACTGATGCACGGAAACGTATGTCATCTCCTCTGAAATGTTGCTCTAGTTTCTTTTTATACTGTGTTTCGACAGAAAGAGGGAAACATGTTGTTCACAGGCTGTGCAAAGCCTGACAGAAGTGACATGTCAGGGTCAACCAGCCGTTAGTGATCTTATCATATTCCTGTTTATATTTATTATACTAATGGAACAATAAGTGCCTTAGTTTTTATTTGGAAATCATGAGGAAAGGAAGGAAAAACACTTGGGACAGACATACTGGACGAAGACACTGGTATTGCCCTTAAATACTGCCATGTTTCTGTCATCAAAGGACTATGTTTTAACCGCTTACTGAAACCATCTGGAATCAACCAGCACTGCAACTACAAATGAATGGAAAAACTGTTTTAACCACATTCAACCTGTTATGTGTATTGTTAACATTGTTATTATCAATGTTGTTATTATTTTACAGATGGCAATCAATACAAAATGAATACATGTTGTTCTATGAAAAGTGAAATATTCAATAAACTATGACATACTAACAAAAAGAGAAGATAGATTCACTATAATGCTTTTGTCTTTGGACCAGATAAACGTAGTTTATTGATGCAACACATGTTGAGTTTTAGTCATAAATATACTGCAGTTCAGTATCCAAAAACAGTGGATTTGCCGTTTTTGACATCACACATCTTTCAAACTCCTCTCTCAGGGTTTCAACCTCAGGGTTCATTAAAATATGTACTTTCCAATTCCAAACCCTGATGATTCCTTACAGGTTATTCCCCTTTTTGATTTCTGAATAGGTTTATGGAAAAATACTAATGATGCATTAACTTATCCAACATAATATTTTCTTATATTATATTTTAAATATATTCTAAAATGTGTTTCCCCAGTTATTGAGAGATTTTCGTAACAGATGCATAGCTGGAGGCTTTTCATTTTTTTTAAAGGCTGTTAGTAGAAGGAATATTTAAACCTATAAATACTTTAACCGTCCTTCGCACTGACAGTTGGATAAGTAGATCAATACCACTATCCTGTTTGTACTGTAACTATGAAGCTGCCACCAGCAGCTAGTTATGCAGCTAACCATAAAGAATGGAATACTAAGTGGTATTAATCTTGCCCTCTAATTTCCCTGGCACCTCCACCAAAATTCACCATTTTGAATAAATCAGCGATTCCCAAAGTGTGGGGACGGTACTGCAGGTGCGCTGCGAGAGGTCATTTACAATAATTAAATAAAATGTTTTTAATTTTCAATTTTGAAAAGTTTGAAATTAATATAAAATTATGATTTAAATTACGTGTTATTCTTTTATCGGACCTACCTACTGTTCTCCCAGCGCCAAATAAATACAAATAACAAACGCAAAGTTGGATAGTGGTCTCGCTCTTTCCTGTTGCGTTTAAGACCTAATGGTCGTAACATTAGTGGTCAACCCTAATGGTCGTAACATTAGGGTTGCAAATTTCTGTATTTGACTTAAAACGATTGATAATTGATAAGATACAAAAAACAAATCTTTTTCTCAGTTTAAGTATTATTTGAACAATTCTAGCGGCACATTATTTATGTGAAACATTAATTGATGAAGCACAAACAATTTAAACAAACAGATTAATAAAACAATGAGGATCTCGCCCGAAACGGCTGCTCTTATCCGCCTGTTGTTATTTAACATAAGGCGCCGCCAAACAAAACAATGTCAAATAGGGCGCCGTCTTGTAGTATTAAAGTAAATATATATGAGCTCCGGAGAAAATGGTATACAAAACATACATTGTCGGTTAATCAATTTTTAATCGGTTAAATTCTTATGGTCATTTTAACATCCCTAGTTTATGTTTTGATCAGAGTTGTGATTAAAGGTTTCGGTGGGCCGCAAAAGATTTTCAGATTTCAAATTGTGCCGCGGCATTCTTGAGTTTGGGAACCGCTGCTCTAAATTGATATGTGTAATCAGGAATCAGGAAATATTTATTGCCATAATATGTCAGACATACAAGGAATTTGACTTGGTGCATTTACTCGAGCGTTCATTATCGTTGGTGCATAAGAGCAGACAGTACGAGTTAACAAATAAAGGAATAAAAGTTAAAGTAAAAAATATTTAGAAATTAAAAATAAAGTGAACCAGCGAACAGAAAGTGACAAGTGAAAGTGACGTGTGCAGTGAGAAAGAAAGTGACCGGCGGAATGACGAAGTCAGTCAGTGGGGGACCGGGCTCTGTTGATGAGCCCGACTGCCGACAGGAAGAAACTGTTTGTGTGGCGGGAGGTCTTGGTCCTGATGGACCTCAGCCTCCTGCCAGATGGAAGGGGCACAAACTATTTTTGTCCGGGGTGCGAGGGGTCGGCTACAATATTTTTAGCTCGAGTAAACTATGTATGGTGCCAAAACTATTGACGCATCTTGTTACCTATCTTTGCTAAATACATTTATTTCCTCACATTTCTCATGTATTACAAACATTTCTATTAAATATAGATAAAATATATTTTGAATAGTTGTATTTACTCCCTTGCTCCTTATATATATATATATATATCATTTTTTTGTAATTGATGTTTAAAATTTTAAAATACTATTAATTATTAATAATTCATAAAGGTCAGGGAAAAGAAGTTCAACTTCAAGACTGAAAAAAGCATGCTCATGAGCTTGGTTTTGGTCACCATTTCTGGGTAATGAGAACAGGGGACTTGGCGGACCCCCCTGACTACTCAAAAGAGGAAATATTTTTTAAGAGGACCCTTTTTTTAATATTTAAATTATATACTAATTAAATCAGTTTTGCTTCCACAAATTTCTTATTCTCTTTTTCAGTTGTATTCCCTATTGCAATGATCCATAAACATCCCGATTCATGCTGAGCAAAACCACTTCCTCACTCAGAAGGGACAGACAGTGATGCAGGCAGAGGGAGCAGGAGCTGCCCATAAATTGCTCTGGAGAAGGAGAGGGGAGAGACGGAGCTAGAGACGCAGCAGATGCATTGTCAGGAGCCGAGCTGAGGGTTTTTCCTCTCTCCCTCCCGCGTTTCTTTTGTTGCGTCGGTATAAAAATTGGACGCAGGTTGGCAAAGACGACCACCTGCAAGTCTCTCATCCACGGCCAGGTTGCTGGAGCTCGATCCAGTGTGTAGCTGGCTGTGCGGCAGGCTAACGGCGGGCTAGCAGGGGGAGAGGAGGGGGGCTGCAAGGCTCTGTGGCAGCGAGAAGAAGAGAAAAAAAGGAGGAGGGGCTGTGGTGGGCTTCCTCTCCCTCACAGACACATTTTATTGACTTGCTAATTGGATGGGGCACTCGGAGGAGAGGATGCGGTGACCGAGAGTAGCTGCTCTCCAGAGGAGGGATACAGGACCAGGGAAGTGTTACTTGGGATGCGTGAATCTGGCTGCTTCATCTCTTCTTCTTTTTTCATTCTGGAGACATAACAACAGATGTTTTTCAGCATCTCCCAGTGACCCTCACACCGTGCATGAATCATTTTATGCATGACATTGTCGAATGGAGGCGCCGGCTGCCCGACGCTCCATGACCAGTGAATGATTTAATTTTGATGTTTTTTGCACCCTGTTCCTGCTTTTTTTTTTTGTTCAAGGACTGATCGGATTTGGCTCTTTTTTTGTCAGCGTCGTTTGATACGAGTGGTAATCTAATGGCAAGATAATTTTTTCATCAAATCGAAAGGTACAAGAAACTGCAATGGATATTCCTTGGAAAAATGAAGGTAAGCTATGAGCGAAAGCCGAGACATGCACTCTGATAAGGTGGCATCATTTAGTGCCATGTAGATAAACGGATTAACCAAACGTATTGGCTGTTGCATAATTCCAGTCTGAAATCTGAGCCTGAGACATCAACACAGTGAAAATGTATGTCTCTTCTAGTTACCTATGTGTGTCTGCAAGTCAGATGCGAATACCTGAGTTTTAAGAAGGAAAGCAAAGAGTAGTAAGGATTATGAATGAATCAGTGGAAGAGACCCGTAGTATCTGTGTGCATTGAAGAGGATTAACTGAGGTGTTCAGAAAAAAAAAAAAAGGCTAGACTCCTTTCACCACTGGGTCAGCAGTGTGAAAAAATACTAGAAATTTGCAATTCAAGGCATTTCCTTATTTTAACCCTTTGTAAAAAATTCTGAAAGGAAACTTATGCACAGGCCAGATATTAGACATAATCATCCACACAGGGTTTGATCTTAGATTTTCTTTCTCCTCTGCTCCAGTCCTGTCCTGGTTGCCATGACTTGAGATGTGCAGGTCAGGCTTGGTCCGAGAGCAGGTGCCACTTTGCTGAAGTCCGCTGTCCCAATGAGCAAGGCAAGCAACACACAGAGACGCACCACCTACCTCATTTCCCTCACTCTGGTGAAGGTTGAGGCCGTGCCAGAGGATGTAGCAGGGAACCAGAGGGAGGCTCTTCCAGAGGGGGAAGGGAGTCCTAGGAAGGAGGAGGAGGTGAGCAATGCCCCTGAAGAGGATGAAGGACCTGCGTGTATACCAGTGGGGAGAATAGAAAACCCACCGGTGGCAGAAGAAGTGGAACAGGTGCAGTATGTCAAGTATGGCAGCTCCATTGAGACCTGGGGGAAGCCTGAAAGGAGAGAAACTCATGGTCCCCAAAAGGACTTGTGTGTGTCAGTGGGTAAAAGTAAAGACACTTCTTTCGTGCATCCACCTGCAAGGCAAATGGTCAAAGTGTACGGAGGGACGACCTCCGAGGGAGCTGTGCGCAGAGAGGGGCCTCGCTCAGACGCCATGCGCCCTAAGACGGAGCTCTACAGAGAGCCCCCCGTGCTGTTCCTAAAGGGCGAAAATGGAGCGGAGCTGAACATTAGATCACGATGCAGCCTCCCTTTTTCCATCCCGCCGCAAGTCAGCCAGCGTCCCGAAGTCCTGATGAGGTCACACGCAGGAGGCAACCCTGCATGCTGGAGGGAACTCCGGGAGGCCAATGCAAGCCTGTATCACTCTGCAAGGACTTTGGATCGAAGGGATAACCACTTTGGGGACCAGTCCCCCTCCATGGCAGCTACAAGTCTGGGGCCTTACAGGGCGTCCTGGGCCGACAGCGACGGCAGAGGCACGCTCATTCGCCCGGGAGCTCCCGTCAGCGGAGGATTTTCCGGCATAATGACCAAGGACAGCCCTCAGGGGGAGAGATTTAAGACGGTCTCGGTTTCCTTGCCTGCACCTCCTGCCACCGACACCTACAGGCCACAAAGAAAAGGTACAAGCCGTACCCTGGACAACAGCGACCTACATATGCTCTCAGAGGACCTGAAGAAAGGGAAGGAAGGCCAGCGCGCTCCTCCCCGTGACAGAAAGGTGCTCAAGTTCATCAGTGGCATTTTCACCAAAAGTACAGCAGTGCCAGCCAGCGTTGGCACCGCACCACCCGTCTATCCGGCTGTGGAGAGGGGCTCCAGCGAGGACGAAGGTAAGGCTGTTCAATACATTTGTGTTAACATGATATGCAATTATTCTTATATTAAAATGCAATGGTAAACCATAACAAAGAGGGCACTTGATCACATACCAACAGAACAACAGGTGAAAAACTCACATCACATCAGTTGCTTTTACTTTAGCCTCATTTGGACTGAAATTAAGCCACTAACAAGACAATTGTATGTGGTTACATATTTATTGTCTTGTACAATGCCCCCTCTGCAGCAAGCCTAAATCCAGCAAATGCCCCCCTATCAGTTTCAGTAATGATACGCAACATTTCAAACATTTCAGTATTGTTGCTGTACAGAAAATGACACACAATGGCAATAGTCAATCATCGGTTGAGCATACATTGTGCCTATTGTCATGCAAAGTAGTTTCGAATAGGATGTAGCACTAAAATGAATATCATTGTCTATTTATTTTCAATTATAACAATATTAATAAAAATCATAATAATGACATGCTCCTTTTACATATATAACGCAGGACCATATGAGAGATATATTAGAAGATTAAATGCAGCAAACTTATTTTTAGTTTTTAAAATTACATCTCATCTCTACAAGAAAAGCTATGCAGCATTATTGTGTTAATATTGACAGTTATTGATCCAGTGGTATAACAATTGAAGATTTTCATTCAGAGGATTGACTGAAAATTATTGGACATTTATTTTGATCACAGATTAATTATTTTAGTTATTTTACAAGCGTTACACTTAGTTTCTTTTTTTCTCAAAATGTACTTGCTGCTTTTTATGCCAAATGTAATAGTTGTCAGTGTTTTGTGAGTTTGCACTATTGGGTTGAGCTACTTGAATATGTCACATAGAATTCTGGGAAATTACCATCGCTTTTTTCCACCATTTTCTGAAATTCATTAGATCAATCAATTCCTCAAATAGCCATATTAAGTGATAATGAGAGTAATTGTTGCAGAAAAAATATAATCAAACATAAAACTAAAAATTACAAACTAGTTCCAAATGGGATTTTACCTTAATCAATGTTTCTCTGAAAGTTTTAAAAGAATTTGAATTAAATTAAATTTAAAATAAAGGAATCTTTGATGTTTATTGATAAATTCTAAAGAAAAGAGTGTGGTGTCAGAGTAAGCTCTGAATAATTTGTCAATGAGTAAGTGGGACATGAATAATTAAGGATGGGGAGACACAGAGCTGTGTTCATCGCAGGAGTGAGGGAGCAGGAACCTGCTACTTCCTGTTGTGTGCTTGGAGTTAATCAACCTTCAAATGGAGCCTATTCATTCGGCGATGTTACGTTTGCAAACGACACTCTCAACATCATGTCTTGTGGAACTTTTAATTTCAGTATGTTACGTCAGTGTTCCAATGATAAATAAAACATAATTTATTCACTTTAATTCAGAAGATAATGGTCATCATTGTAAAAGCACATATTTTAGCATCATACCTGCACAGACTGGCATTGTGTCTTTATGCCTGTCACACACGTCGCTGTATCCATGAGAGACCATTTATTGTATAGAGAGCGAGGCTGGAGGCTTCTGGAAAATGGAGTTGCCATGGCAACAGCAAGCCTTGAGAGTTGCTGTTTGGTCTGTGGCGTGACGCTGTCGACGGAAGAGGGGGTCTATGTGGGTGTGTGGGTTGCCCAAAGATGGGAGAGAGGCAGAGTCTCTGCGGTTTAAAATTAGAATCTGTGTCACCAGTGAGGACAAACGGCCAACAATGTGGCTCCGCCCGAGCTCAGCACGACCCAACAGCTCCACTGTGTGTGTGTGTGTGTGTGTGTGTGTGTGTGTGTGTGTGTGTGTGTGTGTGTGTGTGTGTGTGTGTGTGTGTGTGTGTGTGTGTGTGTGTGTGTGTGTGTGTGTGTGTGTGTTTTCAAGCAGTATCTCGGTGTATCAGCTAATGATGGTTTCTGCATTGAGTTACACGGTGTGTGTACAGGATGTCAGCACTGGAAGTCATATGTGTTGGGGGAAATTTTCTGCATGTGTGTATATGAAGGTGTCTGTGTACATCTGCGTAGGTGCGTTGTCAGTGTTTATAGTGAAGGGTGTTTTACATACATTCCTTAAAGATGTGTTTTTTTTAATACTTTCAATGATCTTTCTTTAAACACTAGCGTTTATCTGTTGTCTTATTCCTTTGTTCAAAATAAATTCATCTCTATTTACTTTGAAGACCGTTTTTTTGGCAGAATATGAGAATGTTCAACAGAAACATATCCATGACCTGAGAATAACCGAACAGTTGTGTTAGTGCTGTGACTCCCACTCCAGTATATAATCAACAACTAACTTGCTTTCTATACCCTGTAAAAGTCTTGTCTAATCTGACTTATCGCTAAGCTGTTTCACAACAAACCTGCACAGCTGGTGGATCATTATGATCATACTTAAGAGATAACGTGGATACATTAAGACGTAATGTTATATTTAACATCATGTAGGTTTTTGTTATTAACGCTCGATCATCATGAGAAAACACACTTTTATGATTGGTTATAGCTCATCTTAATGATGTAAAAGTTCTAATATGATGAAATGTGGTGCATTTGATCTTTACAGGCAGTTAAAACATAACCCACACACCCCGGTTTAACTGATAGATTTTGTCATAATGGGGTTGTTTTATATCTAAGTTTATATGGATCATGTTTAGTCATCTTCCGATGCAAATCAGAGACGGTCATGAACTGACAGAGGAATGAGAACACTTATCTCTGGAGATACTGACGCCTGCTGCAAGAGCAGCATTGCTAAAAGAGACATTTAATTTTTATCTGATATAAAATAAATTTGAACATAAAACAACCGGGATCACATTATTGATCCTTCAGTATAAATACATCAATCTTAACATGTCATTCTGTCCCAGGTTTAGCCTTAGAGAATTCTTCTCACAAGTAAGAATCACCAGTAGTAGCTTTACTTTCCTTTCCTATGCAGTGTCATCTTTTTATGGAATATTTTATAAATTCAACTCAATGCAACGTATCACTACAGGATAAGGCAGATTGCTGCTCTAGGGTTAGATCTCAAAAGCCGACAATAATAATGAACGCTCAAGTAAATAATAATAATACACTTATATTATATTACTTCCCTCTGCTGCCAATCAGATCTTTTAAAATGTATTTTTGAATCAGACCACAAAGTGGCATACTGTGTCATGCTCTAGTTTAATTCTATAAAACTCGAAAATGTGACGTACTGCACTGGGAACAAGATGAATTATCTCCCCACAGCTGGCTGAATTCTATTTTAAAGGATCAATACACTCTGAGTGACGAATAGAAGAATGCACGTCTTGTTAGGAGGGATTTTGCAGGGCCACCATCTTAAGAGGCAAAAACAGTGGCATGTTTAACAAAGCTTGTGTAAATATCCAGCATGCTCAGTATTTGGACTTGCACATTCGTACACTTGATTTAATTTTCTGGGTGCTCAAGCTGTGACTGTGTGTGGGAGCTCCAGCCTGGTGAGGAGACTTGGACTCTCTGACTCTCCCCCAGTGTGTTGTGTCCACAGGCAGTCAGGCCAAACCGGGCCAGTATTCAGTGAGAGCTCTAAATATACCTTCTATCTTTCTAATTGCAAAATGAGTTAGAAAAGAGACCAGCACTAGCACGTCTTTGTTCAAAATAACCTCTAGGTCTTAGGCTTAACTTACCTTAGCACAAAAAGGGGCCATGATTAGCCTTGTTAGACCTTTCAGCCCAGCTCAAGTAAACGCACACATACCCATAATTAAAGGGCTGAACTCTAAAAAAATACCCCATTTCTTCTTTTATAGTAAACAACAACATATTTTACTTTCTATTATTAATGATTCCCCTCTGCCCCTTTTTGGATCACCAGCCACATGCACCAACAGTCAAGAATGGACCATGAGCCAAACTGTCCAAGAGCTTCACCTGGTAAGCATCAGGACATTTACATTTACAAACTGGTGTCAGATCTGTTTATAAATTCATATATTCTCTCACTTGTGTGCTCGTGCTCTCCAGGGTGTTTTGGGAGGTCTGTGCAGTGGGAAGTCTGCTCTGGTCCACAGACACTTGACCGGAAGTTACCTGCAGCTGGAGAACGCTGAGGGTTGGTTTCACATGTCGTCATCTACAACCTTTATCTGTGTTTTTGTAGCACGCTGTCAGTACACAAATAACAATTGAGCTTAATGACATTAATGCATCGGCTTCTCTTGCCTAAGACGACAAACTTCAGCCAAGTCAAAGTGTGTAATTCTTTTGTGCATTTGCAGGGCGACAATACATTAAGGACGTCCTTGTTGATGGACAGAGCCACCTGTTGATGATCAGAGAGGAGACAGAACTCCCAAGTGCTCAGGTGGGTTTGTGGCTTTGTCCTTTGTTAACTAATTCATCTTGATAAAATGTAGTCCTCACTATTAGCCTGTTCCTGTTATTTTTTACTGCTATACTTCTGCTCCCCTCTTCTGTTCAGCTTACAACTTGGTTGGATGCAGTTATCTTGGTCTTCAGTTTGGAAAATGAGGCCAGCTTCCAAGAAGTTTACAGAATCTACCACCAACTGGCCACGCACCGTCCCGTTTCTGAGATACCTTTTGTAGTAGTGGGTACTCAGGGTGAGCCACTTGCACGCGGCATATGCTTTTACTCAAGTGTTTGCAGAGCTGAGCTTATATTCGTGATTCTTGCTCTTTTTTTTAGATAAAATCAGCAGCTCCAATCCCAGAGTAATCGATGATGCCAGGGCCAGACAGCTCTGCTCAGATGTGCGTCGCTGCACATATTATGAAACCTGTGCAACGTACGGGCTCAATGTCAACCGAGTCTTCACTGACGGTGTGTTTACAAGCCGGAGAGGGTGCCGCTGCATGAGATGCACATATATAATGGTTATCTGTAGTTTTTTACTAAGATTTTGTTCCACAGCTGCTCAAAAGATAATGACTGCAAAGAAGCAAGCTGCTCTTGTGGCTTCCTGTAAATCTCTCCCAAACTCTCCCAGTCATTCTGGCGGCTCCACCCCGGTTTCGGGTGTCTTTCCGGGACAGGTAACTTTGTTGAAGCCCATCTGTTACAAACTGTCATGAAAAAATGGTGCAAAGTCATACCATTTATATGTATGCCTAAATTGCATATTTTAGTCTTGCTGTCTGTTGTAACAAATTATTTCCCTTTTCTGCGCATTTGTTGTTTCTTCATCCCAAACCTTTCTCTCTTTAGGCCAGTAACGGTGGTCAGAGCAGTGATTACTCTTCATCACTTCCTTCTACTCCTGTGATCAGTCATAAAGAAATCGGCAAAACATTGAGAGGGGAAAAGCAAGACAGTGCCACGCCCGGGTCAGTCCGCAGTGCCACCCGGAGACGCACCTCCAGATTTGCGGTAAAATGAACTGTTTGTTACGCAAACTTTTGATTCACTTTGGTTGAACGGTGAAAGGAATAATTTCTGTGTGTTAAGTCTGTGGGCCTTTGTTTTTTTGTCTTGGTGGGATTATATTCAAAGGATTGAAATTGTCCCCTTTCAAATTATTAGGGATTATTTGATCAGTAATTCATATAAAAACAGTGATGCCACAGCTTGGATAAGGCTGAGTGGCTGATACTCAACATGTTTCTATTGCCATCTCTTACATTTAAAAAAGTTTAAAAGCATTTAAAAAGGTATTGAAGTTGGTAGAAACTTGTCAACATGTCAACCTTTTCTGGTTTTAAATGACATGCAGCAACAACTTTGAAGGACAACCTTCATAATTAATGTGGTCTACATTATATTGGTCAACCAATGAGCCCATTGTGGCCTCTGATGCCATTCAATGGTTCTCGTGTTCTTTTCAGGGTCGCAGAGGCAGTGACTCCAACAGAAGGAGTGCAGACTGTATGGGAGATCTGGGCAGTGGACGCTTCATTCCCATCAAACAGGCAGGACACTGATTTACGCTTCAAATCAAATGTGTGAACGCGGTTTCATGTTGCGGAGTGATGAAGTCTTCTCATCTCCCAAATTGGCCTTATGAATAGAATAGTGTGTGTTTTTTGTCAGGCGCAGTCATCATGCTGTCGTGATGTGTGACACGAAGATATTTGCAAGAAATTCTCATTATTCAGTTTTGTCACCTCCACTAGGGGATCTTGCTAAAACGCAGCGGGCACTCGCTCAACAAAGAGTGGAAGAAGAAGTATGTCACGCTCTCCAACGACGGCATTCTGTCCTACCACTCCAGTGTCAACGTGAGTTAGTGTGTAGCACTGCATTATGGTATGCAAAGTCATCACTGACTCATGGTGGTTGATGTGAAATGGCTGATGTGTGGGTGGCAGGACTACATGCTGAATGCACCGGGGAAGGAGATGGACTTGCTGCGAGTGACGGTGAAGGTGCCAGGCAAGCGGCCACCTCGTGCTGTACCCGCCTACGGCCTTGCAGTCGGACTCAATGGGCGCGTCAAAGATGCGCCGGGACCCGAGGGGGTCAGCCCAGGTCAAAGAGTTAACAAATACTATAAATCTTCTTTAGATGTCCCCCAAAAAATACAAATGCAAACAAATTCATCACTTAATTCGTGCACAGGCATAAAATAATAACTTATTCAAATGACAATGCCCTGGAATGACTCTCCAAACTGCTCCTGTTCTTTGTGGAGTTTGGGTACATTTAGTTTAGTAACCCGTAGTGCCATATGACCCTAAAGAGTGATGAGAAAGTATTGTTAAAAGAAAATAATCCCTTGTTTCTTGGATTTTAAGACGTCCTCTGTGAAGAGCGGTCAGGCTTCTGTAACAGAGAAGGAAAATATGCAAGTCAAAGCAAAATCTTTGCAAAAGGACGAAAGAGCATCTTCTTAAAGGGTCTTTTTTTTTAGTGCATAGACGTGAAAGAGACAAGAGAGAACTCTAGTACTCTTAATATTTTCTCTTTCTTTGGAGCTCACACAGAATCAGTAATGCTTTTAATATTTGTTTCAGTTGCTCTGCTTTACATTTGATGGTAGTGTGGATCACTTTATAATTGAGTGCATGCTTGCTGTTGTGTCTTTAGTCCCTGTGAGTGCAAGCAACCTCCTGCAAGTGGAGGAAATGGAAGGGCTGGGTGGTGCACTGTTCCTGAGGGGCAACAGAGGTGTGCAGCGATGTCCTTCGACTCTCTCTAACCACACTCAAAGTGTTGGTCAGTTAAGGCCCCTCATCTCTGCCTATGTTCAGCTTCAAAAATATGCACGTTTTGTACATACGAAACATGCAATACATTTTTGCATGTTTTCTCTGTGATGTGATTGGCAGACTCTGCAGTTGAGGGCGTGTCTAGCTCATCCTCCACCAAAGACTTAGGTTCCTCCTCGCCGCTGACGGACAGGAAGAAACATCGCAGAAAGAAAAGCATGAACCAGAAAGGAGATGCAACCATTGGCCAAGCAGATGGTAAAGCACATGAACTCCATATGAAAAATTGATAACCTTACATTATATTTAATACATAGTCACCTTGTAACATGTATTATTTACTCCATGTCTCTCTTTGATTTTTTTGTGTATTTTTCTGTTCTTGTGCAGCCAAGCGCAAAATGTGGAAACTTAAAAGCTTTGGTAGCTTAAGAAACGTAAGCAAGACAGGTAATGTCAGTCTGTCATCTTTCCAACTCTGAGCTTCTACAAATGTCTGTCTGTCTTCTTGTGCTCCTGTAACTTTAAGGAGGGGCGTTATATCCTATCAAGCAAAATCATTTTATCTACATGTACCATTTCAACACTTCACTAACTTGCTAAACTGCGGTCAGACATGGAGGCGAAACTGTAGTGATGAATGCAAACTATTAACATGATATTGATGATATATATGTTATATATATTTCTGTGTCAGATGAGGATAACTTTGACTTCCTCATCGTGTCGAGCACTGGCCAGACGTGGCACTTTGAAGCCCAGAGTGCGGAGGAGAGGGACTCCTGGGTCCAAGCCGTAGAGAGCCAGATCCTGGCCAGCCTGCAGCTGTGTGAGAGCAGCAAAAATAAGGCAAGAATGAACAAAATGCAGCAATCGTTTTGTTTCCAAATACGCAGTCTTGTGTTTCATGCAGTGGTGAAAATGCAATTTGTATTTGTGTTATTTGACCTCAAATGTCCCTGCTTGCATCAAGGAAGACGGAGTCAAACACTTGAGGTTGTGTGTATGCAAATCAAGGGCTGTGGGGCAATACTGCTACCCATTTAGCATGACATTGTGTCTTTCCATCTCATCAGATTAGCTTTTATTGCAAGTCTACAGAATAATTCTTCAGGCCTTAAGAATATGTGTTATGCTACATGAAAAACATACATATATAATCTGCACTTGGAAGTATTTGTAGGTTTGTGGGCTGTTTATTGGCACCCTGAGTCTACTGTCTAAGGATTTTTTTTCTCTCAGGAGAATCTGTCCTAGAATACTGTTGCTACTTTTAAAAGGTATGAGGGCAGCTCATTTGATTGGCTATTACCAAAACCCAGTGCATCTCCATGAGTGTGTGGGACAAACTAACATGCTGTCCACTGGCGGGCTGCGCTGGTTTCTCCTCTTGATTTGGCAGTACTCCATGGTGCTGAACTTGTTTAACCTTTCAAAACATTATAATTATTGTTATCTTTGTTAATAATAATTTTAATCGTGTCATGTATTTCTTTTTGTGTTATGAAAATTGTGCAGCTTTAAATGGTTGCAGAGTGATTCTATCCATCTGCGGCTTTCTTAGTTGGAGAATACTAACAACCATTGTGAAAAGTAATTAGTTTGCCGATGTTTCTCCATTTTAAAGACAAACTGTGTTTTCTACAGGCCCGCAGGAACAGCCAGAGCGAGGCAGTGGTTTTGCAGGCAATCCGCAACGCAAAGGGCAACAACTTCTGTGTTGACTGCAACGCTCCAAGTTAGTGACACACATTAAAAGCTTTTCTTCTCTTTCTACATCGTGTCAGTTTTGTTTAAAGGGGCGGGGTTTCAGGTGATAGTAATGTTTGGCACGTTGGCCACAGACATTTGAATGCCACATGCCACATTTAAAATAGTAGAATACTGTCATCTATATCTATATAGTTTAGCTTCAAACGTCTGCCTGTACCCTTCTCCTCCAAGATCCAACATGGGCCAGTCTGAACCTGGGCGCTCTCATATGCATCGAGTGTTCAGGGATCCATAGGAACTTGGGGACCCACCTGTCGCGGGTTCGCTCTCTAGACCTCGATGATCTGCCGCGAGAGCTGACGCTGGTTCTGAGTGCCATCGGCAACCACATGGTCAACAGCATATGGGAGGCTCGTACATTGGGCAGCCGTAAGCCAGCACCTGATGCTACACGGTAAGGGCCATGATATTATGAAATGTGACATGAGTACTGCTTCAGTTAAACGTTCAACAGTGTTTAGGTATGAGCCGCACAATTAGAAATGTGTTATTTGTCAGTAGAATCAAAGGGTCATTATTGAAGAGGAGATGAGGCTAAAACTACATAATTGTAATATTTTCTTTCTTTCAGTGAGGAACGGGAGTTGTGGATCAGAGCCAAATATGAGCAGAAACTCTTTGTGGCGGCATTGCCCCCTCCCTCTCCTGGCGAGGGCCCAGACATCACACTATCTGGCCGTCTTCTTTTGTCTGTGATGGAGCACAACCTCCCGAAGATGCTGCTCCTTTTGGCCCATTGCACTAAGGAGGACATTAATGCCCCTCTCAGCCTGGCGCTCTCCTGCAGGTCACTCGTAGCGCTGCGTCTGCCTGGATCTGCCCTGCACGCTGCCTGTCAGCAGGCGGATGTGGTGATGACGCAGCTTCTCGTTTGGGTGCGTTTCCCTCCCTCTCTATCATAGGAAGCAATAACATCTTGTGTTGATCGTCTGATTTGTATCACCAAAGAAGTGCAATGCTTATTATGCGAGATAGTGTTACAGTTAAGGAGCAATTCCGGCAATGTGAAAGGATTTAAAAAGTCTTCAGAGTGTAACATTTAATGTAGATATATTTAAAACTGGCAAGATAATCATTGTTACCCTTGAATAACCTTTAACTAATTTCACAAAAAAAATGAACGCTTACAAAGAGATGACTCAGCAGAGCACTCAATGTGATCTATAAGTCTGAAAGGCAATGAAGCTCAATGAGTCACACTTTTTTGGATAATTTAAGGGGCGCAGATCAAGTTGCAATTAATTCTACGTGACAAAACATCTTTATAACTTAGAACCTACATAATTGAATCTAATTGAACCTACGGATTTATCTTCTTTTTTTTAATTCCCTTCAGTATGGCTGTGACGTTGGGCTCCGGGATGCTCAGGGGCGGACAGCTCTGGTTCTGGCTCGCGGCGCTGGCAGCCAGGAATGCGTCGACATCTTACTCCAGTACGGGTGCCCAAATGAACCGGCCTCCTCCTTCTGCGTCGCCACGACAGTTGGTTTTGCAGCAGCTGCCACGCCGAGCTTCCCTGTTGCCATGACGCCGAGCCTGACGGTTGCCACAACCCTCAAGATTTCGCACAAGAGCGGCGGCGCCAGCTTGAGTTACAGCACCTCTAGAAGAGCAGTGTCGTAATCTAATGTGCTGTGGTAGAGGGTGCGTGTGTGTTTGTGTGGAAGACAGAACGTGTCACTTTGCCCTCATACTGTCCCGCACCTTCTGCGGGACTGTTGTGGCCAGATGTTGCACTCCTGAGGTTTTAAAAACGGTGTGTGTGTATCAGGAATGAAACCACACACTGTTGACTGCGCAGGTAACAACACTTTACGTCTCCCACGATCTAACCAAAACAAAAAGAGAAACTGTCCAGACACTTTCTACTTAAGAGAAAATAACATGACATTACATCCAGACGCCTCTGCGTTTGGAACCAATAGGAATGTATTGCACTGTATACCAGCTGGTACGATTCATACGTCATCATGCAGTCAATTCGATTCTCCACTCCGGTAAGAATCAGAGTTTACCTTTGGCCTCAAAAAATGTATCCGACTTTACACACTAATGTATTTAAATACTAAATGCATCCACACATCGCAACTTTATGAACAACTAATTTTAAATTCAGAGTGCATATTCTGTTCAACACGGCCTCATCCACTGCATTAATAATGTAATAAAACAGACTTCACAGTGGCTAAAAAAAAAGGCGCTGCTTTAAAGAAATTCTAAAGAATTGTATAGAAATGCATTGATAAAGATATAATTCTGAAAGTTTGAAAGCTCCGTTTTAGAGATTACTATTGTACGATCTGTACAGTTGGTTCTGTGTATAAAACGGTCTCTTGTGGCTGTTTTCCTGTACAGCATCTTGGTTTGGTTTTCCTTTAACAAGCAGTGGATTAACTCTTTGCCATCCAAGACTGAGATTTCTATGTTATGTCATTTGTATCAATGTGTGTGACATTCATTATGACTCCCGCCGCAGCTCATCATCAGGGCCAGTGTAATATTAGATGTGTAAATGCCTTGATTTTGATTGAATGTATACAAAAACAAAGGGTTTGAGGTCATTATTTGTGTTTTCCAGGATGATACAGTTTTTGTGGACTGTCAGGGTGTTTTATTTTTTATTTAACTAATAGTACTCCTGTTGTGACTAATAGAAAGTATGTTTTGATAGATTACAACTCTGCAAAGGTTCTGATCTATAAAACTGGGCCTTTGAATGACTATGATTATATTTGTGAGCCGATAAAAATTAACATGTAATAGAGGAATGTTGGCCAACCTAGTATGTTAAAAAAGGCATAAAAACCAACCCTCCTGCAGTACTGTATGTATTTTTGTGTTAATCTGAAGACTCAGCTGAGTGTACATGTCTTTGATGTAAACATCGCTCTCCATTTGTATTTTTTTACTCATGCAATGATTCATGGAGCATTCACTATAATACACTCAGGCTACGGCCCAAGCTGTGGTGTTCTGTGCTAAGTTGTGAATTTTTCCATGTCTGGCTTCATCTCAAAAAGGGACGAGCTGAATTTTTTATCATCTGTTCATTATTATCAGCAGCCGTTACTGAGGGGGAGGGAAGCTCCAGCAAGCAGCAACTTAATGCGGTAGAGTTGCATCACATAGAGTTCGAGAGGTGCTTTCTGGACACTTTGACACTCGATTTAGGATTTGAGCATCTGATCAAACCGGCACTTACTGGCTGCAACTCAATTCTTCTTTTCTAGGTCGAGCTCGTAGACTTATTTCGGTACCTTAAATACCAGGGCGGAGAATCAGTTTCATCCATTCACAATAATGTGATTGTTGTGAGCAAAATCGCATCTAGACACAAAAGTGTGTTTAAAAACTGATGAAATGTATATGTTCAGGAACCACATTGAAATATCAATCAATACACCAAGTTAAATAAGTATTGAACACGTCACCTCAGTAAATATCTAATCAAAGGTGCGATTGACATGAAGTTTTCACCAGATGTCGATAACAACCCAAGTAATTCAAACATATAGAGAAAACAAAAGCAATACTTTGTTGGTAATGACCAAAAGCCTCCTGTGTGGAGAAACTTTGCAGGACAGACATTTCTCAGCTGTGATCTTTGCCTATTCTTCCACACAAACAGTTAGTGGGCCTCCTCCATGAACTGATCTCCGTGATGCTCCCAACATGATGTATTATGGCATCCAGAGAGTTCACTTTTGGTCCCATCTGACCAGATTATATTCCCTCAGTATTTCTTAAATGTTGTGAGACAAACTTTAAACGAGCTTCAACATGCTTTTTCTTTAGCAATGTATTCTCGCGGGGTGAGAGTGCACACAGGTGTTACAAGCTCTTTCTGAAGCTTTTCACAAGCGGTCTTTGGCTCTCGGACAATTATTCTCAGTCCTGTGTGAATGTTTCAGTGAGCACCTTTGAAGACTTTAAAGGTGCTCACTGGAACATTCGGAAGTTTAGAAATCCTTCTGTGACCAATGCAGTCAGTGTGTCTTGCAACGATAAGGCTGCGAAGGTCTTGAGAGAGCCCTGAAATACATTTACTGGGAGAACTCTTGACGTGTTCAATACTTATTTTACCTGCTGTATATGGTTTGCATACATCAAACAGTTCACTCAGATAAACAATAAAGCTGTTGTTTTTTGCCCAAAATGTTATGTTTTTAATCAGAATTTTGGTTTATAAGTAAATATATTTTTAAAAATAAGCAGCAGCAACCTTGTTCCTTGCAAGGAGGTCATGTTTTCGGTTTGTTTGGTACGTCAAAGATTACAGAAAAACTATTAGGCTAGTTTGAATGAAACTAATAAGGCTGAAGCATGGGCCAGGGAAGAACCTTTGTATCGGATCCGGATCACAGATAAAAGACACACGTTATTCATCACTTTTCGTTCAGGGTTGTGTTGTCTGCACACAGGGCACACCTTCGCTTGAGCCCAAACGTGAGCCCAAATTCTGATATTGATTTTGATTCCGTTGATACATCATCATTCAAAAGCAGGGGAGCAACACTATTTTTACACAAACGTTCTTAAATAAATTTACAGTTTAATAATTTGCACCTATGGTGCCGCTCAGTTGATAAAAGTGTGTATAGCTTCAACTACAATAAACACTGAGCTGAGATGAGTGTAGCCCTTCAGCACCATTGGGAATGTGTAAATCTTTCCAGTTTCAGTCTTCCAAAACACAAACATCATGCTGCATGGAAACAAAGACAAATGTGTGTTTACTCTTTGTGAAAACCGATTTTATTAGCACATAATTATCATATCATAACTGATGATACATTCACTGATAAACAACAATTGATTTTAATTAATTTACATATATTCATGTAATACTTAACTGCTAGATTGTTAGATATCATTCAATTCCAACATATTTTCACATTAATGTAAACTGTCAGTATTTACCGGCTGGTAAATCATTCACATTGTTATATTGGTGTTATTTAATTCTTCATTTGGGAACATCAACCATAACAGCTTAAATCACACACTGCTGATTAATAGGAGATTTTTCCTAATGGAAACCCCAGAGATTTCCTCTAATTATTCTAGTGTTGTCACTGTTGGGAAAAGAAAGAGTAATAAATTAATATTTAAGGAGAAATCATACATATTCATACTCCGCAACAGCAAGTAAGACTTTTTAAAATAATTTTGTGTTCATGAGTTTTTCTAACCATCTCTACCTCACACTGAATTCGTGGGTGGGTTATTGCCCACAGAAAACTCATTAAGAAAACTCTTTCATCTGTCTGCAGATTCCAGTTCTTCATTCAAAATAAATGCACAATGTCATGAACGGAGAATACACCTTGTGATCACATTTCAAGTGATGTCCGTTTGAGAGAAGTGTTGCATCGAGAGAGTCCTCTTGTATTAAATAATGATGGGACTGAATCATTGAACTAGGCAAAGATCTTTGTGATGAACTCCCGGATACGTTTAGCGTACTGCTCTGGATGAACTGTTGAGATTTCTGCTCCTGCCTAAACACACATACACACACACACACACACGCACACAACAGTTGCTTAGAGACACTTGAATGGAAAATTTAAAAAAAATAACACTTTCCAGTATAGAGATGTAAAGACCGAAAATGCCAACGGGTCCTTTTAAAGGCCGCTGGTTTCTCACCCCGTGCTTGACCGCTTTGGCAGCGTGCGCAGCTTTCTTCTTAGTGTCGTACTGCGTCAGTACGTCAATCAGACCCATGAAGTACACTTCCCTCTGGGGTGCACCTGCGCGGGAGTCGTGACAACATTTGGTGAGTGATATAAACATATGATATTATCACCTACATTACAGCATGAGAAGAGGTTTAGGCACATGGGCTCAAACAACCTACTTAAACTTGCCAGAGATCGGTTGTCCGGACTCACCTACGGCGCTCTGAATGGCGTACACATCCACGTAGGGGTCAAATTCCCCAGGACCCATGGGTTTGAAGGAGTTCATATAGCCACCGATACCCTCGGGTGAGTTGGATCCTGGAGCTGGAGCTGTGCTGTTTTCCTCCTCCTCTTCCTCTTCATAGGATGACTCCATCTCCTCCTCCTCCTCCTCCCTCTCAGCCCGTTCAACATCGTGGATGCCGAGCAGCAGGCTGTAGTCCATGATCCTCATACGCACCAAAAACTGCAGCAAGAGGACATGCACACAATGATGTCAGAGATAACAACGCCTGCATGCTTCTTCAGAAGTATTTTCTCACCTCGATATCTCTGTTCAGCCTATCCACAATCTTCTCCTTCTCCTCGTCGCTGACATAAACTTTTTGCATGTTATTCCTGAAGTCTACGTCTTTATACGTGGGCAGCTCCTTCACCTGCAAATAAAGAGTGAAGGTCATAAACCTTTAGCCCCGTGATAACAGTATTCATTCATATTTTTCTCAATAAATAAGGCAGATGTTGTTATCCCACAGGTGTCAGACGTTGACTGTGCTATTTGCTCTCAGAATTCAATTTGACCCATTTATCCACTGCAACCTACTCACTACACATACTTTGTCACCCTTTATACTACCACTATCATTATTTTGTGATACCACTAAATTATTCTGGCAGAAAAGTCTTTCTTACAGAAACCCATCTAACTGGCTTACTATTGCTAAATTATGTAGCATATTCAACTTGGCTGGGTGCAAATATCTACATGTGTCTGCCTGTAATTTAACTTGATTTATTTTAAAGGTCGTCAAATACTCTAACTACAACACTTGTTAACTTGTTAATGGAAACAAATCTCTCTGCGTCCCTTTAGCAAATAGGCAAGTATCAACGCAGTTGTCGGACTGCAGAAAGTTCAGTTCAAGCTGAGCTTGTGGGACAACCATTACAATAATTAGATCTCACCTTCTCTTTAAAACTTGCTTCACGGGACAACAGGGACCCCTGAGGAGAGAAAAGAAACACTACAGAAACCATTCTCACACATTACGCCACAAAACAAATGATACAACCAGCAGCTGCTGAGAGTCTGTGAACGTCTTCACACGTGATGCATGAATAGACATGAATCCAACCACCTCGAGGGCAAAGTGAGCTGAATCAAGACAAAAAACACAGCATAGATGCTCTGACGCACCATTCCGCTGGTGTGGCTGTCCATACTGATTACAGTCTCTGAATGATCATCTTGCTACACACCCCGTGCAGGATTTACCTTGAGGTCATACTTCCTGTGAACGTGCAGTCTGCAGCTGAACATGTTCCTCATAACCACCAGGTATGTATCCTCGCTCTCCACAGTCACTCGGTACATGGCCAGGAACTGAGGCAGCAGTGTGCTGCCGTGGCAGGTGACGATATGCTAGAGTGCACAGCAGTGAGTAGACAGAGAATGGTGAGAAAATAAAGTAGACATCAACCCAGCAGCATGTGAGTGAGGCCACACTACGTTTGCTCTTGTGTGCACATGCAAGTGATGCAGTACACAGGCCTGCCAATGGTTTCACACCAAACAGATCCCCTGGTGGCAGCAAATTTACATTAAGTGCTTGATTTAATGTGCTTTATTATATAATGTCACAGAAAGTGTATGAAACACATTTGTAAGCCCCGAGTATACAAACAACATGATTTGGTGAGCATAACATGTTTTTGTTTACAAGAAAACAAGGGCTGCAGCTATGGATTATTTTAATAATCGCGTATTCTAAATTAATAATGGAATTAATCATTTCTTTCATTAGTGGTTGTTTTATTCAAAATGCCTATCCATGAACTCTGGTCATGGATCATTACATATAAAAAGAAAAAACTCTGTTTGAAATTCAAAAACTCATCCTCGGGCTTTGATGTTGTAAAACCTTTGCCATGGCAACCAGGGTTATCACAGAAGGCGCAGGAAAAAACGAGTGCACCATATGTGAATGATGAAATGAATCCTCAGAATCTACTAGTTGGAGTTAATAACAGAACATGGATTAACAGACATCACTGAGAAAGGACATTTAAACCTCCCACTAAGTGCATGTGTACCTGGTGATACTCAGAGAGGATGTGGTGCATTTCTTCCACCTCCTCACTGGAGATTTCTTTTACTACCAAAGTGCGGTCGTATGATGCCAGTAGCAGCTTCCCGCCTTGCCCCTCTTCGTCCTTTATTGGGGGACTGCGGGCCAGAGACACCTGTTGTTGAGGGAAAGGATGGCATCGCTGAGCAACGAAGGACAGCAGCTAAACAATACATCTGCCCAGTGGAACCTTTTACGTCCGTCAGCTGTCGCTCAGTTTAAAAACTCCGAAACACAATATTTTATGTAAACAGATCATACATCTGAACTATCCAATGGATGTTAGAATACATTAAATGTAAAGAGTCAAATTAGATCCTGTATCTGAACTATACCGTTTTTTATAAATCTTTTTTTGATAAATTTGAGCTTTGGTAAATGATAGTACAGTGCTTAATTTAGTCCAGGCTGTCTTATTGCCGGTGGTATCAAAAGCCACAATAAAAATTACAAAGCCCAATATAGGTATATGCATATATATGAAAATATATATATATATATTACTGATAAAAACTAAGATAAATGATAATGCTATAAGAGACATGCTAATAATCTCATGAACATGTACTTTCAGTTGTTCATCTGTGAAGATTACAATCCTTTGAAACCATTTCTACTACTGAGCTTGTCATTTGGGTGTTTTCCAGAATTCTGGTTTTGTCCTGGCACCCGTGCTGGAGCTCACATAAAAAGAAAAATCTTTACTTGGTATGCAATTTATTTTATTTTATTGTACTGTGTATATATTGTGCATTTTTCATTTCTTATTGTAATTACTGTACTATTGCGTACAAATTTCCTCTTAGGGATGAATAAAGTATCTATCTATCTATCTATCTCTCAATGTATCTGCGTTCTATCCCCTAATAAATACAAGCTTAGGGGTAGAGGCAATTTCTTTTCAAACTAGCTGCTGAGAGTTGTGCTCCAGAGTTGTGCCCGAGAAGAGCAGGATGAAATCCGGTGTACAAAAGTGGTCTTTTTCCATCTGAAATTTTCAAACAAAACGTGTGAATTGTTGATGGTGTTCAACCATTTCTGAGTTTTATTTCAACTTGTATTGACAACATTTTGTATGCTTTGTTTTAAGACATGAACTGCATCACTTTTGTAGATGTGGAGAAATTTAACTTTTATCAGCACATTTGCCTCACATCAATTGGGTGCTAAGCAAATGTGCACTAAGCTGAACAGACGATGACACTCTGTCTGCCACCTGGCACATGCAAATATGACACAAAGAAATGCAAATTTAGAAGGGAGCAGCTCAACACACGCAGAAAAAAAACGAAACATTGAAAACCCTTGAATCATTTGTGTTTGTGTTTCATCTACCTCACTTCACAGGAAATATCTTGTTTTTATTCACCTTTTTTTTTGGCACAATCCGATGATGATTTACGGTGAGGTCATAGTCTTACCTGGTAATCTTGGTCCTCGATTCCAAAGTGTTCTCGCAGGTTTCTGAACACCTGTGGACAGTAGTCCTTGAATTTGAACTGTCCCGGAAGTTTCTCTCTGTGGAACAATTACATGATCTAAGAAGAATGTGGCTTCATATGCTGCAACTTTCCTCACACAGCATCGGATCAGTAAATGAGGTTGACTATAAGCAACACTGGAGCTGCCAGTGCTTCATTAAATAAATATCAAAGAAATGTAGCTCTCCTTTTATAACATGTATGTAATAACATGTTCAAATCACTTGATCAAAAGGTTCACATGGTTAAATGTAATAGAGATGGTAACAATCGCAAATTGTGTTTATTATTTAACAATTAACAATTTAACAATTTGTTTTTCTATAATGACACTAAAACATGAATTACTTGTGTGTTTAAAGGCCCGTTGGTGTCTCCAGTTTTTTAACAGTCCAAATCAATAATGGCATCATTAGTTATGTTTAAACTATTCAATTCTTAAGTACTTTCCATATCAGCTGACATGAAAAATGTTCAAGTTAATCTCACTAGGTAAAAGCTTATCTAACTTGAGAAAACATACTTCATTGTTCCTCGCTTCATAAATCTTTACACAACTGGGATTCCTCTGTGGATTAAAGGATTATTGAAAGCCAGTCAAGTCTTGCACTCTGCATCTGTATAGAAAATGAACCGCAGGGCGGACGCAGTTTACAGCACAGTTTTCAGTAATAGGTTTTTGTTATGTTGTGTAAAGCCCCACGTTTTCTGTCTAAAATGTCAATTTAGCTGTTTTCTTTCTTGTTTGAATGCAACTCATGAATGTTCTACACAACCACTGAAAGAAATGCTTTTCAGACTCATGCAGTTTCTCTCTTTTGCATCACCCTGACAACATTGCACACGGCACACTGTGTTCAAGCTAAATTAATAGTGCTTTCATCTCCAAGGATTTTTTATCGTTAGGGACATTGGCTGCAGCCATGGTAGTATTGTTAGTGTAAAAAAATATGGTCTCGCTATAATTTCTGATAAATACAGGGGTTCATATAATTCACATAAACTACAAAAATGTGCGTGAATCACAGGAAGAGAAGGATGAAGGTTCCTACAATGAGACGGAGAGAGTTGAGTGGAGCACAGTACTTGTTGAAGAGGTGGTTGCTGACTTTGATCTTGGTGCTGGCTTTGAAGTCGTCTGGAAGCAGCATGACAGGTACGGGCACATGGCTCAGGTCATTAATCTGCGCATGACGGTGGATGAACAGTTAATGGACATATTTGCTCACAGATATCCATCTATAATACTTTGTGCAAGCGGCCCACGTACCTACCGAGTGATTGACTCCCCACATCAGGACGCTCAACACGGGGTCACTGCCTCTGAAAACCTCCACTTTCTGCTGCACAAAGTGCTTCTTTTTGCTTTTCCTTTTGGGCGCCAGAGTGTTCAAAAGGTTGGAGGTGTTCCCAGGAGAAGACATCGCACTTCTCAAACCGTTCCTCACTGTGTGAGCAGGGTTCCACTTGTCATCCGCTGCTTTCTGTCTATGTAAAGTAGCCTGAGGTCCAGCTGGTAGGAGTCTCTGCAGCAACCTGCTGGTGGTGTGGTGGAGTGCGTGCAGCATCAATGACATCAAACACCGACAAACCCGGGACAATAATCACCATCATTATGGAAGCATTTTTGCCCCACTTTTTAGAAAAAGTCCTTATGATGACATACTGACTCATAATTATGAGTTAGCATCTAATAATTTTGAGGTAATATCTTATAAGTATGAAAAAGTCATAATTAAGAGATTAAGTTTGTCATAATCATGAGATAAGTCATAATGCTTTCTCGGGTAGACTGAGGGTGGAATGCTACCTTTACATGTTATTTGCCACTGATAAGGCCACACAAATATATATCCTTATAGTACCTTTGTCAAACTTTAGTTAGTAAATGTGTGTAACTGGTTACTAATTTGCTGTGGGCTTGAGTTCTGAGCAGTTCAACCAGAGGAACTTGAGCTTTTTGTCATTTCCTAATTTAATAAGAAGTCATGAAAGTATTCAGTATTTTGGATGAAAAACATACTAAAGTTTAGAAGTACAGAAATATTGCAGTTTCTTGATTTGAATATTCTAAAACATCCCATATTTATCTTGGGACCCCATGATAACACCACATCCGCCTTGTTTGGAGCCCCTCTCATGCAATGTATTTAATATCTTATAACTTTATCTAAATGATAAGATGAGAGACAAATATCACACCTTTCAGTTCAATAAAACTAAAACTGTACGTTTTAGGGAAACTATTTTTATTTCATCTTTTATTGACTCTCATATATTTCTATTTTCCATTCGGCATAAATAATTGTTAAACGTTTCACAATGTATGAATACATGGTGGATCTTTTCACAACTATGTGTTTGGGGAGATGATAAACTGTCATAATGGTTTTACTGCAGCCAAATTCTAATTGAGTTTGATCTCAAAGTGCCTTTAATCTCCTTTCTGTTGAGTAATAGATATTCATGACTTATTAATAATGTAGGCCCTGTGTGATGTTATAAGAATTCTTCATAAAGTTACATCTGATTGTTACTGTTCAACAGTGCATTAATACAGCAAACACATGGTAACTTTGCTTTCTTCTTCTTTTTCTTCTTCTTCTTTATTCATGATGTTAGTTTAAATACTCCAAAATAATCAATTGGTTCTTAAAAAAGACAAAATCCTCAAAGCATCGACAAAGTTTCTTGTGAGCATGTTTGCTTTATTGACTGGATGTCAGATTTATTCTTGTGTTCAAGAGGCACATTTTCTTCATATTGCCCTCATGTAATTCTGCATTGGAAATTCAGGTTTTTAAAATAATACCTTGGCTGCTCTAGTGGCCAACCACTGATAATGCCTTATTCAGATAATATTAATATAAATATCATATTTAATGTAACATAAATAGGATTACATCTATAGAAATATGTACAGCAATTACAGTTATTAAATCAACGTAAAAAGTACAAAACGTACATATAATTATGATGCAATGATCCAAATCATATTGTTAAAGATTCTGGTCAATGCCTGGAAATAACATACATATATATACAGGGGAAAAAGTCGCCTGTCAATAAATATTTGATATGGTGTTCTTTTACATCTCATATCAGTTGATCTGACAGTAATGTTTAATCATTACACTCTGAATATGTTCAGTAGAGGGCGCAGGCATACAAAGTTACACCTGATTTGGAAACAGCTTCTTTTTTTTGGAGAGCTGTTTCTGTCTGCTTTGAGCTCAGTTACGTTCTGTATTGGTGTTCCTTCATCTTCATCTCGTATCGGTGATGAAGCTCCAGCCTCCTCTGCTTCGGTCCAGGCATCATGCATTTGAACAGCTCAGGCCTCCCCTCTGTTTAGTGCTGGAGGAGACTGGCATGCCGTTCTGATCCACACACCAGCAATTGCCGCGCCGCTTACCTCGAGACGACCAACACTGCACAAACAGAGCAAACAAAAGGTTATTTTTGCAGCTGGAAGTACAACCAAAGCGTGTGATAGTGAGCCGCCTTATTTGTGAACATACCTGCTTCTTCCGAAAGAAACCCCGTTTGTCACAGTTGGGCATGTACATATGGTGATGCAACTTAAACACATGGGCATCAAGACCTTTGATAAGTGAAGTCAGCAGTTTACGACACGGCGTCTGCGGGGAAAGATCGACAGATAGTTTACCTCATGTCCTGTTCCTTTGAATTATTAAGGTCATTAGATGAAGACGATTTAGTTACCTCATCTGGATCCTCAGTAGTGGCTTGGTCTAGGATCGGACACAGACAAAAACATTAACCATCACTTGCTACATACAATAATCAACATTCATTTTTATTTCACTGTGAGGTCAGCTAGAATTCTTCTTCTTTATTAACTCATGAAAAAAATATTTTAAATCAATGGTATACTGTGGGCCCTGAGCATTTCGTTTTTCATGCCCACTGTGATTGTTTACTACATCTACTGCTCTTGAGTAACAGCTTGTCTGGGGCTCGGCAGTTGGGCTGTGGAAAAATGAAGTCATTGTGTAAAAATACAGGTGTGTGTGTGTGTGTGTGTGTGTCTCTGTTCGCATTCCCTCATAACTATCACAAACCCACATGGAAATCATAGCGGGATTGATTGAACATACATTTTCTGGTTAAATATAAAATGTAATGACGTCACCCTCTCAAAAACTGACAGATGAATCAAGAAACGGTGAGTTTTAAAAACGTGTCTGAATTTCATCTTACCTACAGTCTGGACATTTTCAGTCGGTCCGACGCCGCTGGCATTGGTGCAGACTCCCCTGCCTTCCAGAAGGGCACGCAGGGGCCTCGGCTCATCCTCTGAAGGTGCACAACGTAGACCCGCGGCGCAGCCCACCGTGTAGACCCCGCATGGTTCTCCAACAGCCGGGGCGGTGGAATTTGAATCTGCCGTCGGCTGGCTCTGCGTGGACTGTGATTTACAGGTGGGACATCCTCTGGACGGGGTGGTCAGCACCGCTGAGCTCAACAAAGCCGGCTGCAGGAGGAGCAGCGCCAGGACGTCTAAATACAGAAGCATCTTACTCTGAAAGTTGCCAACTATTAAATGTTAGCAGTAACAGTCTCGGACAACTGACTTGTTGACTGAGGAGTCTTAGGTTAGAGCGTCTGACTGCAGTGTGTCGAGAGGTGGATCGAAATTCCTTCAAGCGAAGGTAAATGGATAATGAGGCTGCCAGACACGACCGGCAGCAGCTTTTAAAGAGTCGAAAGCAGTGGGGAAAGGTATGGGAGGGTGCATGATGGAGAATGTTTTCACACAGCTGAGCACACCCTGTTTCCCCTTGTCTCTGACACACGCACGCATGCTCATACCACTTGTTGTTTTCATCATTCATCAGCCAGTGCATTCACTTTCATTTGACAGTAAGTGTGGTACTTGACTACTTTGAATTGATGCTGTGCTTTAGCATTTCACAAGTGTTTCAAGTTACGTTGCAGATTTTACATAGAAACCTATCAGGAGATAATTTCAATATAATGCAAATTTATCTTAGTTATTTCCATTAAACTGCCTCATAATCCATAATTTTTCTGTGCTGTTAAAGAGATTATTGTGAGCCAACAACACAATACTTGGACCATGGCTTGAAAATATAACCACTGTGGAATAATACCCAATGATCTGAAAAAGAGTGAAAATGTATTTATTTGTTTATTTGCATGCTTCCTGTTCTTGTGTTTGACATTGTGAGGACTTTTGTTTAAATATCAACCATAAACAAATACTTGGTTCACAGAGCGTGTTGACAAAGTCTGTTACAGCACGTCTAAAGATTCTGAGGAAATGGCCAACACTGAGCGCCTGAAGGAGTGCCTATCAGGGCTGGATGACTAAGAGATGAATAGCTACAAGCAAAAAGTCCCACCCTACTTATTCCAATGTGAGTCATAAACAGACAAGACGAGATCACAAACTGGTCTTAATCCTCATTTTGTGACAACTTTATTGTAAATACAAACACAATATAGATATAGACCAATACTAAAATACATGGATCTGTGTGGGGATTCTTGGCTTTCCAAAAACACAATCCAAACTTCATAAAATATGTATGTAGAATGGTGCAGGCCCATCAATATGGAAAAAAAGAGGAAATTACAAGCAAAGAGAAGTTTCTATCATAAGCCCACCATCAATTAAAATAGGTTCCATAAAAAATACTTGTCTCTCAAAACCTTCAGGCTACGATTTTTCTTTTCTTGCCCTGAAGTTTCAGCCCACAGGTTTCCATGTAAAACACATGCAAACACCAACTGTAAAACCTGTTAAAAGACTACATGAACACACAGCAGAGCACGAGTTAAAACCAGCACGCGGTATGTGTCCTCCGATGTGATTGGTTGAGTGGGCGGGACATCCGGGTGCGTAGGCTGGACATAAAGTGACAGACTTCACCTCCTTAAAATTGGAAGAAAAGCAGAAGGACGACGCTTCACAAGTTTTAAAACAGTAAGGAACCCACATGAGACAAATGGGGCTGTGGACAGTTTTTGTATAACCTGAGATACAGTGATGTTTACAGTTCATAAATAGCCATAATGCTGTAACGTTGAAAGCAGCTAGCCGGCCAACCGAGTTGTTCCTTTAGTTTGGGATACACCGTGCTGCGTTTACGGTTGGCTCGTAAAGGGGTAAAGTTACATCGAAGAAGTTATAGCGCATAAATATTAATCTGAGATAATAGTTCGGCTAATTTATTTACCTTATCAAAATACATCACCAGTTAGATCCTCTTAGGGGTCAATCATGTGTGTTTAGGTTGGTGACTTGGTTTCATTATTACTTTAGAGCAAAAAAAAATAGCTTCCAGGAACATACAACTTTTTCAGGCAAAGTTTTTTAACCCTGAATGTTACGTCAGTCTGAATGTTTCACTGTGGCGAAGCACTGAAGCGTAATTATCACTCAGTGAGGCAGTGAAATCAAGAAATGGTGAAAGGCTCAACAAAGCCTACTATTAAAATGTACCGGCGTTTGACTGATAGATTAACAGTTAGTTGAAGAACAGAACAATAATCTGCAAAAATGAATATATGAATAACTGTTTTGATTTGATGTAATGTAATGTAGTGTAATGTAATCTGCAAAATATGAATATATGAATAACTGTTTTGATTGATGTTCATTTCATTAAGTTGAAAAATTGTAAAGACTTAATTTATTGACGGAAAAAACGGCAGATTGACAAACTATTATAATTTTCAGTCCTAATAACAGTGAGAAAATGTATGCTTGAGTCCGTTGGAGATGGCATGGAAGATAACCATGCGAGACACCTGACCGTCACCGGGCTCAGCCATTAGGGGACTCGCGTGCTGCCTGCTTGTTGTGTTCAGTCACTGTCCAGGCCTTTGCTTGTCTCTGGAATGTGGGATTAAACGTAAATGGAAAAACCCAAACGTATCACCTCCTCGCAGGAAGGGTTTGGCCTGAGGATCAAAGGCAGGTCCTTCTCGTTGTCAGGCAACAGTGGCAATCATGTTGTGGTCTAAGAGCTTTGCTGTGGTTTCAGGAACAACCTCTGCTGTTTTTTGAAGGTGTCCCTTTTCAATTGAATGTTTTATCCCCAGAAAAATCCGCTGGCACATTATATACACCGATTATTTTTTTTATTTTACTTGCTTTATTAAACATGTTTTTGATTTGATTCCCTGTGTCCCAGATTGTAATGATTTTCAGACATGGACGACATAAACCTTCATTATCGGTTTCTGAACTGGAGGAGGCGAATTCGAGAGATTCGTGAGGTCCGAGCAGTGCGATACCGGGAGCGGCTCAAAAGGATGCTGAGAGACGGGGACGTACTCAGGTAGCAAAGATGAGCGATGGCAGCGTGACTGTTTGAACGGAAGGCACAGATTTCCTGTATGATTTAGTCCCTCATTTATTCATAGTGCTGCTCCTCTTCTTGCTGAATCAGCATACCGCTTTGGTTATATTTGTCAAAAGTCATGGTTGTAGTCATTCATTTTGTTTTTGCCTCCCCTTGTAGGTATCAAGGGAATTCCGATGAAGTCGGGTGTTTTGTTGCAGCCCGCCCACTGTCCAGAAGAAATCGATACTTTGAAGTAAGAGTACCAACGTTTAGTAAAAATATTCTTCAGTATATTTGAAACCGTCAACAGTGATCCACATCAAAGAAGAAAGAACATACATTTTCTGACAAAATACCATACTGCGAAGATTAGTATATAGCGTTCGTTTTAATATTTTACGGACTAATTATGGATTAAGGACACAAGCTTGGAGATTTGCCAGGATGTCTCTTTGCTTGTCTTCATTCCGCTGAGCCATACTGAAAAGAAGAACACTACACTTACCACTTAAGTCCCAGCACAGGAAATAGCAGTAGATTCACCTTTGCATGATATACATCTCCTCTCGAACAACTTTGATGTTGACCCACTGTTCAGTCTATTTACCACGTTTGATCGGGGTTAAGAAAATACTTTCTCTCTTCGTCGATCTTTTGATCACATTATTTTTATTGAAAAGCCTTTGTAGATAAAGTAAGGCAACAATATATGTTTGGATCAGAAGAGAAGTTCGAAAAGCTGTGGTATTCCAGAAACTCACTTCAAGTATTCACCAGAGTGTCACACATTTTCTGCAGAAAATTCATGCAATTAACATTGATTCACTTCACCCAAACCGTGTTGTGATTCCAGCCCTAGTTACAGTTACTATGCCCGTCAAGCCTTCCACCCTAGCATGGAACATACGTTGTTTACAATGATAATAACGGCAGATGCTGAACTTGAAATTCTCTGCCATTTTAAAACCAGCGAGTTACTGACAGAAACAGGATTTCCATCTCTAGCAAGAAAACAACAATTTTGGCACCTGTAATTGCAGCTGTTGGGGGAAGATTTTATCACCTGTATCACCTGTAGCTTGCTAGCTCATCATAATAATGCTACATCCATGAGCAGTTTTGAAAACTAAGTGTTTCTAGCTGTCGTGTGTCCTAATATGAAATACCATATTCATGACTACGGGCAGGACTTTGTTCTAAAATGCCGCTTAACAAGTCTTTTTTTGTACAGCAGCATGTACAGTGACATGCTACTGACACCATCTGAGTCAGATTATTTAGTTGTAAATAGATAGTCATCTATCAGGATACATTCTAGTAATGGTAAACTGCCTGTTCTACTGCAGCATACTGATACAGTATATTAAAGTTACAGCAGTGCTTTTGACGGGATGGATCTACTGGCTGGATCAGATATCTGAATCTGCTTTCCTACCTCAGCCCCGGCAAACTGCTTTCACAAAGCCCAATAAGTTGCAGCTCATTACCGATCTTTTTATATATTTATTTTATTTAGTCCTGAGTAGTCTAGACAATGTAGTGCACAAACATCCCAGGAGAGTGACTGTTGCTCAGAATTAACCATGTTCAAACATGCCTGCACACATCCTGTTCACGTGCACTGAAACAGTAACTAACCCTCTCAACCTTTCATACTTGCGTGCGCTTTGTCCCTGTGACTCACTTTGTGGAAGCCTCGTAGGAGGAGGAAGGAGGCGATCTGCGTTAATGAGCATATGTGCCAATAAATGTTAGCAAAGAGAATGCTGGTTGTGGATCAGGCCATAGATTTGACCTTTCACCTGCATGTTTTACCCTGACACAGAAAAAAAGCTACACATTACAGCTCCCTCTCAGGAGGCCAGCGCTGAGGTCATGGGAAAGAACTTTCCTCCCCTACTTGTCCTCCTTTGCCAGCAGTACTCCGAGTGCAGTGCTTCCACGTACGCTCCCTAGGGATGATGTCATAGGGTCAGTATTCAGTTATGATAACAACGGTGAAGGACAGCCCTTTACCTCAGGGGTTCCCTTTTTCACCAACACGCAGCTCTGTACAAAGAGATGCTACACGATTTCAGGTTGGTTTGGATATTTGAAGTGAAAAGAGAAGCAGCAAAAGTACCCGAAAGTCAAACGTGATGTTATGTACAACGCCTGAGGGAGCAGAGACAAAAGCTTTTCTGCCAAATAGACCTGCATGACTCACGCAGGCGTTTTGAAACTTTGTATGATATTACTCCCATAAGATGTGTATAAGTATGAGGTTAACAATAGGATGGATTGCCATTAAGTTGTCACAGACAACAGACGTTTGTGGTCAGCAGAGAGTCCCTCTGACTCGGATGATCCCATGACACCTGTAGCAGCATCCGCATCAAAAATGTGTTCTAGTGCTTTGGTTTATGACTCAATGGCTGGAAAACTAATGACATTCCTGTGCGCCTGGTTGTGCTTTTGTGTTTTGGGGTAAATAGCAGATATTAGCATAGTTGCGTTGTCATTGGGACCATGAGCTAAATGCTAATGCCCTTATAGCATTAGCATTTAGCTCAAAGCATAAGTACATCTTTACAGAGCTGCTAGCGCGGCTGTAGACCTTTTCAGTGTATAAGTATAAAGTAGTGTTCGCTCTTTAGACAGGATGGTTTTGCTGGCATGGCCTGTTTATTTGTGAAGCGAACACACCTGCACTGTGCATGTTCTGGGATTACAGCGTGATTCACCCATGTATGACAGCAACTACCAAAAGAAACTACAATAAATCCATGTTCATGACTCACTGTCGCTTCCCCCTTTCATGCACTTCCTCTGCCTCAACATAGTTTGTTTGTCTGATGCACAATACAAAAGCCTCCCACACATGTATTGAGTAGCCCATGACTCGCTGCTGAGCATGTTACAGCAGCTTCTTTAGAATTTGAGTTTGAGATCCAAAGGTAAATCTGAATCTCAGTTGCCACAGAATTTAATGACACCATTCTGGTCAAAATTAAGTAAATTTGGCAAAATTACTGTTTCAAAACAGCATTTTGAGCTGCAGTGATGCCCTCCGTTGTGTCTTTGGGGTTATTGTACCTGCGGTGTTCGCAGGTGACCATCCTCGACACCGGAGTGAGGGGAATGATCGCTGTTGGTTTGGTACCTCAGCTCTACAAGCTGGACCATCAGCCCGGCTGGCTACCGCACTCCGTGGCCTTTCATGCTGATGATGGCAAGTATGTGACAAGGATGGTTTTCTTTACATATAGGCCTACTGTAGACGGAACATGTTGTCAGAGATGAAAGGAGATCCGGGCAGAATAACACAGGCTCACAGGACACCTCATTAAAGGAGAGGTCCAGATAGTTTTCCTATCTTGTCTTGAAATTAAAGCCATGTGAAGGAACCCGTTTCAGTGATTTTGGTGTTATAATTCCACTTGTCCATTCACACTTGTCATTGAGAGCTCCCTTCTCTTTAGAAAGACGTACATAGAGGGAGATGACATCAATCAGCTGTTTGTTTTTTTCCTTCATTTTAGTTGCTGGGCCCATTTTCTCTGTGTTTTCTCGTGTTCTGCGCAATCCGACAATGCTGGGCCTTGATTATAAGCCATTCCATCTTGCTAAACTGTCTTTCCCCAGGCTGTATAATGGTAACACTGTAGGACAACAGTTCGGTCCAAAATGCTGCAGAGGTGACAGAATTGGCTGTGGAGTTTCTCTGGACTCTGATGATGGACAGCTTACTGTGTTTTTTACCAAAAATGGCAAAGAAGTAAGTGCTCTGTTACCAAAATATATTTTTTGCTGAGAAACGATGTATTCATCCATTCAATAATGATGTATATATGAATGTACTCCGAGCTCCCCCAGCTAGCTTTCCCTAAGAAACACTGTGTCTGACTGCGGCCCAGGTTGGCAGTGTGGACATCCCAGCATCTCCTGATGCGCTCTTCCCTGCTGTGGGAATGCACACTTTGGGAGAGGAGGTGCTGCTGGACCTGAATGCTGAATGGGGGATGGAGGAGGATGATGGACAGATGATTGTGGATAGTCATGAGGAGGACTGGGGCCGTCTCCATGACATTAAGGTGACAGGATCGGTAAGTCTCGTTGCTGAGAGATGATAAAAATAAAAATGTGTGTATAAAATGATGCAGTCAGACATTAGTTATAACTCCAAAATGAGACGAGTGGTCTCCCATTGAAAGGTTGATGATGAGTAATGATTCACTCGTGTCAGTGGGAGGATGACGCAGAGGAAGGATCTCTGTAGACAAGAATATTGGTCTCTAATATATATATATATTGGAAAGCTTCAATTAAGGTTGACTACCAACTTCTTTTCTTAGCTTGATTTTGAAGTGGTACATCACTTGTTTGAGTCAGTGCATCATTCCTGTATTTTGTTCAGTTTTTCCCATTAGTTCCCAGTAAGTCCTGGTCTGTAACAATATAATGGAACCGCTTCCCTTCACATCAGCACTTAAGCTTGACATGATAAATGAAGATAATACATATAAAAATAATATGCAAAACAGTTTATACACATAGTCTATTTACTGTACATCGCTTGGGAAGTAAAGAAGTTGTGTAAAGCATTTTGAGCTTTAGAGGGAGTCTGATGAATTGACTTGTTGAGGCAGATGACTACAAGTTTGAGAATGAAAATAATCTGTAGATTATTATAGAGTTAGAGAGAAGCGAGCTTATTAGATCTCTGTAGCCCATTCTTTGTCGGGGAGCTGCGGCTCAGTGGTGGAGCAGAGGATCGGCAGTGCGTCCTTGGGCATGACGCCTAAACCCAAATTGCTTGACTGGTTAATAAGGCAGGTGGCAGCTTGCATGGTAGCACCTGCCATCAAGGAATGAGTGGGTGTGAATGGGTAACATGCTGTGTTAAAGAGCTTTAAGTGGTATGAAGTACAGTGCTTTTAACATTTATCAACACCCTAATCTTACTGGCCGCGCCGAGGTTCACACTGATTTGGATTGTTTTAGGTTTTCATATGTTATAAAATGGAATATGCCATTTTGGAAGTGATTGGTTGGCACTTGAATATGTTTTATTTATTTGAGGAGGTTGTACAATTTAAGGTTTAAGCAAATATTGTTATTGCCAGTGCTGACATCACAGCAGTTTGGTTTAATAAGCTCAAACATTTGAAGTGCTATTGGTCCATTTCTTTTTAGATTGTTTATGTCATACAAGCTGTTTGTAAACGAAAGAATGAAGTAAACGTTTCTCTCCATGTTGGTAATGGCGTGGGGAGCCGAGTAGGCCATGTATGGGTTTGATTTTCAGACTCTTTGTGGTATCTTGTGTTCATCTACTGTTCCCACGACCTTTGGGAAGCTCTCTCTGGAAATGGACTCTGCTTCGCTGGTAGTAGTAAACAGATATATTATCTCTGCTGCCAGAGCTTTGCTGCAGTTTGGTGCAGGGAGGAATAAATCAAAAGACCGTTTTAATTTATCTTTTTTTTCTATTTTATCTGGGATAATGTGTGAGTAAAACATCTCATTTACGCTCATGTGCAACGTTAGGTTCAAGTTCTCCCCGCCTGGGCTGAACCCAGATGTTTTTGTTTCAATTTGATCATTTCAATAAAATCTCCAGTTTTGTTGTAATCCCTTGACATATATTAAAACATGTGATACACTTGCAGGGAACAGCAAATCCAGAAAATAATTATTGTCAAACGTTTGAGGCGTTTCAGATAAAAAAAACTTTGTACCGCCGGCTGGTGGAACAAACCTTTGAAATTAGGCCTGACTTCTGCTCTCCATATGTGGCTGACACACGGCTTAAACCGTAAACCAGATTTATCAGCTGCAACCAGCATATGAGAGCAGTTCTCAGCGATGTAAAGAGACAACGTAGAATCCTGCTACAAACCAAACACAGAGGGAAGAGGACTTATTCTCTGCAAAAATGGACGTAACACCCTGCTGTAAATCTTTATGTTGCATATAGTTGTTTGCTACTATATCAGTGCTCTGTGTGTACGGAGAACCTCAAAGTGAGCTATCAAAAGCCACCAAATATTTCTAGATAAGGCTTCCCGACCAAAACGTCTGATTGTAATGAACTCCACAAGGGCTTTTATAAAATGCGTTTTCATCTATAGGACTAAAATGATGCCGTCCATCTAACAAAGTCATTATGGCTAACGCATAGTGGATGCAGAAACAACACAATCAGAAGCCAATGAAGCAACATAAGGATTCATTTGGGCTCATGTTTTTACCCATAATTATATACAATATAACCACTATTCACCTTTCGTATAGCTCTGTTGGTTGCAATTAGTAATCTCTGTGTCATTACCTGCTACACGCCCCCACTGTGTTCACCAACCCAAGCTAAGATGCTACTGTCCTGTCCGCAGAGCAGCTACCTGAGGTGTTCCGTTTTATTGCCCACAGTGCTTGAAGTACGTGGCCAAGGAAAGAGCTTGTTGAGCGTGGTCTTGGCTAGAGCCCCCCGATCTCTCAACACTTGTTTCATTTACTAGGACTGGGAGCTCCCCGATGTGGGAGAGAAGTGTTACTTGGCCTGGGGTGGGCCCCCAGGGTAAGACCCCCCTCTTTCAGGTCACCCCATAATTGTATTTGTAACGGCCCCCCCGTGTTCCTTCCTGACCCCTCGCGGTTATCCTTTCTGAAGAAAAACCCCCCCCCCCCCCCCCCCCCCCCATTGCTCTCCCTCATATGCACCACTGCTCTCACTGTTTCCAGTCTGAGTGATGGATGACCGAAGGAGGAAAAGCTAGCAACAGAATAAATATTGTCTCATTTTACTCCCACATCTGCTTTTCCATAGAAAGCAGATTGTTCCATTTACATGATAATCTACCATGTCAACTGGAGCACTGCAGTCAAGTATGTGATCGGCTCTGAGATGAGTGTATGTGATTGTTTAGTATCAGATTGTGCCAGTTGCTGGGTGTTTTTGCTTCCTATTTCCTTAGTTATTCACCGTGCACAAGAAGGGGTGAATCTAGAATCATTGGAAGTATGCAGGAGTTTCTGAAGCTACGTGATTATAAGTTGATATCTTAATTAATGTGATTTTGAAATCACAAATTATGGCAGCCATCGATGACACTTATTTGAGAGAGGACCTGTATGTTTACACGGCAGAGATGCATTCAGCTGCCTTTGGCCTCCATGCAATTTTCATGAAGGCACACACCTCCTGTTTAATATAAATGGGGTGAGGGGGCAATTGTGGTGGCATCTGAACAACATGACTTGATGACTTGTGATTTGAAATGCATTGCGGCTCAGATTTTGCTGCACTGCAGGAATTTCACAGTTATTGGATGCTAATTGATTGAGCATCAGTCCTGCTTATCCCACTGCTGTGATGGTGCTCACAGCCTCGGAGGTGCTGGGTAACTGTTGCACTCACCCGCGACAATAAGCTCCCCATGTTCTCATGTTAGTTACTGTGCCCTCGGGTCAGATGGAGTGGAGAATAGAGCTCTGTCATTTCCCTGATTGTTCTCCTGGAATTGTTTTTCACCACATGTCTGCGGTTCAGGTGAAGCATTGTAAATCCATCAAACGGTCATTCCTGAGGTTCTGTAACGTCGCTCGTCGTCTCCTGCAAGACACCGCAGTCTGCGGATGGGAAGGATCACCTCTCGCTAGGAAAATCCAAACCAAGGTCTCTCTCTTAAAGAAGAATCCCTCCCTTCATATATAGTCGCTGTAGTCTGGAGGGGATTTAGCTCATCTGAGTTACATCGTTTGATGAAAGATTATGTTAATTTTATCCACAAAGCATACTTGTAAGCACAACACTTGATGACAAATACAGTGAGCAGACTGATGCCTCTGATCAACCACAAACCCTGAGAACAATAAGTATGGAGCTCCACTGTAGATATACAGATAGACATATTTAAAAACTAATGCGCCTAAATGCTTTCACTCGTTTTAGCGAGGTGTCCCAATCGAAACATTGACTTTGACAAACGTTGCGCTGTTTCAAAGGTGTGTTGGGTTACACCTTGGTTTTAATGTTGTTTCGGCACTCGACTGAGATCAGCTTTGACTCCTGACGTCCAAACACTGATGTTTGTTGTTGCCATGAGCTACAAACATTCCTTGTAATGCTCCGACAACAAAACATCTTCGAACCTGGCATCAATTTCACATCTGTAAGGTTTTGTATCCGTGTGTTACCCAAACAAGCTGTAACCGTGACCAAATTCATCCAGAGAAATTAAACACCTGGGAAAGTAGTCAAAACTTCTGCTGTTGTAGTTCCCGCTACACTGGGTGTCTCCAGCACCACATTTTGCCACGATGACACACGCACACACTCGGAAAGTTAAAACAGCACGAGCGTAGCTGATTCAGCTGGTCCTAAAATGGATGCTATTCAATCACAAGATGCCACCTTCTCATTTGTCTCACAGGACTACCCCAAAAACAGGCATCCAGGTTGGAGCAGAGGGTCCATTGCCTATCATGCAGGTGAGGTGGCACATGATGATCTGTCTGTGTTTTCTCTGCATTTAGATACTTTTGTCCTTTTTGTAGAATGTTTTGTTCTCATTTACAATCTTTTTTTTGAGGAGGGGGCGGTTAAACATGTTTGTTCTGCATGCAAACACGTGGGCAATGGCACCAAAGTGAACTAGGAAATTATAAATTGCCTGTGTGTGGGAGTTGGAATTACTTACCATCAGTTTGTGTTTTGGCTGAACTAGTTGTTCAGAAATTGGCGGGACGGATTTTAATCTAAACCATACAAAAAAAATGTAAATAGACGGCAGACGTCATCTTCCGTCTTAATTGCACTACACTCTTTCACACACTCTGATGAACGTCCATGTTATTTTTTGTAGATGATGGAAAGTTGTTCCAGGGCAGCGGGGTCGGGGACGCGTTTGGACCGCGCTGCTTTGAAGGGGACATCATGGGCTGCGGGATCATGTTCCCACGTGACTACAGTCTCGATGGTGGAGGTCAGGAACGCAATCGCCTTCATATTGTTTCCAAAGCACTGTGCTTTTTCGTGTGCAACCCCTGAAAGCCTTTCTTTCTATTTCCGTGTGTGGGTTCTGTCAGATGACGCAGACGACTGGGACCTCGATGTGATGCCCAAACCCAGTGAGGTTCAGAATGACCTGTACGCAAGCAATGAAGATGAGGAGGATGAGGGAGAAGACTTTGAGGGGAGGAAGGTCACGGTGAGATGCTGTCCAATTCTCAGATTTTAAAACCAGTTAGTCTCCCTTCCTTCCTCTCTGCATATGCCGTCTTCTCACCACTTTTGTGTTTGTGCAGGTCTTCTTCACCCGTAACGGAAAGGTTGTGGGCCGGAGGGAGGTGGCCTTACCTGCAGGAGGGCTGTACCCCACGATTGGCATGATGAGCACTGGGGAGAAGGTCAGAGTGGACCTTCACCCCCTCAGTGGCTGAGCACAGCGGAGACACGAGTGATTGAGTGATAGAGCTCCGCTATGTCTTTGGAGACTGGATAGTAAATATTACCTCCATATCAACAATCTCCAAGATGTTACTTGAAAAGTCGGTGGCTGAGGCTCATGTTGTAAGGATGGTGAAATGAATCTATGTTAATACAACATGCGTTCCTCAAAGAAGTGCTTTATAATGAAATGGTTTTACAGAAAAGTGTTAAATCAGAGTTGTTCTGTCGGTGACACGCTATTTTTGATAATTTTGTCACACAGAGTAATGGATAAAATCACATGAAATATTTTTTCTATATTTGTCTCTCACCAGAATTCTGAATGTAAATACCTAATCAGAGCGGACCCCAGCTTACACACGGACCCTTTTAGTAAATATGTAGCGCCTCTCACAGCCTGCTGCTGCTCCTTACTTGAGGTCTGCTTTACGTCTCCTATCGATGGTGTTCTGCTGACACTCAGTGGTGAGAGTGGTGGTCTGAAGAGTAATGCTCAGAAAACCTCCAAAAAAGAAGTAGGGCACTGAATGTGTCGTCCTGTACGAGTATGACTGTTTTTGGTGTGTGTGTGTGTGTGTGTGTGTGTGTGTGTGTGTGTGTGTGTGTGTGTGTGTGTGTGTGTGTGTGTGTCTTGAGAATTATGGGGACATTAAGTATATCAACAACTTGTTGAGGTTAAACCTAAAGCATTTAATTGTTGTGTTGAAGTAAGATGTTTTAAAAGGACGCTTCCAAATTCTGTTGTTTTTCTTTTTTGTGACTTTGTCACAAAGTGTTTTTTAAAAACTTTTATTCAGGTATAATTCTGACCAAATTATAGGCAATGTACTGCCATAAAACATATGCAGGTCTTAGTCACTCTTTTGCAGAAAGTCATAGGACATCAAAGATTCTTTTTATTGCTTTTTTTTCCTCCCCATATAGAGATAATTTATACTAACTCTATCGATCTACATTAAACATGTTTCCTGAGCACTTTTTTGCCTAATACTCACAATTAGTGATCTTTATATTGAAGTCAATCTAAATGTTGCCTTTGGATTGAAACCTCAAAGAATAAAAGGATAATTTGAATTCATGATAATCAATCTATTGGACATTAAAATGTCTCTAAATTGAAAATCCATGAAGAGCATGCAAAGAGTATCTAAGCATCTCAGGAAAATACTACACACAACATTATATTAGACAGTATAGTATATTTCCCACTTCTTCAACATTTCAATATCTCGTTAATGAAGGCATACTGTAACTAATATTTGCTGATCTCAGGTGTATTTGAAAATCCAAATTTGGTACATTGTCTTTTCTATGGTTATTTTTTGATTTTGTTGTATGTTAAATTCAACCATCGATTGGTAAAAACCCGTAATGCATTTTTAAAAAATGTTTTTCTTTTTTTTTTTGGTCATGATGAATCTTTGTTCATTGCCAATACTGTACAAGTAGTTTCTCCCTGACTCCAATGTCAATTGTAATCTATTTCTGGTATTGTGACGCCAAAGCGTAGGATTCTACAAAAAGTGTAGAAGTAAAGGAAATGCTTCTGTTTTCTCTGCAGATATATGTGATATTAGTTGTGAATTACTCCGAAAAAATAAAAGGCTGTTAATTGTTACTTCCACTTTTTATATAATGTTTATTAGCAGTTTTAATTTGATGTTAACCTGACAATAACTAAGATGTACAAACTTATCCAGGCTTTACAGCCAGCCTGCTGATAGAAATTGGACATAATGAACAAAGTGCCTGTGTGAATGGGTACAATCTGGATCCACATTCAAATCTTCTTCTATACCTCATTCTAAAGGTGCATCATATCTATAAACTCTGCGGGTCATTGAATAGATATGAAAACACCTTATTGGATCCATGCTGGACTTTTGAGTTTTGCTTGAAAATACTATTGAATACGGAACAATTCCATCCATTCAGGTGCCCCCTGGATACCCCCAAAAAACATAAGGCTGGTATTTATGTGATACTGAACTGCTGCTAATTGTGTGCCGAGGAAAGCACTCATCATATCAACCTGTACTGTACACAGGGTGGACCCGTGTGTGTGTTTTTTTCACTTTCCACAGTGCAGTTTTATGTTAATGATTGTAGTTCTCACGAGCTGCTCATAGAGTCCTTCTACTGTTGGCTGTCTGCCACACTTTTAATATTTAGCCCTCCTGTATCTTGATTGTAATTAAACATGAAGGAAGTCTCTCAATCCAGCCCTTGTTTAGGTCCTGTGTTTTTTTTTTCACATTTCACTTTTCAATCAATCAGGTAAACATGCCAAAATTATTTTTAAAAATAAAGAAGATTTACACCCTGCTTTTGACCTTTCCTGTTGTGTCAAAATGAATTATCATATATAAGAGACCATGTTCTCTGCTGATTTTAATTGGTTATGGGATCATCATAAAAAGCTACAACTATTCCAACTCCCCACGTCTGTTTCATAATGATTCTTTCTCAAAAATATTAATATCAATATCTTTGATAATTTCACATAGTAGGCTATATAGGTAATGGTGATTAACTATAAGCAAAGCTGAGAAGTGTATAGTTTATGGCGTTTTAGGCTTAATATAACAGACAGTCTATTCGACTAATTACATTTAAGGTAATTAAGATGCAAGCTTTGAATGAGCACTGCACCAGTAATACTAACAGGGCGTAAAATCCCAATTCCTTTTGAGGATGAATATCGGATAATCTTTTAAATGTACTCAATCATTTCTTTTCTGGATAATAGCAATAAAGATAAAACATACCATATCCATAATTCGGTTAAGAGTGAGCTTTATACAAATGAATGAGAAAAGGAGCACTAATCGGGAAGCTGGTAGCACTGTGATTTTAGTATTGTGTTTATTTATTAGTCCAGATGGACTGCAGTCAAAATTTCGTCTTACACATTTTAATTATGTTTCAACAATTCAGACTGTAATGCCCGATGGATCATTATACAAATTATTAGAAAATATATATTTGGCTGGGCAAATAAATAGTCCAGGGCACATTCTAAAATACAAAATGTTTTACATACTAAGTGGATCACATATAAAAGTTTTAAACACTCATCCAGAAGGCCCAGATAGATTGTTTATTTGCTACCACACAGAATAGTGATCAGTAGAAACCTGTGATTCATCATATTTTCTCCTTTTATTGTAGTTATTTAGACCAGTTCCGTAATTAATAAACACCTAAAGTGCTGCAGTCAAATTTCTTTAGACAAACAACCTGCACATTACAGTTGCTAATTGTGCATATAATTATATAGAGATGATTCAATTTAATATATGACAATTTTCCAGTATAATCAGGAGCAATATAAAAGCCATATTAGATATTGTAAAGTATAATTAAAATATATATATAAAAATCAAATATCAATCAAATATTTGTACTTTAACAATTACAGGCAGTAGTTGCAATATAAATGCACATACAGAAACCTTTTTAAACCTTGCCTATAACTATAAAATCTGGCAAAGCAACAGTTTTGATCTATATCTAAAGTGTTATATGGCGGATAGACGTGACAGTGGGAGTTTTTCCTATGAGTCAGAGTCCTCCTCATCATAGTAGCGGTTCCTCTTAATTATATCTTCTGCACTCAGCTCTTCTGCATCACTTCCTTCCTTGTCCTCCTCCCAGAAGCCCACATCCTGGGAGGCGCGGTTCGGTTTTGGCTGCAATGGTGGAGAAGGGGACACCAAGGTTTCCGGGGAGATGCTTTCTTCCTCCCCCTTCTTCTCTGCTGCTACCTCTCCTCTGCTACCACTGTCTTTTTCTGCCTGTTGCTTGGTCTCCTCGTCCTCCTCGGAGATGGCCTCTTTTTCTTTTGCTGTGTTTTGGCTTTGAATTTGAGGCATGGTCTTCTCGTTTTTCTCCTGCCGTTTCCCCTGCTGAGGCTCTGGCTTATTTTCCTTGGGTGGCTCTTCGGATGAGTGCTTCTCCTCGAATGAGGCTCTCCAGTCCAGCAGGGATTTGAGCGGGCGGCGGGGTTCCCTGGGTCCCAGGCTGGTTGCGGTGCTGGGTTTGGCCGCGACTGTAAAAGGCCGAATGCGCTCCTTCAGAGAAGAGCTCCTCCTCAGGCTCGTCAGCTCAGCTCGATCTGAGCTCCGGAAGGACGATGGCGCCTCGTCCTCCGGGGGCCACTTGGCTCTCCACGGTCGGCCCGAAGGAACTCCCTCTGTCACCGGACTAAGTGCTTCGGTACCAGAGGGGCCTTCTCCAGCTGGGGGAGGCCATGCAACCCTCAGCCTGCGTTTCTCAGACAGCTTCTCTGTAGCATCCAGCTTCTCACCGGACCTAGCATGTGATTGCACGCTTTTCTCCAGTAAGGCAGTCAGGTCCGTCACCTTCACCTGCGGGGATGTTTCAACCGTTGAGGGCTCCTGTTTGTCTGAGGTGCTTTCACCCGGGTGCGCCACCGCGGCTGGTTCCTCTTGTTCCTTTGGCTTCGACTCGTCCTCGCCCTGATCCCTCTCGGCACGAGGCTCCCAAAGCTCCTTGTGAGGCCGATGGCCAAAGCCCTCATCGTAGTTGCCTTTAGCTTTAAACAGCTGGTTGAAATGGGGCTTGCAGTAGACGTTGCCATGCAGAGAGGCATAGCTCCCAAGACTGGAAATAGCAAAAAATAAGATATCATTCATAAAATGTTCCTTCCTGTGGTTCTTGAACGGGCAGTACAAGGAGTTTGCAACAGTACAAGACCGACCTGAGCTTTGTGCTGCAGTGATCACAGCGGAAGCAACTTTTGTGGTAGACGTGCTGAAGAGCCATCAGTCTTTCCAGCGGGTAGACGGTCTTTTGACAAGCGATGCACGTATCCTTCACCGGTGGGCTGAACTTCTACACATACAACAATAGTAACATATATGCAAAGCACACAAGGGTTGAATTCTTATTCTTATCTGAATGATTCCTTCACGTCTCCTACTGGTTGGTGTGATGACAGACTCACCCTTGATACTTTGGGTTGCTCACCGCCCCCTTAAACAAACAGACACAAACAAGTCACTATTGCACGACAGAAGCCAGCTGAAAAGGTAAAATAAACAAAGCGTCACCTCATTCGGGGTCACAAAGTTACTTATTAACACTGTAGTCAATGCCCTATTTTACAATTTATATTAAACATAATACTAAATCAAGAACATTAAGATGGGAACATGTGCTCAGAGAATCCACTGAGACTAACCATTGTACTCAGGTGTGGGATCGTGGTTTGGATTTACAGGTGCAGATGTTTTCGGAAGCGGCACCTCTGGGGCCTGTTTACCAACAGCAGCCCGGTATTTTGCCATGTTCTCCTTCATGGATGTGGTCTCCAGTGCTCTGTCAGGCACAGACAGACCTACGGCAAAGGACATGATCACACTTAATGCTTTAAATGTATTCTGCAAGGGACAATTCCCATAAACAGTGATGGCTCTTCTGTCCAAAGCGGTTCATAGTCCAGTTGTGGAGCATATCTTTGTGTTCCTTGAAACAAAACCTATTGTTAGGTTAGGCACTTTAATTATTCAAAGGGTTGTGTGCATTTATCTTTACCACCATGGTGGTCCATGTCCTCTGATGAAGTACTGCGTAGTTTTGTCCTGCCCCCCTGAAAGAATAGGATTGTTTGAATCACATGTTCAGTTTACATGCACCGAGTACACCAGCACTGGTAAATAACACTGAAATAACGTACTGTGAAAGTGGTTCAGTTTGTGTGATTTAATCCCAAAGGACACTATTTTAGCATTTGTCGATTAATGTGCTCGACAGAATAATATTAAATTAAAATATATTCCGTTGTTTCAGCTATTGTCCAGAATTATTTTTGACCCATGTGAAGCTTTGGGTACATTATGTCCTGACTCAATATTTTATACCTCTGACACTGTCACCAGACTCCATCTCAGCAACACTCAAGAACAAACCAGCTGTACTACAAGAGTAACCCGTCACAAGCGATGGGCAGCTCAACCTCGCATTGCCAGCAATGACGTGTCAACCAGACTCTTCTGACCAGTTAAGGGTGCTAGACTGGGACTGGGGAGTCCTGCTGTGCCATAATATTCCTCAGCCAACTAAGAACAACAGAACACCCAAAACAGTTAGATAAGAACAAGAAGATTTTTTTCCAGCCCGTGTTACACTCCTAGTCTACCCTGTAGATGTTGACCCGTCATTTTTACACTTCTTCTTTCCCAGTGGCAGAGTGGCGTTAGTCACACTGTTAAGCAATTTTTTTTTAAAGAGCTGTATTCCATTACGCTTAATTATTAATATGAAGGGGGAGACGGGCCTTAGTCCAGGTAGAGCCAGACTAATTCAGGAAATAAAGACATAAATAAAGGGTGACTTCCTATCTACATTTAATATATGTTAACTAATTACATAATCCCATTCCCAAATTTACCCAGAATGAAACCCACTATTTACTGCGTTTTGTTTAGTTTAGTATCATTTAGTTTTAGTACGGCGGAATAATTAGTGAATAACAAAAATGTAGGATTAAAACGGTTCATTCAAAGTTGGTCATTAAAGCATCATCAGGTTCTGCAACATCAAGTTCAACCACGTGAAAAACATCCTTCATTTTTGTCTCAAGAAGGGCTCAGAAAATGTGTTTTACAGGACTGGTGAACAGCAGTAATCCCAGCCAAGAACCTTGTGTTTAGAGTTGAAGCCTGAGAAACATGGCCAAAAGATGCACAGCTGTTAAAGCTGAAAAACAGAAGAGACTAGGAGCCTCCTGCACAAAGTATTCATTCTAACAGATATCATCTCAACTCATTGTGACGGTTTTGTGAGTGCTTCAATCATGTTATTATAGCTGCACTGAGGGGAATGTCTCAACAGAAGACGCTACCTTGCCCGTGGTTTCCTCTCTCCTCTCAAACTTCATCTTCAGGTTGGTCAGTGGCACTCTGGCTCTTTCATAAGAGGCACGGGGGCTGGTTGGAACTTGCTCCTCCCTGTCCATCCCTGTCTGCTCTTCACCTTCGGCTGCTTCTGGTGCTGCTGCGGGCTGCAGGACACGACTGGCTGTGAGCTGACCTCCCTGATCGGTCGGCAGGCCGGGGCTCTTTAATGGAGGACAGGGCTCTGCGATAGAAGCAGGTCTGGCCAGAGCAGGAGGCCTGTTGCGGGTGCTGGACTGGCTAGGAGGTGGGACAGAGGAAGGCTTCACCTGTGCCTGCTCCCAGCGCTTCTTCAAAGCACTGAGGTTACCCAACCGCAGCGAGGCCGATGCACCCTCAGTAGGCTGCGAGCAAGAGACGAAGAGATTCACAATCAAATAGAAAAATGCTTTCACAAACCTGCGAAACAAAAAGCAACAGAACACATTCAGTTCTTCTTCTCTTCATTCAGTTTACACGCTGAATTACAAAAGTATTTGGCAACAATCACAGCCCAAAGCCCTATTCAGCACGATGAAATAACGAAACTGAGCCGGGCTTCACTGGCAGATTAGGGGAACAGCTGTTAAAAGCTGGTCCAGGAAGTTGATGTTTTACTGAAGGCAAAAATTGGCTCAAGATGGAGATGGCTAAGCTGAGCGGGCGGGAAGATGTTTTTCAGCCGCATTCCTTTCCACATGACAACTTCACCTTTCTTAAAAAACACTGAGGACGGCTCTGTTCACCACTCAGCCATTCATGACAGTAAAACATGGAGGAAAACAGGAGGCTCACTACTTCTCTGTGCCTTCTGGGAACTTGCTTAACTGTAAAAGAGGACTGGTCCACGTTGAAGAAAGAGGATGCAGATCCCAATCCGCTAACAAATATTAGAAGCAAGCATGCTGAGGTCAGCTCATTGAAACTATTCTATCATAATAAACACAATTCCTCTACGAAAACGAATACAAATCCTTGTTTGACTCAATTTTAAGATGGTTTGAGATGAGAAAAAAAGAAAACACCCAATTATTCCCAAAAATACTTAACAATGCTTATGAGAACATGAAACTAAATCTGTAGCATTTACAAGTAAGACAAACCGATTAGCTCATTTAAAAAACTTAGAAGAAATAAACTAGAACATTATAATAAAGTAGTGAATACAAATCTAACAGACAATTACTGTCTTTGTGAAGGAAGTCCAGGGTGAGCGGAGAGAACTGGACAGTGACAAGATGGTTCACGTTTTTAGACAAAAAGACAAAAAGAGAAACCTTTGTGAATTCTTTGGAGGTCCCAAACAACGTGTAACAACAACTTGACAGCAAGGAGCATGAGACTCCTTTACTCGGTTCTTCTGTTTGCGAGTCAGTCTGCTGAAAGACAAGAGATCCTCCAGATGTTTGCAGCCAGACAAAGTCTGCTCGTAAGAGCTAGTTGCCCCTTTAACACCAGGAAACAGTGTGAAAGAGAGTCAGAAAAACCAGGAAACCAGAGCAGGAAGTGATACATTCAGGGAAAAGTTAACTCTTTGCTTGCTGTGATGTCCTTTGCATTTGTCCCCTTACAAAGTATTTGTGAAGATAATTGCCCTTCAAAACCAACCATCCATATAAAATGAAAACAGTTTAAGGTAATAACAATTACACAAATGTATATACGCTATAAAAACCAAGATGGACAAACAAATACCAGAACAATAAAAGAACAAGAGCCGCCTGATCGTGAATTTAGGTGCTTTGTTCAGAATTTGACCACTACTCGGAGCTTAGATACAGGGAGGCTGTAAAAAACAAGCTCCAATGACATACGCTAACTGAAGCCTGCGCAGAGCTACTAGTTATCAGTATAAATGATGTCAGAGAACTTAAAAGTGATTAATAACAGCAAGTAATATAAACAAAACTTCATATTTAAGAAGTTGTGCCCAAAAAATGTTAGATTTTCCTTTTTTTAAGGCTGTATCTATGTAATCTATCAAAAGAACAAAAGGTTTCATTGTCTTGTTTGAAAAGCCCCCCTTCAGCGACTCCCAACTCCCCCTAACGCACACACACACACACACACACACACACACACACACACACACACACACACACAAAGACAGACAGATGGTCTGTTGCGCTGCTCATTCAAACTCGTGTGATCCTTTAATATTTGAACAGGACTCGCGGATACCCTGTACTAGTGGCATCAGCTCATATCCACACATACTGCAAGTCCCTGAAAGTGATAACAAACTATGAATCAATCCCACTGAGAGTTCTACAAAGACAGAACCCGACAACCTGAACTTCTGTGGCAAAATATGCATTCAGAGCAGCTCTTAAATCCAAGTCTTTAAATGCCCCATTTAGTTAAACAGGAGAGCTTTCTTTCAAAGATGGTTCATTCATACAAAGTTTCTACTGCATAAAAAACACAAACAAACACAAACAAAGGATGTTGTCATGACCAGACGGATAATCAAACAGAGAATACAGAAGTTTTAAGCTTTTTAAAGCAGCTGGCTCACACAAACAACGGTGCACATTCACAGCAATATTACCTTATATTTCCACATGGCATCAGCTGATCAGTTACTAATTTAATCTCAGTCCTGCTTTGTTTAGGCGTCTTTCACACTGACAACGCAGCTCACCTCGAGTCGGAGCTACAAAGAGCATTTCCAGGGGATTACACTGAATTAGGATTATGGGTTTGATAGCCTGCCCATCTCAACAAGTGGCCACAACACATTAAACCCAGACGTGTTTTTTGGCATGGTGAGTGTGAGCAATAATTAGTTCAGCCGTAACCGCCTCGCAAGCAGATGAAGCAAGACAACACGCTTTAGAATACTAGTTCACAAGCCCCAAGAAATGTCTCCACACTGATGCAACATGTCTCCATCGTTGTTGACAGTCATACTTACTCCTTTTTTCTTCTCGCCACTGGACACCTCAGCCGCCCTCTGGTACCTGCGTGAGAGACGGACACAACACTGACCTCTACTGCTTCAAAACAAAACCTCAACATGAATTTCTCCTTTGCAGAACCTTGCAAGGCATTCAGGAACCAAACAACTGAGAAAAGGAAGATTTCATTTTTTATTTTAGGTTTTCTTTAGCTCACAGTTTCTCTAGGTAAAGCTGTAGACATATTCTGTTTAATATAAAATACTAATGCAAATATTGAGATGTAAGTAGAACTCATTAATTTGAATGCTGAGGGAACCTAAATTCTCATGAACAGCATGACCAAACCCCCCCCAAAAAAAAGAAAACCGGATGTCACTCACTTGGAGAAGCGTTCGGCGATGGCATTGTTTTTCCCCCGGCCGCTGAGGGACAGCTCCTTCGCAGTGACGCGCAGGGACTGTGCTGCCCATGACCGTCGATTGAATGGACCACTTTCCATCTCTGGCAGCTATATAAATACCTGAAACACAAATTAAACCGCCATTAGCCATGATTATTACAATAACCACTGGAACTATTCCTCTCAGAATGACTTCCCAAACCTTTAACAAAGAAAAATAACCTTCAGGAAATCACATCACCTTCTGCTGAGCACCATCGTGGATTGTAATTTGTTTGCATCTTGTACACAGAAATTAAGATGTTTGCTTTTCCTCCGTCTATAGAATCATCTGACATCTAGAGGAGGTGATGGAAACTACCATTCTGACAGTAATGCAAAGCAAATTCACCGGGGACAAGAACCGTCTCTTCAGAGGTTTGTTGGCAGAGGGAAGGACCCATCTGCTGTCTGAGATCACTGATTTGCTCATTTGTAACATGCTCGCCATCAGTTGGCCTCTTGTCACAGCCAATAACTATACCTGACATGCATGCATAAGAGTGGTTGTCCATGTTAATAATCATACAGTTACGCATGCGAACAAACCAGTCAACACGTTCAAACTTGCTTTCCGGCCCGCGCGGCATGATTACAAGATGGAAACAGAAGTATGTGCACCATATCATTATGAGAGGATAACTCGCCACAAGCAACGTTAAAACAAGACCAAAGGCGGAAAAAAAAACACCCCGCAACTGTACGACATAACACACAGTCTTTCTTTAACTACGATCGAAACAAACCTACACTTAAATGCGTCCGACAATCCAATCATGAGCCTTTAATGCTGTTTCTGTGTCTGGATGGACTGTCAGACCATGAATACTCCTTTTAGCGCTCAGACAGCAAGTTACAACCTTGTGTTTAAGTCGCCACTGTGACTGACTCAGTAAATATTTCTCATGCGGGCCTTTTCACTCAGGCGCAACGATCACCACTCAGAGTGAAAGCGATACTGGTGACAAGATTTTTAACTAAACTAGTTAAACGGTTAAATATGGCAGCATTTAAGAGTTACCTGTTAGGTAAATTGAATGTGGAATCGAACATATGTTACAAATTAATAATATGTTATTACATCGAATTACATGTGTTTATATTAATGCATTGGCAAGTGTTTGTTTTTCAAGATGGGCAGGAGCAAATATTAGTGGGGCACAACACAATGATTAAGGAAGATTAATGTCATCCTGATTAATGTCCATGGCTCCAGTACTTTTATTAGGTTTCTTAATTCTGCATCGCCGTTAAGGCAATTTAGCTCCTCCCATCTGTTGATCAGTTTTATACTGCACTGTGTATAATTATTATTTAATGGCTGCCTGGGTTTTTAAGCACAACATAATTTAACTTGATGGCAATGCTGAAATAATTGATTCACTTCTCCTTTCCACCCTGTTTGATCCTTTGCAGGATATCAAACGAGCATGCAGTGCATGCAAGCATACAGGGACACACCCTGAGCTGGTCAGCAGTCCATTACAGGGAGAACACAATAGGAAGGAGGTTAGAGTCTTTTGCATGTCCCCAAACTGTTAAAGAAAGCCAACCAACTTCAGAGAACAGGGGGAAAGACATAAGCTACCCACAGACATTACGTCTGTTGAGAATCAAAACTCAAGTTCATCTCACTCATTCACAAGCGTGCAGCAAGAAGAGCGGAGGGGAGGAAGGGTTGTCTTCTGAAAAAACAAAACACATCAACAGATGCTTGTGATTTGAAGGTGAAAACAATCTTAGTGCTTTACATGTGGATTTATTTTGTATTGCCTGGTTTCTAGTGAAGACGGTGAATTGCCTTCTGAAATTAACAACATATCACATGGTCACAATTGGAATCAAAAGATTTAAATTGCCATCTACGTGTGCATAGATAATAGATATATTTACATTTAACTATAGTCGTTTTTGTTGAGTTTTGTCAATGTTTCACATTTAGAAGTTTGCAGTACTACTAATAATGAGCATCTAATCTTTTTGTTTGCTCAAAGGATTATTTGCTTTACCTCCCAACCTTCTGGCATGAATTCTACGAAAATATTAAACATCATAAATCAAAGCGAACAGAAGTCAGAAAATGTAAACAAAGGTGGTCTTGTTTCAGCCGGTGGTGACGTAGGGCCTTACACCATCAGATGCTATCTGATAAATGCACTTTATCACAAAGTGTTTTTTTTATCTATGTACTTTCGTCTTCATCACTCGTTGTCAGTTAAAGGTGGACACTGACCTTTAACCCTCGATTCAAGCCAAGTTTTCCTTTACACGAATCCACAATCAGATAGTGTGAGTCACGAATAAGGAGGAGTCGGCATTGCTTAACGACTTAAGACACAATCCAAGAAACCGAAAGAACAAAATCTATTAGTTTGTGTGAAAATAATTGATTTGAACTGAATACTAATGACTGAGACGATCCATTAAACAGACCTGCGCAGGAGCTCGGCAGCGTTTCTCGGGCGCGAACATGTTACTTGGCGTTAAGTTGAATTTCAGGTGTGTATTACACCGTTTGCATAATTTTAGAATCAGCGTTACATGTATACAGTAGTTATAACGTATACTTTCAGCCATCGTAGTGTCACGTGTAAGTTGGACCTTGGCCGAGGAATAAAAGGTGGAAACAAAAGCACACAACAACAACTGAGCAGCTGAACTGGTTTGACATCTATTCATCTCGAAAGACAGCGAGTCCTCTTGGAGCCCGAATATGTGATCGGCCGTAGCTATAAAACAAATCCAAACATCTACAGCCTCGTCGGAAATGTCTAAATTCATACATTTGGTACTTTATACAGCCCCGGCTCGCGTTAATTGCATGTATTTTCAGATCCTCGCTGTGTAGCTTACCTGTGCGAACTTCCGTTGCGACTCTTTTGGTGAAACCGGGACACCTGACACTGCGTCACCGCCCGCCCGCGCGCAGGGAACACAAAGGTGTCGTGGGAGTGGAGGAGCTGTGTCATGTGATTTTCCGCACCAATGACTGTAGGTGTTGCATTACCCTTACCTGGTACATTTATGCTGGTTTGAATGGGGGGGGCCCACATCCACCCACCCAAATTCCTGAGAAACTAAAGGCGATACGTGCTCGTTTTTCAGGTGAGGAGAAATTGATGTTAAGAAAAGTCAGTGGTGTTGTTGCCAGGTTTAAATGCAGCCATTGTTTTAATAATAACAATACTACACGTACTACTAACAATAATTATAATATACTTTATTTATACAAAGCATTTCGTCAACAACATGGAGATCAAAGTGTACGAGAAAGGGAAAAAGCATACTTACAATTGTTATATTTAATTTTAAAAGAAGATACTTCTGGTTCAGACATCCTAAAACAAGGATTGTAATATTGAATGAATGTGTGTCATTACTTACAAATAGACTGCCTGTTACATAGCTGCCAGAACAACAACACAACATTTTAATTTGCATAATGCTATTTGCATTATGTTTGCCTGTTAAATGAAGCCAGCTGGGTGCTGTGAGAAGGGGTAGCATAGTTATGATGGGCCCAGCACACGTTTCAACCTGTGCACTGTTCAAGCACACACACCCTGTTGTATATGTATTTGACCGACTATTATGTTGTACTATTACAGTCAAATGAGTTACTTTGGCAACTGTATTGGGAATGACTCTCTCTATGACCCTGAACTCTTTCTATATTTACATTCTATATTTAGATCACAGTTTTAATTTGAACTCTGTAAGGCCAAGAATTTTAGTCTGTGGAAGAGTCAAGGATTAGTTTTCAAATGAAATTTGAAATTCCTTGTATGTCTGACATATTATGGCAATAAATGTTTCCTGATTCCCGAAATGTTTCAGAGAATCTCCCAATCAATCCGTCAAGTTTTCTACATAAACCAAATGCAACATTAATAAACATCTTCCATTTAACTTCAGAAATCATTGATGTCATTATTTGTTTCATAATAGGACATGTTTTGGAACATATGATCATATTATCATAAACTATCCATGAGAGGCTTGACATTAATGTATTAACCTGGACAATTGTCATGGTATTTGAATCACATGTGGAATAGACTTATATAGACCATTCAATGCCAGCAAGGATTTTTTTAAATCCCAGATTTAATGTTGAAAAGCAAATAAATATTCACACATTCTGTGTGTTTAGATTATTATAAAATGGATCGCACATATGTTGCAATGCTTTTAAGTATCATATAAAGGTGACATCAAATATTTACTTCTTACACAGTCTACTAATTGTTTATTCTGCAAAGAATAGTGACCAAGGGGGTTTAGGACATGGACACAATTGCATCATAAAACCGTAAGCATTTATTAACAATATGTCAGTTTCCACCTTAATGTCAATGTGCGAGTCATAGCTAAGATGTTTTTCACATCAAAACAAAAGGCTTCAGCAAACACTTACAGTAAAACACAATACAAGACGATAAAATAAACAAATCCATTCCCAAAGTAGATAGGTGAAGATAGACAGTCAATGTAAGAGCCCATTTCCAAATTAAAATGCAATGCCAAAAAACATAAGTATGACAATTTCTAATTACATGGTTTCAGGTAAACCAACCATTACAAACAATGACGAAATTAGCTAAGTGCAAAGTAAATTCACAAAGAAATCCACACCGACACAATCGACGATTACGTCACCACCCGTTAAACGAGCATCTAGGAGGAGCTCAAACAGTAAAAGCCTTTACTGATTAAAACAAGGATAGCCATATTTGGGGGGAAGGGAATTATTTTTTATTTGGTGCAACGGACATTTCAGACAATCAAGAAGGTGGCGGATCGAGCAACTAAATCTGCCACAATGACTGCACGTCCCCGTTTCGTGTCTCGATAAGTGTCCACTCCTTCCTCCTCATCTGCGTCTTTCTAGTTGTCGTCTGAATCTGCTACAAATTGAGACAACGCCAGCTAGCTACACCACAACCAGATACGTGCGTTAAAAAAACAAGCCAAAACAGTACCAAGGATGGACTAACAAACACATTCATTTTTTGGCCACACTTCCAACCAACACGCTTTGCCGGCGGGGAGCTGGTGCAAGAAGATGACCCTTTTCTCTTGGCTTGAGGAGGCTTTGCCGCTGCGTGGGGGAGTGGGGTACATCCTGTGGCGTTTCCTGTGTTTGTAAACTAGACGGTCTTGAACAACGTCGTGGAGCTGAAAGGTAGATAAATATCTATTTCTCTTTCTTCAAAGTACCGCGAAACGCGTTTTTAAACCGTGCATTTAATTATCTGATACTTAACACGTAAACATTCCTGCTTGGAGATTGCAGAAAATGGGATTTTCCTAACAATACAGCGTCAATGTTGGCTGCTAGCTCGCTAACAAACGTTAGCTTAGTCGTCGGGAGGGGGAGGCACTCGCAACGACGGCCATCACGAATGTCTTTATCGCTCAATCTTGCCTTGAACCAGTTGAGCGTTTGTCTTCTAGTAGGGAAACGATGATTCATTGGTAAATTGATCAATATAGACACTCTCGAAAAGCGACTGTATCGAAACGATGACCAGGTGAGCAAAAAATATGCTCGATTAACGTTACTAACATTGCAGTGGGCGAGGGCGCCAGCGAGAAGCTAACGTTAGCTGGTTAGCTGATGTTAGCTAGCTAGCAAAACCGACGCTAGGTGTGTGTAATTACGAAGGCCTGCTCAATCACATATTTATTTGTAAAGCTATAATATGTAATATGACCACTTCTACCAGCAACTAACACAATAACAGCCAATATAACATGAAACAGCCTAGCCGTGGTGTATTTTAATTAGCGTTAGCCACAGCTAGCGTTATGCTTGGTGGCTATTTTCTTAGCTAACTGTGCTAGCCAGCTAACAAGACTAATGGCGAAAGCCATGTCGCGTTTAAGTAGATGGGTGTCCATCTGTCCCTCGCTAGACTATACGATAGCACACGAGCATCGTAGTTAATTTATACCTCAAAGAAAATAACATACGGAGTCAAAATGTAACGTTAGATCTCGAAGCGCCTTTAGAAAATGTTTCTTTGGGTAAAATAACGGCCTTCTCTTATCATGCATGTTTAAACCCCGGCAGATTCGCTCGGGTGGAGATAGTTTCCGTTATATTCCACGTTTACACGTTAAATAGCGTTTGCAAACCCCGTTCACCGCTAACGTTGCGTTACAACCACTCTGAAATAACTATTATATACCACCGTAAACTCAGCGTAAAATGTTTGAAACAAAAGTTTAGCTTCCACTGCACTGTAAAAAAAACCGCAACTGGGTGATGGATGTAATTTGTTTAATCACAAATAGCTATTCTATGAAAACACCAGCAGCAGACCCGCAGAAGTTTGTAGATTATCAACGATCCCGTTTTTAACACTGTATATGCACCTCTATTCGATGCCTTTCAAAGCTGTGTCGTCTTATTTAGATGTTATAAAGGAATGTCTTTGTCCAACTGCAAACTAAAATAACTCAACACTAAGTAATGTGTGTAGTAATGTGCAATACATTGGTAACCAATTACGATAACTGAATCGGACAATCCGCAGATAATTGCAGTTTATTAACCTTATTTTAAAATCTGCAGAGTAGTAAAAGCCTTCCAATGTCAATCTAACCAGTTTTACTTTTTTTCTGTATTGACTAGTAAATTTAGAACTTCTTCAAACATGTGGCTTTTTCTGCATGTTGAACTGTGTTGTGCATTTTAGAAACGTTTGTCTAATATTAACCCAATCAACTAAATAGGGTTTGCAAAGTCAATATGGCGTAAGTTGACTATTCGTTTGGGGATTTTTTTTTTTTTTTTCATTTTAAGAATATTACTTTGTCATCAATGATGCTGATACATGGCCCGTACTTTGCTTGGCTGTGCTGTAGATATTTTTTCACCAGATTTTTCCCTTCCTAAATTTTGGTGCAGTTCCCTCTTGTCTTTTATGTTTCATCTTCTTTCCCAAGTCCTACAAACCAATAGGAATTTAGGTGCTAACATGGTTATTTCACCTGCTTTACTCAGGTGTACTTTGTGGTTGGTTTGTCTGAGTGCCGTTTACTGCTAGTTGTAGTGTTTGGTATCTGAATTTTAACTGGCTGCAGATTCATAAGGAGGAATGCACTCGCTGAAAGTAAAGTCTGATGATGATTCCATCTGCTTCATTGGTCATGTATTCAGTAAGGGAAGTGTTACGGTTTTACAACGGGGTCCCCACTTACAGCTATTTGTGAGCGCTACAAAAACACAGTGGTGATACAACAAAATTTCGTCATTTTGCAAAAAAGGCTAAAAGATTGACATTTGTCTTACACAAAGATGTATTAAGAGTAACCAAGCATGAATTGCAACTATGAAAGTATGCAAATTAATGAGTCAATTATTTTGTTATTGCCTGTTACCCTGGTACTTATTGGGTAGGACCACCATTTGTATTCCAATCACAACTCTGTTAGGGGCAAATTACTTACTATTTTTCAGGAGCAAATAATTGGGGGTGTCTGTCAATTGCTTAGCATGGGTAGCACCAAAAAGAGTAAAATGTTCCACAATATATACATCATTATTATTTACCACGAACAGTAACCAAGCCAAATCTACTAATTTTACAAGTGAATAATATTTGTGTTAATATTTTGCGCCGTTTACGTGTCATTGAGGGAAATTTCTACCATAATTGGACTTGTCAAAAAAAACAGCGAGTGATTGGGTTGTCATTTAATGCTTGTCTGTTTCATCCACCTCCTCCTCTTCCTCAGTTTTAATGCTAGATGAGTGAGGTGGGTGTGGCTTCCCACCAGCCCGACCATCCTGACTGACCATCCTGACTGACGGATCTCTGGATGACCTTGTCCCACCCCCTGTCCCTGCGCTCACATACACCACAGCAATGTCACATCTGCCCAGCAGCTCAGTCCGCGACCATATGAAATGGGTTGGTTTTTAAGAACACCAAAGTGGTTACAAATAACTTTCCTTACAGTCTTGTGTCACTCAGGATGTTGTCGTTGATTACTACCGTGGCAAATGCCACGTGACTGACAGTGTTGTCTAAGATGCAAATACTTTCAAATTGAAGACTATTAAATGGGCGATACAGATGAAAAACATACTCATCTTTTTCTTTGCAGGCGGGGCTGCTTGGCTGTGAGGCTGTCCTCTCCAGCATGGCACTGATGCAGGCTAGTTCAATGGCTGCTCCGCCCAAAAAAATGATGGCCCCCCTTGGCCATGGACCCCAGCAGAGAGACGGACCCGACCGGGCTCCCCAGGGCCATATGATCATCCCATCCGGAATGAGCTGTCCACCCCTGGTTAGGACCAACTTCGGAAATGTAGAGTGGAAATTGGGCTGTTATATGCTACTATATTACTATTGTGAAGTGTGTCAATTTGTTATGAGGTTGAACATTTTTGTGTGAAAGAGCTTAATCCCTAAATGTGGTCATGTGGTCATTGATTTAAAACAACCCCCAGTTCCACTTGTATTTGTTTAACTCAAGAATCGGAACGTGAGTTGTCTTGTAAATAGAGAAAAAAACAATTCACATAGTGACCCCCAGGCTACACACAAGGGAAAATAGTTAGCTTTAGAATTACCACATATCTTTTGGCCTCATACCTACACAAACAAAAGATTTGTTATTTATACAAACTGAAGATTGCATTGATGATATTCCTCTAAATTATTCAAATTGTTATAAATGAAATACATACATTTTAATCCTGGTTTCTTCCAATGGCTGGGGCAAAAATAAGCATACAATAGAGGTTCTCATGTATCACTTGATTTGTCACGTTGAAATAGTTTTTTTTAAAGGCTGCACATCCGAAATCTGGAATTAATTGATATTTCTCTCCTTTGTAGCTTATCCGGAAGGACGGTGAATTCCAAGCTCCCCGCCTGCTGGATGAGAAGGAGATGAGAGCCAACGAGGACATGCAGCAGAAAAAAAAGAATAGGAAATCAGTAACGCCCTGCAAAGTGAGAGAACAAGAAGGAAGGGGAGGGAAGGTCAGTGGCTGTGGTGGCTAAATAGAGAAGGGTCTATTAGGTGAATTTTTATTTTTCCTCCGTACATATAATGGGCACTTAGCTGTTGGCACACATTTTTGTGTGAACACATTTAACTTTATACAAGCGCGCTTTACTTGGAGCTTTCATGTGCTCACATTTTGTTTGTGTGGGGGTGGGGGGAGGAGTTCAGGGAAGATGTAGAGGGGGTGGAGGATCTCTAGAGAGGAAAGAGGGGGAGGGGAGCAGAGTGAAGCGGAGCACAATAACTGCAGTTGTGTGCATAACAGGGGGAGCAGTAACATGAGGGCATTAGGCCATTAGAAGGGATTGTGGGGTATTTTTCAATTCAAATGTTAATTGCATTTAGAAAAAACCCTCAAAACCTTTCTGTCCTGTTCATACAAAATATAAATGGGTTCTACAGATAAACCATTTAACATATAAAAGGAAAAAATAGGATTTGCTTGCCACGTCTTGAGTGAAGTCATAGGCCGTACGTTGAAATTACACAGGAGTTTTAGATTTTCATCAAGTTCTGACCAGTTGTGGGTGGGAATGTTATTTCTAAACTGGAATGTTATTTTTTAAACTGGCATTTTAAAAAAAACATTGAACCATTCTTTTTACTATCCTCAATAGGGCACAGGTGCAGATGAGAATGGTCCGTCATCCAAAGTGCAGAAAAACTTTATTTGTGATCACTGTTACGGAGCATTTAGGAGCGGATACCACCTGAAGAGACATATCCTCATTCATACAGGTATGGGTAATGCTTGGAACAAGTTGAATTTACAGTTAAGCCAAAAACAGCTTTAAGTGCTTGACTACGTGAATCATTTGTTGAAAAAGGCCCTGAAAGTTTATGTTGGATTTCATCTAGGAGTGTGCAGCAACTGTAAGGTTTTGCAATGGCCTACTTGAAAACCATGTTTGGTAACTAACAGCTAATTGGTGGTATCTGTGGGGACTTTGACTAAAACTGGTGCTCTTCGGTTTAGGGGAGAAGCCGTATGCTTGTGCCGTATGTGACATGAGGTTTATTCAGCGTTACCACCTGGAGAGACACAGCCTCATTCACACGGGTATGCGTCCTTCAACCGTACCCATTTTACATAAATCAGGCTACATCTGTAGTCTGTCACTTCAACAGACAGATGCTCAGGGTTCATTTTGTCTGTGGACAGTAACTTCCAACAAAGCCACTCCCCCCAAATCTGTTCACCCCAAAACATAAAGAACAATACATTGTTAAATATTTCTCTACCATTACCTGTAAAATTTGCAACGTGCGGTCCAGTAGTCCTGAGTCCACTATTAAAAACTGGTTTCACCCTTTGACTGGCATCAGTTGTAGAAATGCTTGCATGATTTGCGCCTATATTATTTGAGTGGAAGAACTGTAGTAGTCACATTTCTTTCTCCAGAATGCTAATGGGATTGAGCGAGTAAAAACAACCCTCGTCTTGATTTCAGCTGAGATACCGTGGCTTTGTTGAGTTTTGTTGTTCAAATGTTTTTTACGCGTAAAATAGGAGGTTCATATATATTTGTGTTGCTGGGTCCTGTAGATGTCAGATTGAGACTCTGGAAGCAAGAGTAACTACCCACCAGGCTAATAATCTTGGATGTCCTGCTGCACAATCTATCAACACCTACAACGCTAGAACACAGCTAGTCTACACAACAAAGCAGTACACATCAGACCGCCCACGCTGTTTGACCATCTGAATTACTTCTGTTGAAACAAACTGGCCGCAGCCTTCTTACTTTTTTAGAATGCCGACAGTAGCGACACACAGACGACCAACTTCATTTTGATCTTTTCCCCTGTTGAAACACCTAAATAATTCCCACTATGTATTAACAATTGTCAACTATATTTCAACATTTTATTTTCAAAAAAAGTTCTGGAAACGAGACTTTTTGATAGTGGACTTGAAAGTGGACTCAAATTTGGGGACCCCATGAGAAAGCATCATGCACACTAAAGACATGCACAATTTCTATGTTTCATTTAGTCATGTGTTTCAATTATTACTCTGTCAGTCATAACAACTGCATGGACATCAAAGGACTATGTTCGTAATTTGTTATGCAACATGAATATTAAGGACCTAATATCTCTGCATAGTGCCAATCTTTGCATTGCACTTTTTCACACCAAATTCTTTGTTTTTCATTGTTTAAGAAGTGTACACTGTGGGTAAGTCAACTTCCAAACTACTTGTTTTTCCAAGTCAGTACCTCCCGCCCAGTATTCACCAAAAGAAATGCGCCAATATTAAACTAATATAGCTCAGCTGGAATCATTTATATTTAGCATTAATTTAATTTCAATATTCCATAAGATTAGGTAGGCAGTGGCTCTTTGTGGCATCACTGTATCTGTAATCTGTATCTGTTTTCCACATAATACATTTTGTGATTTTCAATTTTTTCTTAATAGACTGAATAGCTGATAATTGTATGCTCTGTGTGTGTGTAGGGGTGAAGCCGTACGCTTGTTCCATGTGTGACATGCGGTTTTTCCAGCGTTACCACCTGGAGAGACACAGACTCACTCACACGGGTATGCGTCCATTAACCGTACCCAGTTCAAGTTAAGAAACCTTTTTTTATCTTCATCAGGTAGTGTCGTTTAGATCGATATTTCTTATTCGAGAGGCGCGAGCAACAAATACACAATCTGAACAACCATCAAACCACACACCACATGAAGCTACAGGCCCTTTTTATGCTTTGGACTTATCCTTGTGAAGTGCAACACAATGCTTGAACAGTCATCTATTATTAGTAGCAATTCATAAGCGTGTTAATTACCCCGTAGTAAGGGTGTTGACCTTTTTAAAAACTTAAAAAAAAAAAAAAAATATATATATATATATATATATGATAGATAGATAGATACACACATTATGTGGACCCTCAAAGTGTATTATCCCTCTTGTACCATTGCTGCTCAACAAATGTATCAAAAGATTTAATTTTCCATGTCATGGTTATTCTCTTAGGATATCGTTACGGGTGCTTTACCATGTCAGCACAACTGAAGAGATTAAAATGGCTATAAACCATCATACATAGTAGCTTACATTACTTTATTAATCAATGTATACAGAACAGTCATATTTTAAGTGGCAATGATCCCATCGCTACAATGTAGTAGTATTCAGTTTATTTCTAGGATAAAAATTTGATTCCGAGGAGGCACACACAGGTGACTATCTTACCCAGGAATTTGTTCGTGAATGGCTTTACTAGACTGCAAATAAAATTCAGCATTCTATCACTTTGTGCCCTTCTGCCTGCTGCATCCACACTGAAGTAGCTTATTAACTTAGGCCATGGTATATTATGGATATAGTCCTTTGATGTCCACACCTATTGAAAATGCAAATTAATGGCTGCACAATTGGCTGCGCCTTAGCTGTAATTGCTTGACTTTTTAAATGGACATTTTGATTCTATGGTTGCAAATTTGTGGAGATCATCAGAATAGAAGCTTCATTGAAAATTGAGGCACAGCATCCCTTTGGAGTGCGAGAAATCAAGCACATTCAAAACATTTCAGAGAAACACTAACAAGGCACCCTGAATCCAATTATAATATATGAGTTTTATAAATGCTAAATGAGATTCTACTTGCAGAAAGTTGCCATGAACATGCTTGCCACAATGCTAAAACGTGTGTTCTGCTTCGGCCGGCCTGTGTGATCACCGACATAGATGTGTCTTTGCTATCTTGCTGCTGATTTGTTTGTCCTGTTTAGTCGTGCTTGGCTTTTATCCTGTTGCTGCTTTCGTTATATGATGTAATCCAGATTGTTTGAAAATGCTCCTCATAACAGACACTTAATTAGTTTTAATTGGTGAAATCGATCGTGCCTTCGCCTCAAGCTTGAAGGAATGTGTAATGTCTGCCCGGTCCTAGTGATGTCATGCCTGTAAATTATGCTTCCATTTGATGCTTAAGCAACGTCTTAGCTAACGTGTTGATACTTTGTGTATGTAGGGGTGAAGCCGTACGCTTGCTCCATGTGTGACATGAGGTTCTTCCAACGTTATCATCTGGCAAGACACAGCCTCACTCATACCGGTATGCGTCCGCTTAGCCGAGCTCATTAGGTGGAAGTGCCGTAACTCATTGCCGTGTAAACGGGCCACCACTTTATAGTACCCACATAGTCAGAATCATGAAGATGTATCCATTTATTTACAACTTTAGCTTTTTCCTTGCCGAATACTCTACTTAATTCAGCACAATCATTTAATCATTATTCCATATTTGTGAAGATTTTTTAGTATATTTTAAACAAGGGTTTATAAAAGGTATTAGTTTTTCTAGCTAGTGATACAATGTATAGAGGAAATAGTAGTGTCTTTCTAAGGGAAGGGTTGAGGGTTATGTGTTAAAACAATTTTTTTGACTGTTTCTAGCTCATTTATATACCTTTTTTATGTGTGTAGGGGTGAAGCCATACGCTTGCTCCATGTGTGATATGAGATTTTTCCAACGCTACCACTTGGCAAGACACAGCCTCACTCACACGGGTATGCGTTCGCCCTTCTTTGCAACATTACAATATACAAATGCACACTCTACTGATGTTCATCTGCTCTTTCCTCAAAATATTCACGAGTATGAAGTGGTTTTAGCTGATGGGGCATGCTGGAGTTTTTGCATTAACATTTTACGGCTTTATTTCCCAAAATTACTCCATTGGTATTTTGTCGTAGTAGCACGGGACCGGTAATACAATTTCATTATTTAGCGTCTACAAATAGAACCATATAGTGATGTCTTCCGATATTAAGGTGTTATGCACAATTACAGGGTTTAACTGGCAAACACATACCAACAAAAATAACGTTAAATAAAATAATGTGATTATAACTATGTACATGCATGTAAACATAGTTTGTATGAGGCTGAAAATATATTTTTTTCATCTATATAACTAAAACAGTTTCATATTGCCTCCAAATTAAAATGGGAAAATACTCAGTTCTCATTTGCGAAGTATATTTAAGTCACGCAGGTATAACAATGGTATCCGGTCTCTCCTCAATTTGCAATACCTGTCTGCATTGAAAAGCTGCACTGAATTAAGCGATACGCCGTCTTCATTGAGGTCCCCCTTTCAGGCATGTTGACAGATTAGAAAATGTTGACTCCCATGAATTCAGTGTTGCGTCATTCTGGTGCCACTGCTTTTGGCACATCTAGATTAATAAGAGAGTTAGTGCTGTTCATTGTGTTGTTTTTTTACAAAATATTGTGCTCTGTGTGTGCAGGGGTGAAGCCATATGCTTGCTCCATGTGTGACATGAGATTTTTCCAGAGATACCACCTGGCAAGACACACACTCACCCATACGGGTATAAGTTTTTGTTTATTCCTTTCACTTGACAATATGGGGCCTTGTAGAATATTACAATTTGTTTTCCTTGCTTTTCTAACTGCTTTTAGGGGTTGACATTAAACGTTTGTATAGACACTAGTTGGCCAAGAAAGTAAATGAGAGCGTATAATGACATAACAAGTGGCCAGTGTGTAAGATAACATTGTGTGTACATGGTTGAGAACCGTTTTCTAAAGTTTGGTACTGTATGCGTTTAGGGGTGAAGCCGTACGCTTGCTCCATGTGTGACATGAGGTTCTTCCAGCGTTACCATTTGGCAAGACACAGCCTCACTCATACTGGTATGCTTGAATTATTTGTTCTCCTTTCACCATGAAACCATTCATACAACAACCTACTCATTTTTGTAAATTGATTTGTCCTTCTATATTTACAATACCATAATTATGCCATTGTTGATAATCTCCCCTTCTATAAAATGTTTAATAGAAGTTTTAGGCTTTGTTGGAAAACTGTCCACAAAAAAAGTGACCCTCTCTGTCATTTATGATGTTCTGTGGTTAACACTGTAATGGTACCAATGCATGTGAATTGAGTAATTTGTTGCATATCCAATCAAAGGCACATTACACTAAAAAGAATTTTAAATACAGGCACCAATACGCTGAAATTATACGCAAAAGAAGCTTTCGTTTGTCAAGATTTAATCAGGCAAAACTTTTAGCGAGCTTGACTCTACTAATTAGTGCATTTTGCACATAGGGTAAAAAGCTTAATTATGCAGCCTGATCATCAAGCAGGATGACTGAATATCACTCGAGCTGGTTCAAACGGTTTCCCCGCTCATGGCGATGCACCTTAACTCTGCACGTTCTCACTCTTTTTTGTGTAATGTCTCTGACTGAACCGTATGTGAAAGAGTATTTGACATTAAACAGCCTGGAAGATTTTCTTTGTGTCCTTTTTTAAATCCTGCATCAGCTCCCTGAAATGCATCTAACCTTCTTGTGCTCTGTCTAGGAGTGAAGCCGTATGCGTGTACCATGTGTGACATGAGGTTTATACAACGTTACCAGCTGGAGAGACACAGTCTCACTCATACAGGTATGTCCTCATTTTATACACCCTCTCTTTTGCGGACTTTGTTGTGCATGTGCCCCACGTCAATGTTTACATGGTCGCTTCAAACTCGAGTTTGTATTGTTTTCTGTCACTTTATTGCTTCCAGCTAATGTTTCATGCCGCATCTACACAGAACCGATAACAAAACCTCCTCCCATACTTTATACATGAAATGACGACATGACCACGAGCTAGAAGTCTTTGGTCAGTGGTTTTGATCATTTATTTTTCTAAAAACTTAAGTACGTGCAGCTTTAAAAATCTCCGCAAGCCAAAAGCTAATTGACTGGTTACATTTGTCCTATTTAGACATTCTTTGTGGTTGAATCCGCTCGAGTTAACTAGTAATTACTAGCACTTCAATTGTAACGGTGATGGCGTCTGTGTTGCAGACTTAACTGCTCATTATGATCCATTCTCTCAATTTTGATACACATCAGAAACTATTTCTGCGATTGAAGAAAGTTAAAAATAAAAAGTTCACATCATTAATAATGATGAGCTTCTTGGGGAAAGTTCAGATGGTGTCTCAAAAGATTCTAACCTATAACTATTAGATCTGTAACTGGAGAAAGCAATAACCGACTACGCAGCCATGTCGTTGTGTCATTTCATTGTCAAAGTAATGATGGGAAAATACTGTTACTGTTATGAATAGTGTGATTCTTTTTTATTTTTATTTATATGAAACCGTTTGACGTGAGAATATTCTGTCAGTTTACAGTTGAAGGTTAAACAGTTTTTTACTTCATTCACCAGCTAAGTTTTTTTATGATGTTTTTAGAGCAGTTTCCTTTTAATATTGACCCATTTTCCCAGCTAACTGGTTAGTGTGTCTGAAAACAAATCTTAATGTGTTGTGCCTAGTTTTTTACCAACTGCCTAAAATAGTCTACGAACTGTGATCAGTATTACCGTAACCCGAGTATTTCCGTTAACACGTTCATTCTAGTAATCTGTATGTGAGATTTGGAATTAAAATTTTGAAATCAAGCACTTATTGGCATCATGTAAAAAACATATATTGTGTTAGTGTGAATCTTTGGTTTTGCCACAATTGATTATCTGGTCGTTTCATGTTTTTGTAGATATGGAAATAAGTAAATTTTTGCTTTCTACACAGGATATTTCCACTTCCCACAATTTCCAATTCTGGCCTTTAGACTTTAGACAGTTAAAGTTGGACTTGGATCAGATGTGAAAATTACACCGGCAATTGGAATAACCGATTTCTTAAAGCATACTGGAAATATCCAGTGTAGAGAAAGCACTGATAAGTGCAACTAAACTTTACTAAGCGATTAGTAAAGTTTCCCGTCGATCGTTTTTGGCAGTTGAGTGTCTCATGCTAAAGTTGGTACTTTGTGTGTGTGTAGGGGTGAAGCCATACGCTTGCACCATGTGTGACAAGAGGTTTTTTCAGCGCTACCACCTGGCGAGACACAGCCTCACTCATATGGGTATGCGTCAGCCATCTTAACCCAGTCACAAGATTAGGATGCAACACATGTGTGCTTGAGTTAGGTTATATATTTATGAGACTATTTGTATTTGAACAAATTCTAAGTGTAATATCAAATAATGGCATCATCCTCATGTGTTGTGCAGGTGGATTTTATATCCATTCTGGGAATTCCGTAATTTGAAACCGGCATCTAATCATATTGTACCTTTTTTGTAACTAATGTTAGGGGAATGACATTGGTTATTAACCACCGATATCCATTTAGTCCAGATTCATACTGTTAACTTCTATAATAGGAGTACAGATTTATTCATTTTACCATCATGACGGAGACCCACATTTAATTCTCTTGATGCTTTGGGTTTAGGAGTGAAACCTTATGCTTGCACCATGTGTGACATGAAGTTTTTTCAGCGTTACCACCTGGCAAGACACAGCCTCACTCATACGGGTATGCGCCCGTGCACCGTGCCTGTGACATTCACTGTTAGAGATCAGTGTGGACATTTGATTTTGTTAGTTCCCTTTAGACATGCGCCTGTTAATTCAAAAAATATTTCAATATGAAGTTTTATAGTCTGTTACTGGCATATTTGATTTTGGTAACTAAACTAAAATGGTAAAAACCTTGAGGGGAAATATTTGAAAGTGTTTTTTCTTCTTTGGCATGGATTGGCAATTGTGTGGTTAATAACCAATAGCGTTAATTTTAATAATTAAATAAAAAATGCAAATTGAGGCAAAGTATTATAATATTGCTACTTTGCATTTAGGTGTGAAACCTTATGCTTGCACCATGTGTGACAAGAGGTTTTTTCAGCGCTACCACCTGGCGAGACACAACCTCACTCATATGGGTATGCGTCCGCACACCTTACCCATGTCACATCATGTTAGAGACAGTCAGCCATCTACGGTAGCAACCAGTGCTCTTTACAAGTATTATTCCATCAGGCCTACCCTGCCTTAGTTCGACGCTAGTCTCAATGTTTAAATAGGACTGCAACATCATCAGCTCATGTGATGTATTAGGCTGTGGATTTGAGATTTGGTTCTTACACTTGGATGTATCTTTCATTGGATTTAGAGGAAAACAAAGAATGTTTCTTTTTAAAGGGACATTTCAAAATGATTGAGAAAAAGTGTTTAACAACCCATCAATTCTAAGAAGATACTCAAAGTAGGGCTGCACGGTAGGGCCAAAAATCCTGACGGTATCCCGGTATCTGACGGTATTTTCTTTTTCAAGTAAACACATGTTCATTTACCCCGAAAAAGACCGCTGGTCAACTTGCTCGCAACTGGCCGGAGAGTTAGCGTGTTAGTTTGTTGGCTTGTTAGTGTTACCTTGTTGTGGCTGCTAGTGCCGCCACAGGAGGCTCGACAAGACCTTGCAATAAATCGTTTTCTGAACTAACTTACGTTGGATTTTCCAAAACCAAAAACCCTCCAAACACACACAGCTCCTCTCTTAGGCACAGGTTGTGTTCTCTGGTATCTCGATATTCCTCCTTTTATCGCTCTTTTTTTTTTTTGTGTTTTCATGTAGCAACAGAGTTTCTTCTTGTTGTGAGCTGTACCCAGCATGCAATTCGGCGGGGTAATTTTTATAAATGTACAATTATTAGTGTTACAAATTGTGTCACAAGCTGTTGTGTCGTGGTGTTTAACCTGTTAAAGAGTCTTTTGTTGTGGGTTATTCATTGTTGTTATAACCATGACTCAATCTCAACACACGTAAGACAAGTAGCTCCGACCGCTCAGCGCTCCTCCATGACGTGTAAAAAAAAAAAAATTCTGCCGCCTGCTGAAGAGCAACGTCAGTTGTTACGGCGTCACACCGGTATGAACGGTACGTGAGAAATTCATACCGTACGGAAATCTTATATCGGTACCGTGCAGCCCCAACCCAAAGTTCATGTTTCATTGATGGATTGTGAACACAAAGTCTGAAAATAATACCCTAATGCTCTGCGTTTAGGTGTGAAACCTTTTGCTTGTACCATGTGTGACATGAGGTTTGTTCAGCGTTACCACCTGGCGAGACACAGCCTCACTCATACGGGTATGCGTCAGTGCAACCGCCCTTCTCACACTTTGTCGGCCATCATTGCAAAGTCTTTATTGTGTTTTAATCAGCAACGCAAACCGTATCAACACCGATGTCTAATTGCTCAGGTAGTGAAATTAGTAGCTGTGTTTAAAGCTTTAATGAAAATCTAAAAAGGCAGTAAAAGCCAATAAAACTGACACATTTGGCCCCAATCTTCTTTAGTAACCATAGTTCTTAGAAATCTCTTCATAAAATGACGTTGCTGAATGGTCTCCGTCTTATATTTATTACTGAAATGTCAACTGCTTGAATGTACAAATATGTTGTCATTGAAATGTGCTTTTACAGACACTGATAAAACAAAATATGATTTCAATTTCGCTTTAGTCAATAGACTATTAACATGAGGCACAAAAAGGTTTAGAAGGAAATTGGTAGAATAAAAATCATTTTGGTGATGTAGCTCAAATGGTCAGTTGATTAGTTGCCTTTGTTGGCACCTGGATAAGTGTTACATGACGGCAAAATTAGTTACACTTATTTGTTCATGCATGAAGTTGCAAATGTGTGGTTAATAACCAATAGCTTAGGTAGTTCGTAAAGAATGGAAGTTGAGGCAAAGTATTATAATATTGCTACTTTGCATTTAGGTGTGAAACCTTATGCTTGCACCATGTGTGACAAGAGGTTTTTTCAGCGCTACCACCTGACAAGACACAGCCTCACTCATATGGGTATGCGTCCGCACACCGTGCCCATGTCACTGAGATCAGACTGCAGTTACATTATGTCAGAGGGCCTCAGGCAATTATTCACCTATAAAAGTAACACCTTGCATGTTTTTCTTGATCAAGACTATTCTACATTTTGTGTGTAACTGCAACATTAAAACAAGTCTCCACATGTAAATAAATACAGGACTTTGACATCAGCTCATGTGATGTGTGAAGTTGTGGATTTCAAAATTTGACCAACACAGTTTGATGCATTGCCAATTGGATTCAGAGAAAAGCCAAAAAAACTCCACACCATCTTTCCTTTACATATAAAAGTGGTTTAACAACCCATCAATTGTAAATCGATGTCTGCGGTACTGATTGATTGGATTGTGAGACAGAAATTAAGTTCTGTAAATAATCTATTGATCTGCGTTTAGGTGTGAAACCTTTTGCTTGCCCCATGTGTGACATGAGGTTTGTTCAGCGTTACCACCTGGCGAGACACAGCCTCACTCATACGGGTATGGGTCCGTGCACCTGCCCGTCTCACACTCCTTAGATCACCATTCAATCACCAGAGTGCTGATAATAGCGGTTAATATGTGTTATTCTTGTAGGGGCTCCTATTGCAGATGATTCAAATTTAAATTGGTAGTATTTACTCTTTATCTCTATTCTTTAGGTTCACTTATTTTGTATGATGAAATACTGTTGCCCTCTAGAATTGTTGGCGAATAGCCTCCCACCTCCTTCCCCTTAAACTACTTTTGTCTCAATATAGATGCTGTTTGTGTGAATCATAAAGGCCACTATTTAAGTTTCCATTTATACTCAATCTGTAAGGACAGATTCAGTTGATTATTGATCAATCCTGTGCAATCTCTTTTTATTGTTGAGATATGAGTTACATTTTACAGTATAGGTGTATTCTGGCGTGCCAATCAAGAACTATAGTTTGGATGCAAAGGGCTGAGTGTTTGTAGCTGGGATGAAATTTCCACTATTGTGACTAATTGCACAACTCCTAGTTGCAAGTATTTGCATAATGTATTGCTGGAAATCAAGTAAAGAATAAAAACATATTTTAAAGTAATCGCCTTTCCAGCACATTTGGGCAGACGTGGTCATTTAGATAGATGATATAATATTGTGAAAATTATTTATTTCCAGAAATTTAGATTTTATAGTTTAGTTTGATTATCTTTTGTTAAAGAAAGTCCATACAGAAGTATAATAGCTCTAAATGTGGCCCTCTAGAGTCAGTCAGCATAACAGAAAAACACTATACTCTAAGTTCCTCACAATTGTTTCTTTGTGCAGCTTTTTAAGGAAGAATGAAAATGGTTTAACTTTAGCAGTAGATAATTGCTTGAGGAAACCTAATAATTAGAACGATCAAGTCCAGATAAAAAAGAAGCAAATGTTAAATTCCAAAGTGAGGGTTTTTGTTTATTCAGATCAAACCAACATTAATGTTATGACAGATCTTGGTGTTTGCCTTGAAACCAGTTAGGTTTAACTCATTATGTTCAACTCTCAGTTAAACTTTTTAGCTTTAGTTGCATGAACATTTGTTTTCGTCAAAAAGTAAATTCACTCTGCATCAAGTACAAAGAAGTGCTCAGCTGTTATCTCTGTCCGTGTTTCAGTCCCAGTGCTCGCTCTACAGTTGTGTTTCTTGCTCTTGTGGCTGACGGGGCTAATGCATTGCTCTGTGTGTGTAGGGGTGAAGCCGTATGCTTGTTCCATGTGTGACATGAGGTTTATTCAGCGTAACCACCTGGAGAGACACAGCCTCACTCATACGGGTATGCGTTCCTTTCCCGTACCCTCATCACCGAGAACAGGGCTCACAACAAACTCGAGTTTGGATTGTCACGTCATTTGATGGGATGTTGAACCAGCCTCAAAATACTCTCCCCAGTTTTCGGGGCCACCATGTTGCGTAGATCTGGGCCATGACAACATGAAATTCCACTCTGATCTACACATAATGAGTTGATGACGAGGCCTTTTGAGAATATCAATCTTGAGATGCTGAAACTACAATGTTGAAACATACTGATAGGGCAATTGTCCCCCTGACTGTTTGTCAGTGTTGAAAATATAGTTTGTAAATAGAGATTAGTAAGTGAAAATTGCACCCAGTTTTGTTGGTATGCAACGCTAAAATTGATTGATTGACTGTGTATTTGTGTGCTCTTTCAGGAGAGAAGCCCTTTGCTTGTGACATGTGTGATATGAGGTTTATCCAGCGCTACCACCTTGAGAGACACAAGCGTGTCCATAGTGGGGAGAAGCCTTATCAGTGTGAACGGTGCCAGCAGGTATGCACGACTGTAACAAGCCAGCAGAGTGACCCGAGCGGTGTGCTCGCGCTATCCATGTACTGCTAAACAAATTCACTGTGTTTCATTCGAACGTGTAAAATGAACAATATGAAGAGTGATTTTTGTGACGTTTTTACAATTGTTTTTATTACTACTGAAAAATTATTTCTGCCTGTATTCACGTGAATTATTGTACCGAGAATCGATAATAACTGACGTCCTATTTTGTGTGTTTTCGAAAGAACTTCTCGCGGACAGACCGGCTGCTGCGACACCGGCGGCTGTGCCAGGGCCGCGGCGTGGCCAAGGTGGAGAACCAGCCGTGCTGCGAACCGCGCCCGTACGGCCAGGAGCCCCCGCCCGCGCCCCCCACCTGGAGCCCCCTGCACCCCCCTCCAGGCCGACTGGCGGTCTGACATTCCACCTCCTCTGCACCCACAACACCGCCGGAGACGGGACACGCCAAAGGGTTTCTTCTTTTTCTCAGCGCCGTGCCGAGTGATGCCACGCTCGAGCGCAGGCTGATCTCGCAGCTCCAGTCTCTGGATTTCTAATGACAGTGACATTTTTTTGTTTTTTGTTGACTTTTTACTGTGTTTTCTTTTCTCTCCCACCACCCCCTTGTTTCCTGTTTTTTTAAAGACAAGACTTTTCTGTGATGAACAGTTGTCCTGTTTTGTACTTTATTCTATTTGATTTTTGCAACAAAAGAAGGTTTTATGGTTGTTCAATATATCTGCGTCCGGTGGTACTCTGGGACGGCTGTGGGTGTTTATCCTGACGCGTTAGCAAAAAAATGGAATGATGAAAGTATTTGAACCTTTTTTCTTTTTCTTTTAAAAAAAAATGTCTTCATGCGACTCCTTTTGACCAAGGTCCATCTATCAGGTCTGAATTTATCATACTGAACTTTCCTGACAATTAAAGAAAGGGAACTGATCACATCTCATGTAGACCAAATCTCGCTTGCCATTGTCGCTAAGATAGTGCTAAGCATTAAGACATTTCACTGAAAGCAGTGTTTGGTCTAAATATGATTTGGACATTAGTATTTCCCTGAATTCATCAACCTAGGACTTGGTTTTAATGATTTCTTTGTGTAGATAATTCAAAATGCTTATTTCACTATGGGACTTAAGTGCTGAATTCTTTTTTGTTCACAAATATGGCGAAAAACAAAAGGATCATTAGACTGTTTCAAATACGATCCCACCCTTTTAAAGAGGAAACCTGAGAAACCTTTTTGAGTGTTTTTTTATAAAAAAAAGAAAATATGGGGGAAAAAAAGGTAGTATCAAACATTGCTTCTCAACTGTAAACCTGAACTTCCAAGACGGGGACTGAGGGAGCGAGCCGGGGGGCTCTGTCTGGCATGAGGGGTCGGGTCACGGGAGACGGCGCCACGGCTCATGTTCGGTTGTGTGTCTGTGATGTGCACGGGATGGCAGCAGCGGCGCGTCGTGCTCCCACACTAACCGACTCATGCCATTGTGCGTTCATACAGTGTGTATGCAGAGATCTGCATTACTTAACAGAACGGCGTCTCAACTTGCTCTGTCCATAGATTCTGGTCTCAAATAGCACAGGTTGGCCTCTCACGGTCCCATTATGTTGTTTGTACAGTTACTCTCATTGTGAGATTAGTGGGGGTGTACAAAATCTTGTGGCCTTAGTGTTTTTGTTGTTTTCCATTTGTCTTTTTTCTCAACTCTTTTATTATTGTGGATCAGATGTATTTACTAAGGAAGCCTTTCATCATCATGGTATGTTTTTTTTTCTTTGTTTTCTATCCTAAAGCTGTCATGGTTACAGAATGTTGGCGGCTTTGGTGGCGCTAATACCGACTGATGTGTTCTCCAGTCGAGAGATGTTGTCTCTTGATGATGGTCAATATTTTGGGTTATTGTTACTGATTTCAGTGTAACGCAGTATGTAATCCTTAGGAAGCCCCCCGTGAGTCTGTCGGTCCTTGTGAGAAGTCAGTAGTGCTCCATTGTTTCCCACTGCAGTGCTCTGCCTGGTCCCACACCGGTCAACACTCACGTGACTCTACTACACACTAACATTTGCCTTTTATTATCCAAATATTACGTGGTTGGTGTGTAATAATGGACGTCTGACATGTCATTGGGTTTACCCGTAAGTGAGTGCGGATACACAAATAATCATTGTAGTACTAAACGATAATGTAATGACCGATTTCTTTTACTATGATGATGTTCGATAGTGGTGTGTGAAAGGCTCTGGCCATCGAGGCCACTTCGCCGCCTGTTGAAGGTTTCTCAAACTTGATCCCTCCTGTGACTCGAGTCGTAACTCCTCTGTCAAAGCTGGAAGTTTTAGATTAGTCTGCTAATCTGTGTTCGTATCGATGTCAGAGCAAGTAACCGAAACCATCTTGGTTGATTTCAGTCGACGACGAGATTTTATTTATTTTTAAGTTCAAAGTTCCTGATAGGAACCCAGAGGCAGCAAGGGGGCCAAGTTTGAGAAAGACATTAATTGTGCAAACACTATTCCAAAGGTGTGGAAGGGATACAGCTGGTGCGAGCATGTGCTGAAATGGCTTACGGGCAATACAGTATATAGTTGGAGTCACTTGTTAATACCTTTTTGACTTATTGTTTTTAGTATTATCAATCTCATTGTTAAAACGCGATGAAGTCCTTCAGTCTCAGACCATTTGTTTTATTTTATAGATTGTGGTTTAATTTTTCAGATGGATCAGAGGATTTCGTTGAGAATTTGTCATCACATTTTAATGATTGTTTTAAGGAGCTTTTTTTTTATTCTGATGAACTTGTAAACACTGGAGTGACGGGGGAAAAGACAAAAAACATTTTTTTTCCATCAGGCTGTACTAGATTTTAGGTTTTAGACAGAGCCTTTCTCTCCTCAACAGGACACACAAAGTGGACAGAACAATTTGGATCAGTACAGTTGAGAGCCCAGTATGTGTGGTAATTTTCACATTAGAGACAGTAGTACCTCAAGAAAATGTTTTTTTTTTCTTATACAAAATCCCTGGTATTTGTAGTAAATTATATTGATAATGGTATTAGATGAACAACAGCATAACAGTAGCTATCACAGATTAGTTGTTTTCTTTTATTAGTCTTGCATGCAGAGTTATGGTCCTCAGTTAAGATAGGATCTTGATATTGATTATTTTGTGTAGGAAAATGAGTGCATAAGAATAACTTCCTAAAAAAATATTACAATGATTATTGTAAAATGGGCTAACTAATATGTACCCTTGTGATCCAATTAGTTTCAACTATATGAAAATCAGAGGAGAGGCTTCTTATTATGATGCTGAAATAAAATAATTTGTAAAGGACTTTTGTATGCTGACTGTCTTGTCTTGACCTCATGATGTTACAAAATGGGGTATTTGGGGTATGTGGCGTCTGTTCAATGTCTTTTGCAGAATTTGATTCATTTTCTGGGAGTTTATTGATCATGGTCGACATGTGCTCAATTCAAAGAATGGCTGCTAAATGAGCCAGATGGAGGTGGGACTCTGAGTGATTAGTGGTGGAGAAGAGCGGTACGCCGGCTCCTACCTCTTAAGCACCATAACAATTTAAACAGTTTTCCAGACTGCAAACTTAGAAAAACAAATGCTTAAAGCTTGTCACGGAAGCCAGCAGACGAGATGTGTGCTCTCGAGGTCAAACCTCCATTTCATTAAGTGAATAATGTATAAAGAGTGGAGAGCAACATTCTCTTTTTTTCCAATTTCTTTTTCAAGCATTTGTCATCAAACCATGATCCAGATATTTAAATACTATCGTAAATCACTGTTGAAGAGGATGTGTGTGTTTAACCCTTTATATTATAACTGGTTCTTCTGAATACCTTCTTCTCTTCCACTGTTCTAGGAAGGGGACGGATACTTCCCAGCAGTGCTGTAGTGGTAAAAGTAGAGGTGGGTAACCTCTGAATTTTGTGATCATACAGACCTCGACGCAATGTGAAGCAACGCAACACAAAGCGTCGCGACTCTGTAAGGCTGTCCTGGCTATATTGCATTATGTTATCAGTAAAAGTCATATACAATGAATAAATGGGTTAGTAGTTTGTAGTTCATTAAATCTATGAAAACAGTGAAGAAAAGTATGTCAACACAACACAACACAATTGCAGATTAAGAACTAGCTACATACGGAGTCTCCTTTTCACAGTAGTGCCCAGAGGGCCTCCTTGTCCTCCACGTCAGGTCCTGCCTTGCACAGAGGAGCCATGAACCCCAGAACGCGTTCCTCTGTGCTTCTCCTCTCTCTATAGGACCTGGTGTTTCTCCTCTCCCTGTGCTCTCTGCATCATTGCCTGTCCTCTCACTGCCTGAAAAAAATGTTGAATTTAAGAGTTAACCAGTTAAGCAGCCTGTCAATTACACTGACAACATAAGTTAAAGGAACACTCATGTACTACCTACGTCATCATAAATGGCCTATACAGCATGTTTTTTTTCACGTTGAGAACTGACTTGTTTTCTAATCTACGCGACACCAGGTGTTTTTCTTGTCCTTTTACCGTGCACGACCAGCGAACACAGAGCGCGCGACTACTACCCGCCCCCGCCCCCGTCGGTCGTTCCGGCCGCAACGACGACTACCCCCCCGTCGGGCCTTCTCGACCGGTCCGCGAAATATTGTCTGACATGAAACCGGTCCGTGAGGTAAGAAAGGTTGGGGACCACTGGGCTGATCCACAACGTGTGTTTACACACCTCCTGGATCCTGATTGGTGTCGCTGCTGCAGCCGCAAGGCACTGATTGGATGCTCACAGACCGTAATACAGCGCAGATGAACATGATTCAGACTACGGCGTTTATATGTTCAACAATAGGAAACGTAGTCTTAGCTGTTTTAAAATTACACCAAGTTTATTTCGGATTATTCCAACGGAAGAATACAAGGCGCAGGGAACTTTGAGGTGCGTAAACGCTATTTATAGGTGCGTAAACGCCATTTCCAAAATTCCAGAGGTGCGTAAACGGCGTTTACGTGCGTTTACCCTCCACTACAGCCCTGCTTCCCAGTGTGCACTGTGTGTGTACTTAACGTGTACTTAACGTGTACTACCAGTGAATGTAATACCTTGATTCCACCATAGGTGGCGGTATGCAACTATAGTTTGTTAGCGATCCATTAAACAACCCGAAGAAGAACAGGAAGAAGGACAGGAAACAAGGAGGAAATAATAATAATAATAACCGGGGCCTCACTTATTACGGATACAAATCAAAATGTCAGATGGCTCCGCAGAGCTCGCGCGTGGAGACGTGCGGCACGAGGAGCCTGCGCGCGCATCGAAGCACGGGTTCGAACCTTTACCGACGCCGCAGGTCCAGCAGACCGCCGCCTCCAGGTTTCTGCAGGTAGAACTGGAGCTGAACGCGCACCTGCGGCGGCTCGCCTTCAGCCAGCCCGTCCGGCACGTGTACAATCCGCTGGAGTACGCGTGGGAGCCGCACCGCTGCTACGTGGAGAAGTTCTGCCGGGCCGGACAAAGCGTCCTGTTCCTGGGGATGAATCCTGGACCTTTCGGCATGGCGCAGACCGGGGTGAGCGGGGTCCATTGTGTCTGGGCTTAATGCAAGATGGTCGGAGGGCGGAATCGAACCCAAACGACAACAACAACAACAACAAAGCCCCAGTGTGTCAGTTGGTTTGTGATGTATTGAAAATAACGAGATCAGCTGCAAACAAGGACCTGAACGTTCCCCCTTTTAAACGAGTACCAAGTCTTAATATGTGTAATGTTCCTTCATGAATTTGCATGAAATACCACATTTACTCTGTTTGAGATATAGTTTCACCATTTTGCATACCAGACATGTGCCGGTTACTCAGTCAAATCAAAAGATCCTGACTTCCATGTAATTAATTAGTCTGTGACGTGGTAAACAAGCTGAAGTGATTTTTGTTTCTCGGCCCAGGTCCCCTTTGGTGAGGTGAGGTCAGTGGTCGATTGGCTGAAGATCACAGGGGAGGTCGGCCATCCTCATGACGAGCATCCCAAGCGGCGGATCACAGGACTCGCCTGCACTCAGAAAGAAGTGAGCGGATCGCGTTTCTGGGGCTTCTTCAGGAAGTTGTGTGGTGAACCCGACCACTTCTTCAAGCACTGCTTTGTGCACAATCTATGCCCTCTCATTTTCATCAGCGCCAGTGGGAAGAATTTAACCCCCCCTGAGCTGCCTGCGGATGAACGGGAGGCCCTCCTGGCCCTTTGCGACATTGCACTGTGCCAGGCGGTGGAGGCGCTGGGCGTTACCATGGTGATCGGGGTCGGAAGGGTAGCGGAGCAGCGGGCGCGGCGAGCGCTTTCAGCCGCAGGTGTCAAGGTGCAGGTTGAGGGCATCATGCATCCGTCACCCAGGAACCCACTAGCCAATAAGGGCTGGGAAGAGGTTGCCAAAGCCAAACTGTCAGAACTTGGTGTCTTGTCGTTGCTGAGCAACGTCTGAGCCACGAGTGCGTCTTCTCTGACAAGGGATCACAATGTGAGGAGTTTTAGTAAAAGACAATTATGATCAAGGGCTCAATGTACTGCTAAAAAAGTGACGCCTGACATTCCTCGTGCTCGTAGTACACTGAGGCCTTCCACGTCCGCCATCACTACCGCTGAAAACTCTTCTGCTAGGCAACATCTTCTTCCTCTATAAAGATCTGTCATTATAACTTTTCTTCATACATTTTAAGGTTCAGTTTCCAAAAAAGGCTACATCCATAGAGATGCAGTTCTCAGGAAGAACAAAGCTGCAGCTTTTGAATGGTGTCACAACAGAGACATCTGCTTTGTAAATATACAGTGTTCCTTTGTATAAAAGTGTAAGTATTTCCAATTGTCATTTATTTTGATAATGTCTTTTATTTGTTGATTTTTACACATAAATTCTAGCCACAATTTGACCAATTATGTGTATTTATAAACTCTGCACTCTTGCAGTTCAAATAAACAACCATGGCAACTGGAAACTCTATTTTTTTGGCAATTTAAGAAGCAGATGTAAAGTTAACCTAATTGTTTATTTTCAAACTGCCATGTTGCTCTTCGGGGTTGTGTTATTGATGCACTTTTGACCGTGGGATCCCCACTACGGCGCCACACACCTGTCTGAAGACGGCTTGTGATGAAACAACACTGCCATCAGGTGCTCACGAGTGGGACACCCAGATTCTTACGCAATCACACACCAGTTGAGGATAAAAGTCACACCTACAGAATGCTGTAGTCTGTCCATATCACTGACATCTGGAATGTGTTGATTAGTTCCACACAAAACAGTCGAAAGGACGTTGAAGCTCAACTTTGCATCAGTATTTTCAGACTTCCACGTTGCAAATGGACCACACATTCATTATTTTCTGTACCATACCGTGGATGTCTGTTGTTAGACTTTCTTCGCCGTTCACTCATTCCTGGGGAGTGGGTTCATAGAAGTTGAAATGTTTATCCTTTTGCATATTGCCCCCCTTTCCTCACCCCTCCACTGGCACTACCGAGAAATGGCAATGTGCAATAACTACCAGCAGTAGATCTGAGATCCTATAACACTGTCCTCGAATGGGTGTCATCACTGCTTTCCCTCGTAACCAACTGTCTCCCACGAGTCTGCCAGCATCCCCAATTGGACTTGGGGGGCCCACATGGTTTGGGGGATGTTGGGAAACGCTTCCAGCAGACAGGATTGCTCTTCACTTTCTACAGATTGATCCACATCTCTATCCTTCACGAGCAGAGAAGACATCGCATTCATTTCTCAGCAGAATAAGGTAAGAGAACATACAACTACTCAATATACTAGAATAGAACTGCACTTAAAAGACCAATAACAAAAGGCAATACGTGTTTGATGTGATATTTGTGAATAAGAAAACAGGACAGACTTGGTATAATTTTTTTACTATTCGTATTTTTATTCCACAGTGGACATTTGAGAATGTTTTATTTCATTGACTACTTCATTACTTAATTGCAGGTTTAATAATGGTTGGTGGACTTTAGGACTGAATTATGAGACATTTAATATGTATTGTTAGTTTATTAGACTATAAAGTGCAGCTATTATTTGGCTTTGTGTGGTATTCTAAGATCAAGAACTACTTCCTACAATTGTTTCAATCATTTATATTATTGATTCATCATCCCCACGCAGGTATACAAAGCAACAGTGCTCTATTTCTTAGGGATGACATGGTATAATCGCGGCGGCTGGTGTTATGGCCGAGCTGCGTTCCTGATCCGACTCCGCTATCACCTTTCATCAGCTGTTCTCCACCGGCGTCCAACAGGAACACATTTCACCCGATCCACCTATGTTTTATTCCCAAACAGCCCCGCTCCCTATCACATGGATAAACAGTCCACGGTGGTGTTTCGAAATGTGGGACAGCTGTACTTCCCCCAATCCAGAGTTGAGTGCCACTACAGTCTTACCGCTGAGCACCAGTGGAGCAGCGGGGACTGGATAGGGATTTTTGAGGTAGATCGTCCCACCAGGCCAACATTCCTCCGCAGCGAAACAGAAACTATTCTATTGATTCTTATGTGGTCTGTTGTGATCACAGATGGACTGTTCGTCAGTGAAGCAGTTCCACACGTACACGTGGGCTGTTGTTCCTGAAGGCTACACGAGGGGTTCAAGTGTCAACTGCTGTGCCCTTTTTCAGGGTGAGAATCCTTCCAAATATTTCCAAAAACATAGGACACAGGTGGACACTGTGATGTGAGTGCACAAACAGTCCAGGAGGACATTGCCACATCAGCAGCAACTGGAGGTCGGAAATAAGATTCGTTTTAAGTTCACTGAACAAAAGTTGTTTCATTCACATTGTGGTTGATTTCCATCAAACTGCTGATGGTCATTGAGGGATAATTGATGGTGAATAATTAAGAGCTTGTCTTGCTCCGCAATTCACATTTCATATTCTGTATTACTTGATAAAAAATAATAAATAGTAATATACAATTAACACTGCATACTCATATACGTCTGTATATCTGGTGCAGCATCGTACCTGCCCCGCCCCAGCGCTGTGGAGTATCAGTTCATATACGTGGATGCGAAGGGAGAGGTATGTGCCCGAAGTCGCTCCTTCACCTTCCGTTCTCCCAAACCGCTGGAGGAGCTGGAGACCCTGAGAGAAGAGCAAGACGAGGAGGATGGAGAGGAGGAGCTGCAGATAGTCATCCCCAGGGCTCAGCTGTTGCAGGTAGAAATAAAAATCAATATTGCATTCAGACATTCCTAAAAAGCTTCTGTCCGTTTCATGTTAGTAATAAAAAAAGGTCTTTAAGTGTAACTTCTACTCTAAATCCATTGAGTAGTTGCTTGAATATCCTTGTCCTCTCCCCGTGTTGGGCACAGAGTCAGCTGGAGGAGTGCTTAAAAAAACAAGCCAATCTACAGCAGGCTCTGGATGAGGCAAAAGAGGAGAACGAGAACGAGAAAAAGAACAGCGACAAAGCAAAGGAGGAGTGGGAGCGTCACAGAGAAGCGATGAAGGAGGAGCTCTCAGAGCTCACAGACAACATGAGACTCAACTGTGAGATGTTGAAGAAGATGGAGGGAAAACACAATGTGCAGGGAGGTCCTGCTTCCAGATGTCTGGTAGCCGACTCATTTTTACTTCCCAAAAGTTCTGGATTTTGTTAATAACTAATGACAACTGTTTGATCAATAATACACATGTGGAACGAGAACCTAATCATGTGTTTTTTTCACTCCACAACGTTGAAAGAATGTGAAATATAGTCAAGAAAATCTGACGTATGAACTGAGCCGACTCATGGCTGAAAAAGCTGAGAGCCAGGAGCGAGTTCGAGACCTGGAGGAGACCATAAAGGTCCTGAACGACAGGAAGAAAGAGGAAAACAGCGACCTGGAAAGGCACGTATTTGAGACATAGACTGTTAAACATCTTTCATTGGTATATTTATTTAGCTCAAAGTAACTCTTTTCCCCACAGGCTGAAGGAGAGAGTGAAGAAAATGTCCATTCAAATGAACCATGATGAGGAAAAGAGAAAGTGTCTGCAGGTAATTGGTGGTTGGTGGTGCTTCATTTAAAACACTTTCCTTGTTCGGGGAAATGAAACCGAGGAGCTCTGAACCGCGTCAGATTTCAACTCAAATGGTTTGGTGTTATGCGGCAACGGGAGCAAGATCACCTCCTGTTCATCGAGTCGTCTCGTCTCTGTGCAGGTGGAGAACCAGTCTGTCCTGGCGGAGGTCCGGGGGCTGCAGGAGCGTCTGGAGGCCAGTGAGCATGCAGCCGAGGGCCTGCGCAGGGAGCTGAGAGAGCTGGGAACCCGGCACGGCCAAACCAGCACTGAGCTGCATCAGGCCCGGCTGCAAGCGGCCCAGCTAACCCTGCTGCTGTCTGAGGAGAACCTGGTCCTCAGGGAGGAGCGTGCCAACTGGGCTCTAGAGAGGGAGGCTTACAAACATGCAGCAGAAGTAAGGATACGGAAAAGCGCACACACACATACTGACATGTCAACCCGTCTTTTTGCTAAACCTTTTTTTTTTTAATGCAGAGGGATTCCAAAAAGTTACAAGAACTGAGCTGTGAGGTGCAGAGGAAGGAGGAGTGGCTCCAGGAGGAGAGGACGGAGAGGGAGAAACTAGAAGTAAAGCTTGGGCAAGAGAGAGATTGCAATCAAGTAAGTAAATCAAAGTCACTACTATTCGACACACAAACACATTCAGATCTAAATATAACTGCTCATGTGCTGCAAATCCGCATCATCGCTTGATCAGATTACATTTTGGAACCCGGATAACGATGACCAGAGTTCGGCACAGTTTTGGTATTACTCACATGAAGGCATAAATAGAAAAGCTTCCACGAACAGCAAGTAAACATTTCCCCTCGCTGTCATGCAATCAACATCAGCAGGAAAGAGCACGAGTCAGGTCAGCTGTGTCTCAGTACATAATGCTGCTGCCCCCCCTCTTTAGGTGCTTAGGCGGGAGCTGCAGGAGCTGAAGGCCAGTGTGAAGACGGCCCAGAAAGAGAGAGAGGAGCAGCAGGTGGACAAACAGGTGAGGGTTACAAACCAGAGTACATACTGTATCTATTCTATAAGAAATCCGGTAGAGTTTGTTTTTCATAGAGCAGAAACTCTTTGGAACCACAGGTGCAGTGAGTCAGAGTGGCCTCATCAAATACAGTAAACAATACTGTTAAAAGTTTGCAGTTTTTTTTAGTGATTAGCAGTAAACCAAGTACTTTTATGCAGATACTTGCACGTTAGAAATGCAACTGTAGGCCTCTCTGGGTTCTTACACTCTTTAAAAGGGAGATGAGGGCAGCTGTTTATAACCTGCAACCCCTCCCAGATGTTCTTTTACAACTTTTTAAATTAATGCCAAGTTGTTCTCATCCAATAATATAACAGGACCCGATGAACTACATCCGGCAGTCAAATGGTGAAATTCCTACATTCAGCTGTAAGTAATGGGGTCCTTTTGTGTACAGCCACACTATTTCATTGCACAGTAAGGATCTGTAAATAATCCGTACCGATTTAAAACAGCTCCTGGCTCTTCCGCTGAGGATGACGAAGATGCCTCCTCAGCTTCCCCTAGTTCAATCAGTTGGCCTGGCCGGTCCACTCAGCTGGAACAAGCCAAGCTCCTTTTGGCAGAGACACACATCCAAAGCCAAGAGGACACAGCAGCCTCTGACTCACAGGTGTGCCACCCTTTCTCCACATGAACCAAACAACGTTAGCACAGAGCTAACGGACCAGAGTGGGCAAATAGTTCCCCCTCGTCCCACGGAGTCCCTCAGAGTTTTAGAGCTCTCTGCCAAAGAGAAAACCGGGTACAAAGACTTCAAAATAAAGAATTAAAAAGTGGTCAAACTTGTCGCGCACATTAGACACAAGAATCCAACGGTTACTTAAGCATTTCCTGAGTGGGGAGAACGGAGGAACAATTCAATTCGAAAATGTTTTACACATTATCTTTGACGGTATACATCGAAGAAATATGTAAAGATATTTAGATGCTAATGCGATTATTTAAACATAAGCCATAACATTCACATCTTTAGTTCACGCCCGTCTCTGCTTCTGTCACGTCAGCGCTGTGAGCCCCCAGCTGCAGGAGGGAAGTTGCCGATGCTTCTAGAACCTGTCGACCCCGTCCCGAGGTGACAACTCTGGCTTCCTACAGGCCACGCAGTGCACACCCTGTTTGCCTCCTCCATGCCCCGACTCACCTCTCCTAACATCACGGGATGACTCACACTCACCCTCTCGGCCCTCGCAGACCCGTTGCTGTTTTAGAAAAGCTGCCTGGCACTGTTGTGAGGAGAGTCGTAGTCATAGAGTAAAAATAAAAGTGTAAATAATATGGTTATACTGATGTAATAAGAGTAAAAATGTGCACGTTGCTCAAACACTGGATCAGCTGGAGTGTGTTGTCTATTTTTGGTAAATCATCAGCACCTTCTGTAAACCTTTCAGTGCTCTTTCTCTCTGCAGTGAGCTGGCCGACTCCCCCATGTGGTAAACAAGAAGGATAGACGACAAGCTGCTTGTTCACCCCTGCAATCTTCAAGGTCAATCTATTGTTGTTTAGTAGCGGCCCGTGAAGAAGACCGCCTCCAGAACGGTCCTATTTATAGTCGAGCTTTTGACTCGTCAGTGTTTGTATGTAGTTTGTATACAATTTGTAAGTGTCCTCATTTGTGTTTATTATTACCGCAAATGCTTAAGGATTAATGAAACTTTAATTTTCATATGCAGATGCCAGGTTTTCTATATTTTTAGCTAATTAAAATGTGATCTGTTGTTTTGAGAAAAGCTTGGAGTTAATAGCCTACAACTTGTTTTGTTGGCACATCAGCCCATAACCTCTGCATGTGAGTGTGACTCCTGAAGCCTCATCAAGTGTGGGTGGAGGCGTCTTACATGCAAGTGTGAAATATATACTGCTGCAGCACAGCGTCAGGCTGGTGGAAAATCAATGTTGATTTACGATACATTTATTATTTGATCTGGGCACGAGGTTCCTTAATGAAATGTGATGTGGAATACGTTGTCTTTTTTTAGCACATTTCCAACTTGAGACTTTCCTTGTGAAGGTGTAAAGTGAACGCAAGAACACAACAACTGGATGCTGAAAGGTTTTAGAACAAAAAGCGCTTTTATCAAAATACAAGAAATACAAGAATAAAATAAGCAAATAACAAGCAACAAATAAGCAAAAATCGAAATGTAAAAACACACAGATCAGCCCAGTTTTTGTTTTCTGTGTGTGTGTTTGCGTGTGTGTTTGGGTGTGTCAGCGCTATTTTGCTATTAAAGTCCAATAAAAATAAAAATCGGAATGTGTCTGAATCCCTGAACATTGAGACAAGTTATCTGCACACTCAAAAAACTCAATAAAAAATATAACAGAAATAAGATGGTTGCAGCTTAAGTCATTTGAGATCATTTCATCACACAATACAAAGTAAAAATGTTTTATATTTTGTTTTTTGTGTTTTCATCCAAATGCGCTGTGATGTCTTTGGTCTTTGTGGGTTCCCTACTCATTCGTTGACATATAGAAGCTGAATCCCTTCTGACCTCTTCTGTGCTCGTCTATTGCACCAGCGTACCAGCAAAAAACAAGTTTAAGAAATGGAAAACTAAGATAAACAGGAAAACATTTTAACATGAAATGTCTTTGTTATGTGACATTTGAATACTCAACAAAATATGTAACATGAGCTGACGATGTGCAAAATATTGACTGTGTCTCTGTGACTTTGCGACACACTGATAACGTGCCGTGCATCTTTCACCTCCATTGCTTGATGCAGACGTTTTCATCCTATAAAATCACAACACGTCTAAAAACATCGCGGCATCAGGGTTGATTGAGTAATGCTTTAAATCTACTTCTGGATGGCTTTGAGTCTGCTACTTTTCTTCAGATATCACACCTTGGCTGTATCATTTCATCCCTAATATCAACAAACTACTTCAGCAAGTTGCAGCTGAACAGCAGCGAGATGAAGTGTCTTTCATTAATTAGATAATGTCGATTTTATACATCTTGCATACAAAAAGCTGTAAAGCCTCAATGACAAACAAATCATAAGTATCGTTTTACAAAATCCATGCAACCATGGACACACACACCGGTGTGCTTCGTCACCACATGTTAAGTCTTCCATTGTGTTGGTTATTATGTTAGGTGGTTGTGACCCCATTTAATTGATCACGCGATTCAATTTCCTCCTCTTCAATAGACATCTTTGAGTGAGTGAAATTGGGAAAAAATGTTATTTCATTTTGTGCGTTTTGAGGATAGTAATTATTGGAGTTGTGCGTAAATGCTCGCTGTAGATTATGGCAGTAATGACGGACATCTCCACAGCACTCGCTTTTGATAAATGCTCTTAGTTACACACTCATGCACAGACACAAACACACACTCACCTGACATTTTCTGTGAAGTAAACTGATTTTAAGGGTTACGTCCATTTGGATTATTCATACATCACTTCTAAGAAAAAATGAAAATATTATGGGCTCACAAAGGTCATGTGCATCATGGCCAACAACTTCACTTTTAAAAATCCCACTTGTTGCTGAAGATGTTGGCGCAACGTCAGAGCATTTCTGAAAGAATACTGGTGTCAGATGAGATGTGGCCCTGATGGAATCACCCTGAGATTGTGTGCTGACGTTTGATCTACCCTGCAGATTCTATAGTCTAAATATTTGAAAAAAAATGTTGTGGAGAAGGTTGAGACACCCTGCCACCCTTGTCTTGCGTTATTAATCATTTTATTTTGATCACAAGCACCAGAGCGGAAAAGACAGTCGTCTCCTTATTGTCTTTTGAATGTTTTACCCTTTGGGGCTTTCCATAGCACATGCTTGTCTTCTTGTGAGCTAGAGTCCCGGTCATGACCTGCTCTCTCTTTGCAATTGCTTCCACTGTGTATAACAACAAAGTATCGCCAAACATTAAAGGCAAGCAAAAGGACTCACTAAATGTCCAGTCAAATGAGTGAAAAATATACCATAAAAAGACAGGGAGTCCCACAGACATGCAAAAAGACAGAACAGAAATGTTTACACGCTTAGAAAAAGCAGACAATAAAAAAATAAGTCGCAAATCTCTCACTTGTAATAAAAGGAATTCTCAGAAGACATTGGCGGAAAACAGACACCACATAGAGTTCTGTTGTTGCAAGGTATTTTTTATCATCAATTGTATTAAAAGCATAGCCCTTATAGATAGCTGAGGAGTGCATTGTCTTCTGTCTACCACATCTCATTTGGTGCACAAATATCTTTTTGAGTCTCATTTTGGCACAGTGATCTTTCGTGGCACTCTGCTCAATCCACTTACATTTAGTGCTTTTGCTTCGCTCATTCCTTACTTCCTATTTAACATACTTTCCTTTCAGTCAATATTTACAGTATTTGTAGGCGCTGCATTCAACACCGTTGTTGTATAAGAGCCTAATTCTGTGAGGTTTCCACGAGGCCTCTGATCTGAAGGACGTGGCGGCCCTCCCGTCTCTCTCATTGCGTTTTCCCAGTTACACCTTTCTTTAGCGCGCTGGCTGCCGCCTCCACCAACAGCTCCCCATCACTGTCCACCCCTCGGTCCTTCTCCTCATCCCAATAGTCGTCCTCCTCCTCCTCCTCCTCTTCCTCCTCAACGGCTGACTCATCTGTGGCCTTCTCCTCTTGTTTGATGGCTTGAATCGCAGGGGGAGCGGCTGCAGCGCTGTCTCCGGAGTCACTGCTGTCCTCGAAGGCCTCCGGGTTCTCCAGCATCTCCCTGATGAGTGGAGGCATGGGGCCCGGGATCTCAGTCTTCAGTGTGATGGCTCTCTCCGCACCTACAGGCGCGCACACACACACACACACACACACATCCGCAGATTTATGCAATGTGCAGTGTTTTCAAAGGACCGATTACTGTCACCGTCAGAGGGGAAGACGAACGCCTCTCGATGCTCTCACATGCAGATGATGGTATCTGAACTATTTTGCTTGCACCCCAAATAGAAATCTGTTATGTTTTCTTTTGGAATGATATGCCTCATCTCCTAAATAAGGCTGGGTGGTTGTTTGAGCGTTTTTGAAAGCAGAGCCAATACGATTATCAGGTTTGGACGCTGATGCCAAAAACAGTGTAAATTGTAATGTTGACACAAGTATAGACGTACCAGCACTTTCCAGGGAGGCAAAATCAAAAACACAAATCCAATGCCAATGTTCAGGACTTCACAACTCATGACCCTCAGTAATGTGGTAAAAGTATTACGGTTTGTTTCCAAGCCCTACTTCTTATCTATGGTTCTAGTGTGTAAAACCTCAGCTGACCTTTGGTGCTGATTCCTCGGAGGTCTGTGACTTTCATCAGCATGCGGGGAAACATGTGAGGCTTGTTTGGGCGTCTGCGGCGGGTGTAGATCTTCAGAGCCTCGAGCAGCGGCTCCTGCAGCTTGTCTACTTTCTGTGGCTCCTCCAGATCCATGCGGTCTAACACAATGAGGGGAAGGGACCATTATGAAGAGGTTAAGAAAGGATAGACAAGCTGGAAAAACGATAGCGAGGAAAGTGCAAACCAATGAGACGGAGTCAGAAATGTTACGTCTGTAAGGTACGGAGAGCGGGTTCGAAGGCACAAGCGTACCTCCACAGATGAGGCAGATGGCGCTGAGTAAACCCGTTTCTGTGTCATCCATCTCCAAAGGCAGCAGCTGGCCGGCAAAGGCAAACACCAGTTCTGTCAGAGGGCCAAAGCCAGCGTTATGCATCTGGGTCCTGTTGAGTGTCAGGCCATCAGAGAAAGTCATGGTGTCCTGTTCCGGGGTGTAGCGAGTGCATATCCTCAGCATCTAGGGAAGGGGACGAAAACCACAACACAAAGACAGAAAGGTCAAAAAATGGGCAGTCAGTAAAAGATGAATGACATTCAGTCCAAATCAAATCATGGCAGCTTTTCATAATCATCAACAAATTACGCAGCGTGAGAAATGAGAACGCATCCGGACACACGGACAGCTGGTTAAATAGGAGGAGTAATAAGAGCATATGGTCGGTACCAGGATGTCCAGGCATGCAGATTTGAGGAGGGTGATCTGGTCAGCGATGGTGAGCGTAGTGAAGCCAGGAAGCCGCTTGGCGAACTCCACGATCTTTATTATGCACTTTGTGGACAGCTCACTGAACTTATCCCACAGGCCCAAATCCAGCTGTACTCTGTGGTCAGCACTTGAATTCTGAGAGGGGAAAAAGAAGGACACTTTGGTCTGTGCGGCTGGGCAGAGTCCATACAGCGTTTGTCCTCCTGGCAAAGCAGTGAGCTAATGCTTGAGTGGAGCGAATGTTTATGGGTGGATGTGATTATACATTCAAAAAATAACTCACTGTGGTGTATTTTCCGAGTTGTCCCAGAGATGGAAAGGTCTCTTTGTGAGCTTTGCTGACTTTGTTGACCAGCTCCTCTAGTTCTCGACTCAGCTCGTAGTTCTCTGGCAGCACCACTTCCTCCTTTACGTCCTTCTTCTTTTTGTTCCTGTCATTACGCACCGCTACAGGGGAACACAGGTGCAGGGAGACACATTAAAAAAAACAACAACAGATTTCTCCATTACGTTTAAATTGAAGGTAAAATGTTACCCTCACATATATAGACCCATATGTCCCTCTCACCTTCTTTGGACATGCCAACCTCAAAGCACTTCTGCAGCCGGCAGTACTGGCAGCGGTTGCGGGTCACTTTGTTGATCTGGCAGTTCTTGTCTCTGTGGCATGTATACACCATGTTCTTTTGGATACTGCGCCGAAAAAAACCCTGAAACAAATGAGAGAAAACTGTTTTTTAAAACCATGCTATTGCCCGGACTCTAGAGGTGGAAATATCGGTCGTTGTTGTCGGGCAGATGTTCCCATCATCCTCAGCTTCATCGAAAGTCGTGAGCCCATTAGCCGACGTTAGCAGGCTAACATGATGAACATGTCCGTGTGTCCTTATTTTGGCATTATCATTGTGACCATGTTAGCAGGCTGTTAGCATGTGACTTCTCTGTCTAAGGGTTAGTCCGACACAGCACATGACTGAGTACTTTAAGCATATTCTATTCTCATTCTGCTAGTTTTACTTAAAGGATCTTAGTACTTCTGCACCACATATAACATATAACCGTCTTAATCTTGAACATATGTTCATTGGTGTCTGTATCTAAACCTCAAGCATACAGAATGATTGCATGTTTTCCAAAAGAATATTGTTTCATTCAATTTCAAGCTCAAAATCTCCACAGCGGCGTAATTTAATACAGATGCAGTGAGCATTTGGTGGTCAATGTTTGGCTCTGTTCTGTGCAGTATTAGTCCAGATACACTAGAGGGCGGCTTAACAAAGGCAAACTTTGCAGCATGCGTCAGCTCTAGTTGAACATGAGACTTTTCACTGAACATAAGCTGTTCTCTGGCTCATCTTACCTTGCAGCCCTCACAGGAGCTCACTCCATAGTGGTAACCAGATGACTTGTCTTGGCACACAAAGCACGGCTTGTAGATGCGGGGCGGAGGAGGAGGAGAAGGAGAGCTGGGGACCATTTCCTCTGAGCTGGTGCTCTGGGTCTCCACCGCTGCAGAGAGAGAGGGAGAGAGAAACCTTTATCATACTGTTTACAGAAGTCTTTGAAATTATGATGAAAGCCAATACCTCAACTGATTAAGAGAGAATAATCAACAAACAACCCCCAAAACCCTTGCAAGCCACCCCCTGGAGCCAGGAGGAAAGCTCAAAGACAGACATTTTTAAGAGAAAAGGGGGGGGCTGATTGACAGGGACTTAAAAGAGACACAATTAGCTGATGGCCAGATGGCCGTGCTGATAAAATGCTGATTGGCAGCTGAGATTTGATTGGCTTCTCCGTTTACTAGCGAGTGGGGGAGCAGCATACCTCTGTTGACTTCTTCACTGACATCTCAATCTTTGCATGGGTGTCCATGTGCTTGTGTGCTCACACGCACATGCTCCAATTTTTATGTGAAAGGCCGTCAACCCAGACCTGCGCATACACCTCGAGCCCCATGTGAACAAACAGAGGAGGGATGTTTATGAGAGTCGGCTGTCTCCCGCTCTTCCTTGTCGCTTTCTCGCTAAATAAAATGGCAAACTGTATGACACCATTTGCTGGCCACTGACACAAGTCACTGAACTGCTGCTAATGAAAACGTTGAAAACAAACAATGTGAAACAGACGCAGGCAAGAGTTCGCCCGGCTGATTAAAATGGTAACTTCCTACACTTCAAACCCCCCAAAAAATGAATGACACACACTGCGAACAGATTTGAAGGTGATGATTAAAGAACAGCCAGATGCCTGTGAACATGCCTTTCAACTTTCACCTTCAGTCACCCCAACTTCACCTCCCCCTGCCCAGTTCCACCCCCACTCCCTTGTTTCCTGGCCCTAAATTCCTCAGTGCAGGCTGCACAGGGTTTAATAGTTGCCCGGGCTCATAAGCACGCCCTATAAAGGTTGTGTCTGGGATGGAAAGGAGGCCCCGGCCAGGCTGAAGGCCTCTTTATTGGGATCCAGTCACCTTGGGCAGCTATTCACATCAACAGCCCCATCCTAGGATCCCTTCCTTATAAAAATAAAGAATCTGGGGTCAAAAACCCCAAAGTCACAGCACCTCCTGTCACTTTCAATGGATAGCACAGGACTGGACCAAATGTGGGCGCCACACCATCGCAGAAACCCCGACCTGAACCCACAGCCTGTCGTTTACGGGACCGCTAAGGTTTCCAAAAGCAGAGAGGCAAAGGCACAAAGGAATAATCTAAAGAAAACAGAGAGGGGAAAATGAAAAGAGGAAGAAAAGGAAAGAAAGAGGTGAGTCAGAGGACAGAAACTTCCCAGTGGCTGAAAGGTTAAATAAAATCGTGACCACTTAACTTTGACCTTGACTGTAGAAGGCCATTACCGACTAAATGACCAGCAGCTTGCTTACAAGCTAAAAAATGTGTTTAAACAACACAAGATCCAATTAATCATGACTTCATGGGCTAAGCCCTGATTATCAGTTGCAGCTATTTATCAAACATTAATTCCAGATTTTTAACCATCTTTTAAAAAATTAAGGAATAAAACTTGGATTTTTTTTTTGGGGGTACTTTCCGCTGTGTGATCAGGCTTCAACAAACTCACTTGTATTAGTACCTATATTTGGCTGCAGGACGTCACAGGCATGTTTCTGACATGTTCAAACCAAATAAATTCAGACTTTGATTAATATAAAAATGATTATTAGTTGCGGCCTAATGTTCATAGTGAAATTGATGGTTGAAAGAACAGGATTGTGAGTGTTCTCCAACAACGAGCGAGTTGAAATTATCCAGCGTGTATCTGAGAAAGTAGACGTTTCACGCAAATATATGAGTGAACAAGCCGCTGCTCGGGAGGCTTAAGCCTAGTATGTGTGGGCTTTGGGGAGCATCCCACCCCAGGTGTGGGTGGCTGAATGAGTTGGCACTGTAACCCGATCACTGCTTTCTGTTTATGTAGTAACACCGACGTGGTAAAAGTGGCCCTGAGAGAACAAGTGGAAAAATAACTCCTGTTGAAAAGCAGAAGCGTCATCTGGCGCCAGGAGGAAGGTAGTGACGGACACCGTCTGCGGCCGGGCGCAGCGGCTGAGGAGGTACGCGACAAACATGACAGCGGGAGACAGGGTGAGAGACACTGGGCTGAAAAAAAAAAAAAAAGAGGGTGGTGGGAAGTCATTGAAAAAAAAGGGGGGAAGGCCCAAAACTGTCAAGCACCTGTCATCGCCCTGAACCGAGCTCGGCGTCAGAGCCGTGGCTCCGAGAAATCTGTCTCGTCTTAACCTGCAACTCACCCCTCAGCGTGTCACAACATCAATCAGCACACCTCTATAGGACACGAGGACGGACGAGACGACTCGTGTGAATCAGCCAGCAGGATAAATGTCCCCACAGAAAACACGGAGCCACAGATGAAGATGTGTAACTGTGCTTCACCTACTCGTGTGTCTGGGTGTTTCCCACCTTGCCGCTCTGCTCTCAGGGTTTGTTGTCGCATCAACACGTCTCTGTTTAGACAACAGAAGCCCACCTGAGAGGCGACACCTCCCTTATCCGCTCTGATGCCAGAGATTCTTCGAGTGCGTGAATGACAATTTCATTCCCGGGATAGTTTTCTAAACCTCAATTACTAAAATACGTGGCAAAATGAGTCAGGAACGGCCGGAGCTCCGGGGGCCCAAGTCCATTCCACAAACTCATTGTGGGCAGTCGTAGGTGTACAGCTGTATACGGTTTAAGCACTTATCGTACGACAAATCCACGCCACACTACGTGGGGCGTCAGACCCGATCCGTCAGTCTGCGGTCACGGCGGCACGCGAAAGAAAACGCGGTGATTGACAGTTGTTTTCTGCTCTGCAGAAACATGCATGTGGTTTGTTTAACGCTCACACTGAAGGTGTTTTCTCATTCCTGTCGGGGGGGGCTGAGTGGTGGACGCAGTGTGACATACGGCCTGTGGGGCCTGCAGCCCGGCTCAACCTGCCAACATCCTACATCTCATTGAACTGGACTTTGGCCCCGGGGGGCCTCAGAGAGCCTTTCATATAGAGGCTAATGCTAAGGATTATGGCATTTTGTTTTGCTTATATTCCTATTAATGTTATTGGGTTCTTCTGGATTTTGATGCTTTGGTCACTTTTTTCTTTTACTTTTAATGCCAATAAAGCTACAAAGACTTGATATGTGATTTTGGGGATTTGAAAATAAGCCAAAATACAGAGAATAATTTGTATGGCAAACACAGTTTTTACACAAGCTCTCTACTCACAAAATGTCTAGCAGCACACTGTGGAATGTGCGTGCACATGTGAATATGTGTGTGTGTGTGTGTGGGCTGCTGCATGGGGCCGCAGCTCAGTTGGATTTTGAGGGTTTCCAGTGCGACAACATTCACAGGACGGACGAGGAGGAAAACGGGGGGCCAAACACCACTGATCACTAACACAGCCGTAACACGTACGAAGTCAATGTGACATGAAAGTAAAAATATGTGTCATGCTTAAAACTCTGTTGTAATTCGTGAGCTGATACACACTGGGGGGTGAGCCACAACCCCAAATATGCTGAGTGAGTAATTACCGCGACAGCAGGGAGGAGATGGGGGAGATCTGAGTGACAATCCCTTTCATCAGCTGTTCTAAGTTCAATACCGGCGTCCCCTCCCCTCGCCTGCCCTCCCCCTCAACTCAACCCCGACTATTAACTGTCTTCCCCCCTCTGTCTTCTCCTGCCTTCCTGCCCCGGCAGGAGGAGGAGTCCTTCCTGTCATTGGAAGCGCCTTTTTGGAGGAGAGGCTGTGAAAGTCAGGCTACCGTCCGGGAGACGGCTCCATAAAAACAGCAGCGCCAAACACTTAAAAAAAAAAAAAAGAGGAGGCAGAGACAAACGTGCAAACAACAGTGCACAAAGGCGTGCACACACACACACACACACACACACACACACACCCACACACAGACACACAGACGTTTGTACAAACCAACAGAACAGAAACCCTAGACATCAATTCCTCAAACGCCTGCAGTTTCAGTTGAGTCACAATTGACCCTCACTTGAGCGCGACAATGTTTAAATCAAGGACGAAACCTGGAAAACGACGTTCCCCTCATATGTTGTTTGGTTCGTGGTCGCAGACGCTTTGTTTGTCTGCTGAGTGTGGGTTTGTGTGTGGGGGGGGTCGGGGAGCTTTACAGGACAGGTTGTTAAATCCGGGTTTGTCCCTCCCAGTCATCATGACACATACAAAGCTCCCTTTCTTTTTTATAACACCCCATAAAGCCGGCTTTCTATTTTCGCCCTGTTTTGATATTAGTCTCCCACAAGGATACTGAACTTGGCTTCTCAAACACTTCTGCAACATATCATGCCGATTTTTTTTTTTTTTAAGCATTTAGGTGACATTTCGGCATTAAAATAATAAAGTTGTACCTTAATCTATAATAACAGCAGTCGTTCACTTTTACATTGTGTCACATTGAGTTTAGCAGCTTGTGCACTGAAACTGACTCTTTTAGAACAGATCTTATCAGCTAAACCCTGTTTTAAGACAGACTAATGATTCAGAGTCATGGACGGTGTGGTGGAGACGTGCCGGAAAGCTGCAACAGAGACAAGCTGTAACACGACTCACTGATCCTCACAAGACGTCCGTTCCAAGCAACCCAACCAATCGGCAGCCAGGGATCCTCTCCGCTGGTCCCTTTGAGCAAACTCTGCTACTGAACCGTGTTTTACTCGCGTTTTTGGATCAGATCTCTCTTTTATGAGTATTTGTCACGCGTGTGTGTGTAAACGTTTTTGAGTCAAAGATAAAGGCAGTGTGTAGAACCACACAAACTGTAACCTGATCAGAGACACATTCACAGTTCCAAATCATTTAATCAATCATTTAATACTTAACAATTCATCTAAATCTGTTAATTTAGTAATTTCTAGTAATGTCTTAATAATCTAGTAATTAGGACAATCTGGTTGTGGAGGTAGTCAATATTGCCACAGCGAAGTATGTGTAAAAGTGTTTGATGCTTAA